TTGTTCTGTGGTTTTTAAACTTGGTCCGTCTTCCACTTGTTTGGTTCACTGCCTGAATGTGACCTCCCCTGAGTCCTGTATAGATCTGTGCTGACCAGATGAGTGGAAACAAATTAGAGTAATAATATCTGGGGGGTCTTTTTACATTCCACTGTTTGTGTTTGTCTGCTGGATGTGTGTTTGTGTTTGCATCTGTATGTGGGTACGTGTGCTTGCTCTGTGGGTGAGTGTTAATATTCAAAGTTTAGTTGGTGTGATTGTGTTTTTTTCTGTGAGTCTTTGTGTATATATCTGCACTGAGTTCTATTTTGCCAGTTTAATACAGAACGACATTGTTTACTGTTTTTATTCTGTATGAAATGATCCAGATGTACAAAGAAATGTTTTTTTTTTTTAAGCTGTCACTTCTTTAAAATTCACTGCACTTGTTGACGCTGATGCTGGAACAAACCTCTCTTAATAGCAGGGTTATTTTCCTCATGAGTGGTTTAAAAGGGTTTTTTCTTTTTTTTTTTTTTTGGTTTGGAAGGCAAATCTGTTATACATGAGCTGAAAGCCAAGGTTAAAGAAAAAGAAATGTCACAAGCAAGCTTTACAAAAAAACAGAGATAAAACCAGTCTTCTTTTTGCATAAGACGACAGATTTTGAGTTTCAACGGAAGCAGCTACCCACATTTTGTCCTTTCCGTCCTCTAATTGAGTCTGGTGTGATTCACCAAGACCAAAAAATAGAAAATAGAAAGAAGGGTGGCACCTTGAAATCACAGCTGACGTAGCCCCAAAACACCCCCGTTGTGCACACATGCTTTCTGGCACTACGTGTTCTGTGTGTGCCTTATGAACCCTGCCACGCCTCGCTCTTCACCATATGCGCTCCCTCCCTCCAAGTGTCAGGGAGGGGTGGGGGGGAGAATAAAGGTGAGACAGGAGGTAATCATCACCTCTTTGCATCACTGCTAGCTACATCTCAGGTCAGAGCATCGGAGCGTTATCCCAAAATAACCAGGAACACAGTCTGTCCTGACGGCCCTGTGTGTTAAACAAGGCGTCACATTCCAAAGGCTTCGTGAAAAAGTCACTTTAATCAATGCAAATCTAGTTTAAGTTGAAATACTATTCAGGGTTTTGTGTGTTTCACCTCTTAGAAATCGAGATATGTCCACCCACACTCTTTACTAGCCAAATGCCATAAACTGATAATACATTTTAATGGACATGCTCGCATTTCTGATTTAGGGCATTCTCTTTTGGGGGGGGCAGCTTGAGACAAAGAGAGGTTTACCAGCAACATTTTAATTTATATACTGTATAAATGATTGTGAAGTGTCCTGTATGAAATAAGAAAAAAAGAAGTCATCAGTATTTACTGGGGTTGTTGATATCTGTCTGTCCTTGGTATCACTCAGCCCCCTCTCTCACTCCCTCTCCTCTTTGTAGTTACACATCTGTGGGGTGCACAATGTGAAATATCAACCATTTATTTTTTTGAAATCTGTACAGTGTATATATATAAAAAAAATATAAATGTGTATATAAAACAAAGAAACTGTTGGTACTGCTATGAATTTTTTATAAGATTGTTCTTTTGTGTTTACAAGTTGTAGTGGTCTGTTTGGATCTACACAAAGGCCCAAAAGCAAATATTTATCCTTTGCTTGTTCTATCATCCATTATTGAAAAAACTCTGAACTTTCTGCTGTAAAAAACACCAAAATGAGGGCACATATGGGCAAGTATTATCAGCAAGATATTCTCAGATTCACGAGAAAGAGGGCAGCTCTGCAGGAATACAACTTCGTATCCTGTTTGTACACTTTATATGTGCGACAAACGTTATTAATGATGAGCCTCCCTCAAACTACTTCACATGATATACTCTGTCTTATTTCAGTGGTTCTTGTGAGGGTGAATCCCCCTCCCAAAGACTGCAGAATACATTTAAAGTGTTGTGAATAGATTAATGCGGTAGATCGAAAGCAAATTCTGCCTCACATGGTTAAAAATGTCTCTCACCGCAGCTAGAGTTTACCTGTATTACCTATCTTGGTTTAAAATGTAGAGATAACAGCATAATATCCATACTGCTGCTTTCTATAATCAGTCCAGGGAGAGTCTGTGATTCCTACTAATGAAGGACGAAGATATTTTAATCACCTTTTTTATTCTTTCAATGTAAGATCTTCACCTAGAATGTACAAGGTCACAGCTGGTGGGGTGACAAGTACAGTATTTTCCTCTGAAATGTAAGGGAGGAGTGTTGCAACCTGGCTTTAACACTCGAGTAAAGTAAAACTGTGATGATGCAATGCGCCTTATGAAGACTGCAAGCAGATCTGCAAGCTAAAAATCGAAGTGTAAACAAGGAGAGTTTAAGTGCAGATTTTCAAGATAGTCGGTGCAAACTCACTCAGTTCGATTAGATTCTGCAGGTTGATACTATCGCCTTCTTTTTAGAGAATTAGAAATTCAAGGATTGCTAGAAGTTTAGAGACGTATTTGCTCACTTCTGATTTTCTTTCTCTTCTAGGTCAGGCAGATTTGGGCCCGGGACTGTAACAGTAATTTACACAGATCTTCAGATTTGGGTCTGGTCCTTCAAATGAGGGAATCTGCCTCCTCTTCCTCCTACATATCACAATTCTTTGCATCTTCAACACCAGATAACATCTAAGTTAAAAATAATGTGATTCATGTGTCATTTTTTGAAAGGCTGTCTAATTTGCCAACTTATCTAACATCCTCAAAGTTAAACCTGGCAGAAGCTCTCACCACAGAGAGCAGCGTTCCTCTGCACTCCTCTGCTCACGATTCTCCAGGAGACATGCGAAGACAAGATGAAGGCTCGGGATGCTGATGGTGTTGGTGGCGGAGGAGAGAAGAAACAAGAGAGAAACATGAGATTGAAATTCCAGGGGAACGGAGGGTGACTGCACGTAAGAGGATAAAACAGAGAGCTGTCACGACACAGGAAGCAGCAGTGGAGGATGACAGGAGCGCAGGGCTACAGATAGGCACAGTGGGTGTGCGTGGGCATCTGATGAATACACACTCCAAACAAGCCTTAGAGAAAGAAGGATGGGAATTTTGCTCCCCCCTTCCACATGGGATCTACAGGTGGCTTTTTTCTATTTCAAGGCAGGGAATTGTCACAGTCAAGGAAAATCAACTGCAGCTATTATCAGATGTAGTCAAGTATGCAGAGCAGTTATTTAGACATCACTACTTTACACACTGGTAGATATTCCAGAACAGTTTTCCTGGCATCCATAACGGGACCTTGAAATGATTCCTTAAAATGTGCTCCGCTGCATGTTTGAACTTGTCTGTTGGTCCCTCCTCTTCCTCTTTTAATAGTGAACAATATTTTAGAGGTGCATCATAAATGTTTGCATTTAAACCATAACTATGTCAAAGTATGTAACATAAACCACATGCCTACTTTTATTCCTCTGAACTAAAAGTAGAAGATTGCAGAATATAAGTTGCTATGAATCCATTTAAACTGTACTAAAGTACTACGTTCAAGTACATTTTTTTAGGTAAGTGGCTGCACTGAGAAGACCATAAAATGACAGATGGTAGGTGAGCAGAGAACACACAGAGGGGAACCCTCCTGATGTCACTTTGGTCTATTTTTATATAAACTGAGGACCAAATAACTGAAGGCTGAAGTTCTTATTGAAGATACGTTGCATTCAAAGTCATGAGAAATAAAAACACATCTCAGTATTTATCTGTGGGATTGTCTCATTTGTTTAACAGCTTGGCAGTGGATCATGTGTACATTATTATTCCATGTGCGTACACTGGCAGTCATCTGCTTTCAGATTCTGAGCACATCTCCTGGCCAGAGGGCATTTCCCTACTGCTCTCAGTACAAGGTTCCACTGAACTGACATGACACACAGCCAGGCAGGATATTTATCCCATGGTCAACACACATTGATCCAGAGCTGTAGGGGGGAAATCGTGACCTTGTCTTTGAGCCCTAAGCGGAAGATAGATGTGGTTTAAAATGAGAAATCTGGCGTGATAGAGAGTGTCTCTGATGCTTTATGTCATCTCAAATGAAACATGCTGCCAATTCTCTTGCTAAAATCCCATCCATCCCTAAATAAATCAAATATGTGCAGTTGAAGATTTTTCCAGGTGGTTTGCGCCTCTATTTTCTTCATTCTTACGCATCAGAGAAGAGTTCATTTAACAACTATGGGCTGATTTCTTGTTGCTCTCTTTAAAGAGGTATGTGAAAAACAAATGTAGGTTCACAGGTGACTGATATGCCAAAGAGCTCAGCAGGTGCTTCATTTTTGACAGTCATTAGAAGTAAAGATATCTGCTTCCCCCTGATGTCCATTCATAGGTACTGCAGGCAGAATCAGCTTCATTGTGTAACAATTTCTGCTCATTGAAACCGCCATCGTCTCCTCCTCCCCCTCCTCTCAATGAGATACGTACAGAATCAACATAAGCAGCACAAAACAGAGCACCATTGTTTATTAAATAACTCATGTCAGAGCAGGCACAGTGAAATCATCAAATGTGGGCAAACCAAGACAATTCAACAAGTTAGGCTACTGAGTGAGTGGATCAATTTTCTGTTTAATTGTTCGGTATATACACACATGATTCACTTGTATCTATTCATCAAAGCTGGCTTATTCAGTATGCATATCACATACTGAGCAGTTTAATATACAGTCTATAATCACAAATTTACAATTCAATTAATGCAAAATATTCAGAACACCTTCCTAATATTGCATTGCATTAATTTCTGCTTAACCAGCAAACCTCCTTTAGCTTCTCAGAACCTTCTGAAAGAGTGGGCTGAGGTTGTTACAGCAACAGTATTACATAGAGATGTGTAGAGCACTAGATAGTATGACCAGAGAAACTGCGAACTTCTGAAAGATTTTCCTGGTGGGTTATGACACTTATGTTTGATCCGCTGTCCCACTTAAAATGAGTCTTTGAGCAGGTCTAAGTATCCTCGATCCTCACTGGCTTTCTTTGTCCAGGTACTCCAGGTTGGGTGCATCTAACCTCTGTTCATGGTCGCGATTCTTTGTGAACTCCTTCAGCATGTCCATGACCTCTCCCTGATAAACTTCAGGTGTGGGCTGAGCTTCTGTAAGCATGAAAAGGACAATTTTACAGGTATTAGTTTTACTGATCAAAATCTTTAGTTTCTTACCCACCCTAAATAATAATAGTAAATCAGATCTAAAACAGTTCCTGGTTAGTATTAATTCTGTTATAACATATAAAATAATGTGGTCCACTGTTGCTTTTGACTGAAATATGCGTCAGGTTCTTAAAAATGTACCATAACCCCATGCATTTTTCATAATCACGTATGTTAGACTCTGACACGTATGGAATAATGGGTGTTATTATGAGAATAAGAATCAGAATCAGCTTTATTAGTCAAGTATGTGGGCACATACAAGAAATTTGACTCTGGTAAACTTTACCCTCTGTGTACAAACATTAACACTGACACGAAATAAATACAAAAATGACAAGATAAGTACAAGCCATTAAACTTCTTTATACAAGACTATTATTATTGTAAAGTTTTTGGATTATTAGAAGGAAAAAAATAACAGCATGGTATTGGCATTATCAATCAGCTGACCTGCTCTCTAATTATTGGCATGGATCGACCTAAGTCTATCTTTCCCATCATACAAACCTGTAATGTTCTTCGATGTATTATGTTTACCTTTCTGTATGAAACTGAACAGATCAATTCACAGGTGTGAGGTTTTCTCACCTGTTGCCCAGTAGTAGATGTCCCAGTCGTTGCTTGGTTCATTGATCAGTCTGTCATATTGCTGCAGCTGCTTTTCACTCATTGTGTTCAGGTAACGTTTTGCAAACAGGCTGCAAGAAAGATGAAGGATTGACATTAATATGTGTTTTTTTTTGTCAATGTAAAGCCTGAAGTTGATGACTGGCTACAGAGTTGACTCATTGATCTATCAGGTCTTTCACATCTTTTTAATCCTCTACTCCTTACAGTAGCCATTCTCTCTCTTACTTAGATTTTTCTCTTATCTTTTTCACTTCTTATTAACAAACATCTTCCCTGTAGTTGTGTAACCAGCTCTCATCTTTGACTTGTTCCTCCACCTTGTTCCAACTCCTACCATGACTGCCTCCTGACACTTCTCATAGTGAACCGTGGGATGTTTCATTGTAATGACAAATTATTATATCAAGATAAATGAAAATCCAATATCTCACATGGTGGCAGCTTTTTCCTTCACTACTCCTACTATCCTCTGAACAATCAACTTAAATAACAGAGTTGGCAGAATGGGACAACTTCTTTAACAGACTGAAGAAACTTTAAAAATACTTGTCACGCAGACATATCTCATACTTGTACAGTAACACAGCTCTAAAATTTGCAAGTGTTGTATGAACCATCACCAGTACAGCTACACATCACACACAGAGAAGACAACAACCTGAGCAGAATGCAGTTCTCTAACATGCCCCTCTTCCGACTCTCATACAGCAAGCGCCGCCTCTTGATGTCAGTAGGTTCACCGGGCTTCTCCTCCCAAGGCGGCAAAGGAATCTCAATCAAGTCACCTCTGGTATCATCTGGTGCATCTCCACGGTAACCACGAGATGATACCAACCCTGTGACTACAGGTCTCCATGTTCCCTGGCACAACCCTGTCACCAGCTGCCAGGAAACAAAAACACATGTGAGTACAAACAGAAGTATTATGATTCGCATTGTAATATAATTAATTCTATTCAAAGGACTGAGGCCTGGTGTTTTGTTGTAATTAATTTATATGAACACATTTAATGATTGATTGATTAATTAATTAATGAACACAGTTCTAATAAAACTTATGACAGACTAAATTCTCTTTCAAGAGTAAAAAAAATGGGGTTTTTTTGTAAATGAATGTCTAACCCCTTCATCCATGTGCTTCTAACCTTCAAAGACTCCATGAATTGAGGCCCATCTCCTAAATATTTGTCACGTGATCGATTTCTTTTACTTTTCCAAGCAACAGCGGGTGGCTCAACTTACCCCACTCCCCCCTACCTATTTTAATTACAGTTTCATGTGGATCTTCACAGTCCGATCAGAGAGTTTTCACGGTCCAAATGTGCCTTTTTTCCCCACTTACTGTCTAACAATAAACTAAATCAGTCAATCAGCTCAGAAATGTTGACATAATATCTAATTTTTCTCTACCTGAAATGAAGCACAACTAAAACATTTTATCATCATGTTCGCCATGTGTTTCCCAGGTGTGCAAAACCCAGGGGCATTAAGAAACTTCAGATACAGGAGGAGGGTGTGTGTATGTAATGTAACACGCTGCCCTGTTGTACAACTGTTTGACCATGGATTGTACAACTGTCCTCCAGCAGGACACGCTTTTGCAGCAAAGCTAATACCGCTAAGACAACACTATTACAGCTGAAATTCAGTATAGTCAGTGACAGAATTGCTGCATCATAAAGTAACAAAAAACGGAATCATTTTCGTTTCAGTAAAATCTGCTGAAGTCTTCCATAAGCGCCAGCGACCCGGGGGGTTAGCATTCAGAGTTCAACGGACAAATATACAAACAAATGAAAAGTTATCCGGGTAACTCACTCTCCTTGAAAGCACAGAAGACAGCATTTCAATCCGGTTTATTGTGATGCGAGAAATCTTGTAGATGACCTCTCTGTCCGCCGCAGAAATGTCTCTGAGCCTGAGCAGCAAAATTACACAACTAGCTTTCACGTAACAGTAGCAAACGGGAAACGCCACACGGGGAGCTCGACACGGCGCACACACGACGCCATGTTGGTAAGGTCATGTTTTGTTTGACACCAATTTGGGTCTGTTTACCTATAGGGATTGGTGTCAGCGGGTAGTTTAGCCATTTAAGCATGTATTTTTTAATATATATATATATTTGTGGGATTGAGTTTTTTCAATGTTTAGACAGTATCTTTATTTTTTATAGGAATCTAAGGGAGCTTGGTTATAGGAACTGAATGTTGTTTTGCTGTTTATCAACCGGCGGAGTTTCCCGACGGACCTCCCCGCTTACCAACATTAGCATTGCCTCAACAACAATCGAGCAGAAACAATTTTTATTTGCACTATCACACTAAAGGCTGTGCATCTGTTACGAGTGTCGTTACTTAAATATAGTCACCTTAAATCTATACGTTCCACTATTGCTTTGTATTGATGTTGAATTTCGCAGACGTTACGGAATATCCTTCTGCGGACTCGAGCCAAACGTTAGCTAACGTTATAAACACAGCGTAACTGAACACTCATTTTTAATGGAAAAGTACACAAAAAAGAGAGAAAAGTACTGATAAATTATAAAGTTACATGAATGAACTGCGTTAAAAAAAATAGCTACAGTTCCATCAGCTGGATCCCCGCAGGCCTGAGTGATGGCTGCTGCAAGACCTGCAGCTGGACCAAGTACCTCACAGACAGGTCCTGTAGATCTTTACAGCGACCTGGATCAAAACGAGGAGGTGAGCTGTGTCATACATTTATCATTGTAGAAAAATGCACCAGGACAACAATTGTAATTCTAAACTTGATGAGATCTCGCTTAAGTGGAGTTGAAACACAGATTTTAACCTGCCAACATGTGAACTGATCACATCATTTTAGTCTGTAGAGGAACCATCTGATTATTCACACTAAGTCGAGCCACCCCCTGTTCCTTGGAAATGGTAAAAGAAATTGATCATGTGACCAAATATTTAGGAGATGGGCATCAATTCATGGAGTCTGTGAAGGTTAGAAGCACATGGGTGAAGGGGTTAGACATTTATTTACAAAAAAAACCCTTTTCACTCTTGAAAGTGAATTTAGTCTGTCATAAGTTTCATAAGAATTGTGTTCAGACCAAAAAAGATCATTTTAAATTTGTTTTATACATCAATTGTGGTATCTATGAGCTACAACGTGAGGTAAAAAACCTAACATAAAAGTCCACCATTTTAGCTTAGAGGACTAATAAAGTCATAATAGTACAAAACCTAATTCCATTGATGTTGGGAAATTGTGATAAACGTAAATAAAAACAGATTACAATGATTTGCAAAATACGACAATGGAGACCCCGGACTGTTGAACAACTGAAGCTGTACATCAAGCAAGAATGGGAAAGAATTCCACCTTCAAAGCTTCAACAATTAGTCTCCTCAGTTCCCAAACGTTTATTGAGTGTTGTTAAACGGAAAGGTGATGTAACACAGTGGTAAACATGCCCCTGTCCCAACTACTTTGGCACGTGTTGCAGCCATTCAATTCTGAGTTAATTATTATTTGCCAAAAAAAATAAATAAAGTTTATGAGTTTGAACATTAAATATCTTGTCTTTATATATTCAATGGAATATAGGTTGAAAAGGATTTGCAACTCATTGTATTCTGTTTTCATTTACGTTTATCACAATTCCCAACTTCAATGGAATTGGGTTTTGTAGTTCTGGGGTAAGTTGAGCCAGTGACTCAACTGAGAAAGTAAAGGAGTCTGATGAGAGGATCAGAGTTTCAGTTCAGATTGTTGAAATGTGTTACTTTTTCTTTTGAAAAATACAGCTGTGAATGTTCTGAATCACTTAAAGGCATTCTCAAGTCTGTTATTAATAGAGAGAGAAGGTGAGGTAGGGCTGGGACGGAGGGTGGGGTAGTAGGGATTTGGCTCAACTTACCCCGCTCCTATACTCAATTTACCCCATACACGGGGTAAGTTGACCATAGGAGACCACTTTGATCTGAAATATGAAAAATGGCTCATCTTACCCCACTCTCCCCTACACAGTGTAGCATATGAAGTTACTTTTTGTGTTTTCCTATCACACAGGATTTGGACCAAATTGCAAATGAAGAAGCAAATGAACTTTTTGATGCTGTACTGACTGGCTCAGTCAGTCTGGAAAAGAAAGTCACCACTACTAAGGAGTCTCCACAGAAAGAGTCAACTGAAGCGGAGGATCAGTTACAAAAAGTCACTACAGTGAAAGGAGGAGGCACGCCGAGGAGACTGGCTTTATATATAGGAAATTTCCCTTGGGTGAGTTACACTCGTCCTATAGTTCTGTTAATTTGTTGCTGGGGGCTTGCAAAGCCCTTTTTAAACTGACTAGGATGATAAGTTTGACTTCAGTTTAGCATTAGAGTGCTTTTTCTCAAGCATTTGCCTCAGTAGCATCTTTATTATCCACCCATCTCGGTGGCTAGATGTATGGCATTGTACTCTCTCAGTTTTGAATTTGAAAAAAGCACATCATACTCCATACAAACTATTACTTATATTTCTGTCTCATAAAGACAACACAATTAGGTTATAAACAAGCCAAAATTTGCTCTTTGTCATCTCGTAACTATGTGCTTATCTAAAGGTTAGGAAGTACTGGTTTTAAAACACAGCATATCACACCATTTTATAGAACAGAATGACCTGTTTGGGGTTGATTTGCTTTTACACATGCTGTACATGAATAGGGAGAGTTTTAATTGCATTAAAAAGGGCAAAATGTAAGATTTTAAACCCATCCAGGACATGTCCTGATCATTTATTAACAGCTCATGAGTTTTTAAAGGAGTCCCTGTATAGTCTATCACCACAGCTTGTTTCAGTGCTGGGGCAGTGAACTCATCTTGGCTGGAAGTTAAATAAGATGGACAATTCTATAACACATCTCAAACATATATAGATGTTGTTTCTGTGTTACCTCTCAATTCCTCAATTCTTTTGAAATCCACTTTTTTCCCCCAGTGGACATCTGATAAAGACCTTGTAGGCATGGCTCGAACGTTAGGAGTGAGAGACATCACAGAGATTAAATTCGCTGAGAACAGGGTAAATGGTCAGTCACGAGGGTAAGTAGTTTACAAAAAGTGGATTTCTTTGACTTCATAAAGATTTGGCTGTCTCTATCCTAGTCTTGCTATCCATTTATTCGTGTCCTCTTGTGCTCTGCTTAGATACGCAGAAGTGGTTGTTACCTCAGAGGAATCATTAAAGACATTATTAGAGAAAATACCTCAATGCAAACTTAACGGAGAACGGATAGATTGTCGCTTCGCCACCCGCCAGAACCTCATGGTGTTTGAGGACACTGCAAATAAACGTAAGACATACACAATCTTAAGGAAATACTATTTATCTGCTCTGTATCAGTATGACTGTAATCTCTCTAAACTTGTTCTTTTTAGGTATACCCATGCGTGCTGCCTCCAAAGATCCTAAAGACTCTGATTCCTCAGATAAAATCCCCTTGTTGTTATCACAAGAGTCCAGTCCCCCGCCCATTCCTCCTCTTTTCCCCCCGTTTGCAAACAGGTTTCACTCATTTCCCGGCCCTTTCTTTGGTCAGCCACCTCATACTTTCCCACATTTTCCCCCAAACATCCCTCCACCACTTCCACCCACTTTGTTCCCACCTCCAGCCCATGTCCCAGTTCAACCGTCTCCAAGCCTGCATATAAACCCAGCTTTCTTCGCTCCAGGACAAGATGGGCATAGCAGCAAAGCTTACAGCCAACAAAAGTAAGAACTCTCAGTTTTTATATTTTTAAAGCCTGTGCCAACCCTCAATGGTTTCGTTTTTTCTTTCAATTAGATGATGAAACTTGATTATAAAGTCTCTGAAAAGAATCTTAAAAGCAGCAAATGGCCATTATATTTTAGAGCAAGGAGACGCAAAATACATATTCCATTAATAAGGTGCTCTGAATCAGGATATAAATAAAGATTTTAACTCTTTCTTGTGATCAATATTTCACAAAGGCTTTATTTGGATGTTTTTGTAAAAAATTTGAGATGATAAAATAAAGCTGTCTGTTTTTTTTTCAGCAGCACGCCTCCAAGTACACAAGAAGACTTTGAGGAGCTTATGAACAGAAATCGAGCTGTTGCCAGCAGCGCAATCACAAAGGCAGTGTCTGGAGCAACAGCTGGTGAGTACAGATGATCAGATTCTGTGGAGCAGGAGCATGTTTGTCAAACTTAATGAGCCAAATAGAGAAGTCAGTGGTTTTCCCTGCAACTGACTCTTTCATATGAGATGAAAAAGGACAAGAAAACCTTTCCCTTTTTTTTTTTTTTTTTTTTTGCTTAACATTTTATGTAAAGTTTTCTTTCAAAATAGCTTTGAATTATTACAAATGTGTGTTTAAATTTCACTTTTTAAATTGTTAGTAATTCATAACAGTTTTTATTCAGACCTATTACTCTTAAGAGCCCATTTTAATTCCACCTTTTAAGGTCTCTTGTTTCCAATCTGGAATATTTCTCTGTAACATCAAATGTTCATGGCTTATTCAGCAACCATCAAAATGTGTTACTGTTGTGTAACAACAGCGAATATCACACAGTTTTGTTATCATAGGGGATATTTGTAAGACTCTTTTACTCAAAATAAGAAGCTCATGAGAAAGTTTATTGAAAGGCATTTCAAAGATTTTAAGTGAATACCGTATTTTTCGCACTATAAGGCGCACTTAAAATCCTTTTGGCTTGTCGGAGCACTGCAGCTACCGTAGCCCCGCGGAGTTATTGACTGTTTTGGTCGGCTTAATGCACTTTATAATCCAGTTCGCCTTATGTATGAAAATAGACGCAAATAGACGTGTTCATTGATGGTGCGCTTTATAATCAGGTGCGCCTCATAGTGCGAAAAATACGGTATGTCTTCACCAGTTTTTCCACACCTGTTTTTTTTTTTTTCCCCTTCCAAGCAGATCCTCTCTGTCTCTTTCACACCAAAACAGGAAAATTTGATTTTCACTGAGATGCATGACCAACATTTGACTCCTGCACCCAAGAACACACTGACATTTGTCCAAAGTCCTTCCAGCGCTGTCTTGACTATGTGCTTTGGGTCATTGTAATCCTATAATGTGAATCCTCAACCCGGTCCAGCTGTCCTATCTCTCTCTTTGTTTGTTTTTTGTTGTTGCCAGTAAATGTGTTGTAGAGGTGTTCACCTGCACTAATGCACAGGAGCTGGCAATAAGCGCTTTTGTCAGAGCGCCAAGAGTCAGTTAATTGGCTTTTTGGCAACCTCCAGGCATATGCATTCAGAGTATAAGTGCCTTCCATAGAGCAGGTATACATCAGGGATTTGAAGAATGGACTTGTGCACGAATGGTTTTTCATGAACTGTGTAACCCTGTGTGCTCATGGTAACATCCAGAGCTGTTGTGAGTCTTCTAAAAACTGCTTTTCCTTAATTTGTGTGAGGCCAAAATATGAATCTTAATGGTCAGCAGGTGGTTTTTGGGATTTGAACTGGCTTGTAGCTCACTAGTTATCGAGAAATTTAAATTACATCCCATGAAACTCATTAGTTTCGTGTAACTGTTACACACACTGTTACGACCAGCTCGTGTAAGGGAGAAGGGAAGCAACATAAAACCGACCAGATGTTAAATGATCAAATCAAGTTATTTATTAACAAAAGTAAAATTGGCAGTAACAACAAAAAGAGAGGCAACAAAGGCCTTAAAGGAAACTTAACAGGTTGCCAAAAAACACAGGGAGACTCTAACCTAGAGTTAGTTACCAGTAAAATAAAAAGATCTGCTCACATCGGCAAGAAACGAACTCAAATACAATACTCAGCCCTAATGCTGGATACAAAAAGGAAAGCAGGTAGGCGTGTGCAAACCAAAATGCCTCACAAGCTACGAAAAAGTCCCAATTCACAATCACTAAGACAATCTGTCTGAGGAAGAGGCATGGGAGCTCCACTGGGTACAGCGTGCTCCCTGATCTGCAGGTCCGCTGGAGTTTTATCCACTCCCCCCAAGTGGCTCCTCTCAATTGGCAGAAGCCCTCAGCCAGTCAGTGTTTGCAGTTTCCAGGTGGAGGTGATCAGGCACTTAATTGATCCGCAGCCACGGCAACCTGTGAACTGCAGGCAGCATGCACACACAGGCACTCTCACACACGCACACACACACACACACACACACACACACACACACACACACACAGAGGAAAACCCAAGACTCGCCACACTAAGGCGGCGGCCGTAACACACACAAAGACAAATATGAACAGAAATGGGGGATTTGGACATGTGGGATTAGACAATTGCGAAATTAAAGTATCGTTAGTGTTGTAGGAGTTAAAACTGATCACTATTACACCAGATTCTTGCATTACTCACTGCTTGGCGCGTTCCTGTGAGGTTGGTAATCAAAAAGTAATGGCAAGGAAAAAACCTTTCAGGTGTTAATTATAAAAATCAAATTATAAGAGTTTGTGAAAAAGAGCTGGAATCCTATGAATCACATCAAGATGTTCTCAGTTGTTTGTTACTGGCGCTTTGTCCAAATGGATGCTAGTGCTTGAAACTTAGCTTAAATCTTCATTGTGACAGAAGAAGGGGAATGTCAACCTTCTAAAGTTATTTTAATTGACTCTAATTGAAGAAGTTTTAACATTTTTTAACATTTTTCTTTCTTGAATGCTGATGCAGGAGACTTACGGGTGGCCATGGAGACGTTACTAACTGCAATTGCCATCATAAAGCAGTCCAGAGTGTATGGAGATGAACGCTGCCAAGCCCTGGTCACCTCACTTAAAGACTGTCTGGTCTCCATTCAGGGCAACTACGGCTACAGGTTTGTTCTGTAATGGTCTGAGACCAACATGAAGCAACTAGCTGCTCGAGAATAACCAAAGCCAGGGATGAAAACAGCCTTCAATCGGTTAGTAGTATAAAACAAATACATGTGTTTCTACAGGGGCAATAGTCGATCTGAGGATGAAGACAGAGACTGGGACAGGGGTCGTGACAGAGAGCGAGAGCGTGACAGAGAACGCGACAGAGAACGTGACAGGGATGATCGTTCTGGTTGGGAAAGTTCGGGGACGCCTCGAAGACGCAGAGAACGTTCCTGGAGTGGAGAGAGGGACCATGGACGGTCAAGGGAGAGAGAAAGGCACCGAGACCGAGACCGACACCGCTGATTTGGTAGGTATACCTTCAAGTGGGTAGTGCTGATTTAATTTTCATGATACATGGAATTAACAAGTAAGATACTTAGACCTGAAGGCCTAACAGGGATTTTAATAAGTTCGTCTCATTAACTTCATCATTACTTTGAAGGATCCATTTGAATGTGAGGTAATAATACAAATTAGGGCAATAACTCAGCAAGCATACATGCACCAATAACAAAGACCAAGAAGATGAAGAAAGATTTTCATCCACTACAGAGGTTTACAGCATTAAAGAGCTTTCTGAACAGTGATATGGTGCAAAATGAAATGACAGAGTACCATTTAGTTCTGGTTCTGATAAAACAATGTACATGCAGCCACTCACTTACTTTTAAGGGGGCAAAGTAAACAGTCATGATTGTACATCTGTGAACATAGATTTGAATAGTATGTTTTTTTTCTTACAGACTGTTGGAAGGGCAAAGTGTGAAGCACAGCACAGTATCTCCGCACCAAGCTGCTCAAGACTTTGGAGGAATCTGGGGCGATACTGAAGACGTATGTCCATAAGTGTACTTTTTTTTTGCTCACTAGTCATCTGGAAACAATTTGACTCTTACCTGCATTCAGAAAAATGTTGTAGATTTGTTGCTTGGATTTCAGATTCCAAGGCTTGCATGCACATCATCACCTCTTATTAACTTATGTAATACAGTGTAATGTTTTCATTTTTTTGTATTAAACTTACAAATTAAAAACATTCCCCTAAAATGTGGGTCTGTGGTTTCCTTTCATTACCTCAGATTCCTACATTTTTACTCAATTATCCAGTATTATGCAAAAATTCTGTATGGCGAATAACCAACAACACAAATTGAGATGCATTAAATCAAGCAAATGTCTAGGATCATCAAACCCTATTAGCACAATAAACACTTCAATTGCTAATACACTCCCTATGTTTAACTTTTAGAGGCTGTTCATTCTGACATGTACCAGGTAATCTGAGAAAATGGTTAACATATGCAAAACCGACACAGGATGATTTGATTCTTCAACATGAAATATGAAGAAAAAGAAGTTAGCTAAACTTACAGAAGTATTTTGCTCAAAGAAACGAGAAGCCGCTTTATTTTTCGTGCAGCATAAATGTAAGAAATATTTTTACCCTTTGGTTTAAATAGAGACATTTAATAAGCCTATGGTAGAGACAATGGTGTCATTTCGTCACTTTATTAAAAAAAAGAAAATGCATTATGAAATAGTCACACTGTTGCCCAAAATTGCAGTCACATATTCAGATAGCATACATGAAACAGTCCACGCTTAAGTCCCACAAAGTCCATGCAGGTCCTGAGAGTGGACTGATAGTATCACTTCTCCAGTGGGGCGTAATTCAACAATTTCTCAATAAGATCCACATGAGAAAGGAGCATCCTCCGACAACAGTATCTCTTCAGGCCAAGGGCATCCAGGGCATCACTTAAAGGGAAGAGAGAAGGTGATGTTAGTCTTAGTGCATGACATATTTAATGAATGAATACGTAAAGTAGAAGGAAGTTTATGAAAACAATACTCTATGGTAGGGCTGGACGATTATATGATCGTGATTAATGATTGTGATAAATTTCAGTTCGACCACGGTAATCAGCTGTGAGCATATTTACTCGATCAATGCTCACCTCTGTAAGTTACATGAGAAGTAAACAGAATGACGGAAAGTGGAGCTCAACACGGAGCTAAGGGCAGCAAAATAGACATCAGCCGTGACTTTTGAGTCATCCTCCAAAGATGCCATAGTTAAGACGAAAAGTTAATCAACGTCGGTCGTGCGGCGGTGGTTCGGGTATCTTCAACGTGACGTTGAGCAATGAAGTCAATGTGCAAGGTATGTCGGCGGTCGGTGCCCTCAAAAACTGGCAACACAACAGATCTGTTCAATCATTTGAAGAAGCACGAAAATGTGAGCGGAGTCTGCACAGCCTACCACTGCTGACGGCACTAGTAGCATTAGCAGTTTAGCTAATGTTACTAGCGGTGCAGCCACCAGACCAAAGCAGCAGTCAATCTTATCATCTACGTTTACATCATCTAATGTTTACATTTTAAGACGTCTTCATTAGCTCTGAGGGGGCGATTTGTTTATTTTGGGTCTTGCATACCTGCAGAAACACTCAGGACTGTAAACTCATTCACTGTTTCATTTAGTATTTATCTACATTTGTTGTACTGTTGAGTTAAAGTGGTTTTATTAAAATCTATCTTATTCCGTTTGCTTTATTTACTTTGTATGTTATTAAAATGTTGAAATAATATCCAGTTTCCTTAGTTTTTAGTGCAGATGCTTTAAAACTAGCAGTTTAAAAAAATACACAAAAAAATCGTGATAATGATTGAGATCAGATGATATAACGAAACATATCGTGATCATCTTTTTGTCCAAATCGCCCAGGCCTACTCCATGGTGAGGTAATTGCTAGACAACGCAAAACCATGAAAAAAATCTATAAATTGTTTGATTGCTGGATAGACTAAAAGGTTTTTAAGTGTTGTACTAGGATTGGAGACTTCATGAAGACTTGTGCAAGTTATTTTTTTTTTTACTCGAGTCTTAATTGTGGTTTAATAAAATCTTACACAGTCAACTATTAACTACATATGATTATCAAATTATCTCAGTAATTAGCATGCTTTTATTCATCTCACCCCTCGGTATACTCTGCTTGAAGTAGCCCGAGGTATGCCTCCCACTTGTTCCCCACGATCTTCCCACAGGTGAAGCAGCGGACAGGGATGATCATTATGGGATACCTGGAAACAGGAACGCACACGGTGTGAAACAAGACAGTAAAGCCCAGTTGAGTAAGATGATTGTGGAGACAAAAACACGTTATTTTCGTCTGAATACAGTTATGGCTGAAACTGTCAGAAAACAGCATGTCGGGAGATGAACCCTCGTGGAGTAAGCTGACAAACAAGCGATATCGCTGGTTTCATGGGTAACATTAAACCTAATTCTACTACTAGTACCATGACTGGAAAAATGTATGAAGCCCTGACAGCTGTTTGAGTATCCTTCAGGGGATTTAAGTGCTGTTTTTCCAGTCTTCTGTTTGGTATTAAACTCATTGAGTACCTGGAGCGTCTGAGCTAGCTTGGTGACTGTAGCCACGAGATTAGCATAACACTCCACTGCTAACAACGCTAACCGCTCGTTTGTTTCCACTGGTTACGTTAATAACCGGTCAAAACACTAAAAATAATATTGTTTGCATCATATCTACTCACCGTCACCAGTCAAAGTCTCTCTTAACCTTAGTGTTGGACAAATTTTAAAGAAACCAGCCGGGACACTGATTAGCGTTTCCCTCCTTCACTCCAGCCGTAACCCTAATGTGACTTCCGGTCTATATCCTTCAAAGTAAAAGTATATTTTACACTGTGGTTCACTCATAATTGAAAGGGCTCTGTCGTAAATGTTGACATGAATAATTCAAGAAAATAATTTTATGTATCCCCTATAATATAAGGCTTTATACAGTATTAATAACCACAAGCTCTATGAATTTAAAGAAGACATATCACTTGTCTTGAAAGGTCTGACCATAAACCAGCAAGCTGTGTCACCTCTATAAAGCAAGGTTAAAGGGATACTCTGGTGTAAAATAAAGTTAGGGTCAAAGACACGTAACATTAAGTCAGACACCCCGTCGAAAGATTAATGTTGCTGACCGCTTGCTTCTCTAGTTATACCAACTTAAGTAACGACCACACGATTGCAATACACAGCGGTCTAAAGAGCCACGTGCTCAACCAAAACGCCATTCTGTAGCCACAAATAATGCTCAGAACAGCACCTGACTTCATCAACAGTACATATAGGGTCCCAGCCATAGTACTAGCCACCAAACATCTTTTTAGCTTTGCCTGGTTACTTTGGTAAAGAGACCAAACACAACTCACCAACTCTCCTTAAGCAGAAGAAAATTTATGATCATTACTTCATGGAAATGTAATCAAACTGAGACGCTAAGGCAGAAGAACCACTACGTCTGCAGTGCACATACAAGATACTCAAGAACTCTGGTAGCATGTCCATAAAGTAATAATCATAAATGTTCTTCCTTGAGCTGTGGAACTCCGCTGCACTCAGTGATCGACTCATCAGGGCTCCCCCACAATCAAGCGGCTGCTGGAAGAGAGTGGGTGAGTTGTGTTTGGTCTCTTTGCCAAAGAAATCAGGAAAAGCTAAAAAGATGTTTGGTGGCTAGTGCTATGGCCCGGACCCTGTATGTTGATGAGGTTGATGATCATTTCCTCGAAGTAATAATCATCATATTAAACATTTTGCACTGCAGATGCGGTAGTTCTTCAGTGTCTCGGTCTGATTGCATTTCCATGAAGAAATTATCATAAATGTTTTTCCTTGAGCTGCTTCACCCTGCTGCGGTAATGAATTGGCCTGAGGTCTCCATACAAACAAGTGGCTGCTGGAAGAGAGTAGGTGAGTTGTGTTTAGTCTCTTTGCTAAAGAAACCAGGCAAAGCTAAAAGATGTTTGATGGCTAGACTATGTCTGGGACCCTATATGTTCTGTTGATGAAGTTAGGTGCTGTTCTGAGCATTATTTGTGGCTATAGAGTGGCGTTTTGGTTGCGGTTTGCGTGTGGAGATGTAGTATTTTGTTATTGAACCATTTCGATGCAGTATTCATCCATACGGTGTGTTTGACCCAAACTGAATTTTACGCCGGAACATCCCTTTAAATCAATTTGAAATTTTAGAAAAAAATTCCATCAAGTATGTGGTTGTCAATGACGTTAGTATTTTGTTATTGAACCATTTCGATGCAGTATCATCCAAAGGGAAATTTAAAATTTTGACTGGATAGTTCAGGTCAGAAATTAACCATTTTTGTTTCGGGATTGTACTTTTTTTGGTTTGACTCGAGTGCCATCAGCAATTATACCTATGATTTATTTAGAAATAAATGACCATGGACTCTGAGTCTGAAAGATTTTAATGCAGGAGATCTAGTACTGAATAAGCCTATGTCTTCTCTAGATAAGTCCATACTGTCTGCAACTGTGAATGAATCATGAAAGCTCCAGTTAATGATGAGTTCTATTTAAGACATCTTTTCTTCTAATTAACCAACATAGCCGGAGCTCTAACTCGCATATGCTTTCGAATCCTAAACAGTTGTGAGCAAATCTGTAACACTCATCAGAGAAACACACATGTGGACTGGTTCACTGACTTTAATAAAGATTAGATTACAGCCTTTCTGTTTTTTACATTAGGTGTTTGGGGGCAGAGAGGGGGGTGCATAAGGAAAACATGTTAGAAATATATCAAAAATATATCATAACCATCATAATCTTCAATACAGTCACCTCATCAAATCATGGTCATCTTCATCTTGCAGTCATTGCCACCACTTATATCATACATTATCATCCTAACAGTATTATTACATCACCTTTATATAATTTAACTTGCTACAGCACGGGTGCTAAATGAGGAGACCTACCTGAATTATTGCATTTATACGCTGTTGAAATTATGAAAATAGGATCTTTTTTGGTACACTGTATTGTACAATGTAAGGTGAAGATTTTTTGGTGTTGGCATATTATCTTTTAGATGTGTTTGGGTTGTTAACTGTGGTAAATGTGGTATTTTTATACAATATTCTTTAGCCAGTATGAAGATCTAAAATTCATATTTATCCTTACAACTGATATCAAGGGATGGTGTGTATCACAACTGTCTATCAGCTAACTACTTATGCAACAGGAACAACCCAATGAGCTTTACATGTGAGTGGACAATCTTGTGTACATCTGGACAGGTGAAGATTTGCAGCAGCAGCAAAACTGAAACACTAGTGGCTGTTCAGATTGCTCCAGCTACATCAGCTGTAAGATGTAAACAAATTGAACCAGCGTTGGTGTGAGACATGAAAGGTTACTGATTTGTGACATCATTTTACAATATAGGTAAACTCTTTCTTACTCTACAGCAAGACATTACGGAGCTATTGTTCACTGTCACCTACTACATCTTTTTTTCTCTGACATTTCCCATTATCCTGTTCCTTAATCTTTGCATGCTCATACTTTCTGTTTCTGAAAAAGTTGATTTATAAATTGCTCTGTGGCACTTACTTTTAGATTTTTTTCTTCGATTATCAGGGATGCAAGGCGTCTCTCCCTGTGTTCTAAGGAAAGAGAGATGGAATATCTTGTCTTTGCCACTGATTTAACCACATCGTGTGTGATACATCACATCTTTCAATTGTCTGATGCAGAAGTAAAATAAAGCCTGGGGCGACAGTGGTAGCCAGCATTATTATCCGGAGTTTCGATGCTATGAAAAGATTTCCTCATGATCTTTGAGCAAAGTGAACCAATCACATTTCCAGCACAAGAATGTACAAATATTGCAAGCTTTTGTCAACATTTGTGCAAACTGGATTCGAGAAGATAAAGCAGTTGAATAAACTAGTTTTCGACAGTCTAGGCTCCAAAGCTCTGTACTACAGTGACATTTTTTTAAGAATAGATTATTACACTTTAGATGTGGTGTTGAAGTAACTTCATGCATATACTATATGTAAATATGCTTCATATACAGCCTCAATCAAAACTGGAACGGTTTGATTCATTCAAGTGAAAGCAGGCTAAAAAACAGAAAACAAGATGCACAGTGGCTCCCCTTCCCTAAGGTATCATAGTCTGTGAACCACTTAACAATGGCGCTCTCACTCGTTAACCAATAAATACCATGACTTCACATGATGATTTGGTTTTTAATTTCTCCTTGCCAGTAGCAGCAATCCCAGCAAGATGGCTCCTGCTGCAATTACAGCACCACCAATGAGGAAAGGCTTCAGTTGTTCCAGAGAGTCTGTGCCAGAGGCCGCAGCCTCATCCCCTGCTGCTTCTGTCTCTGCTGCTCCATCCTGAGGAGGGGGCTGCTCGGGCTCAGGTGCTACAGGTGCAGGGTCACTCTTACGTGAGACTGCTGGCTCTTTCTTCTCTGCTTTGGCTGCTGCCTTCGGTGCCGAAGCCCCGGACTTGGCCTTGGCTTCCATGGACTCAGAGACAGAGGTGTGGTCTGGTCTGGTCTGGTGGAGTCTTTATAAGGTCAGCTCAGTGCTGCTTCACTGGGAAAAACAGCAAACAGACAAAGACAGATTATCTTCTAAATTAGGCTCACACATCCTATTATCTGCTCTGTTGAATGAAGATACAATGACAGAGAAAAGAGCCCTTAAAATCAACGAGTCACCGTACAGCAGTGAAGCAGTCCTGTGGTGGTGGGGCCTTAAAAGTGACCTTGGAAAAAGATGACATTGATGGGCACATTCCATCGCTCAAAGGACAGGAAACGGTTTATTTTGGTCACAGCTGTCTTTGAGTGGACAAATAATCTTGTGACAACTTGCTGCGTAACGCTTTTTCTTCCACTAGTCTGCTAGTTTAGTCATGGAAGAGCTAATGATGTTGCAGCTGCAAAGCTTAATCATAGTCAAAAGCCCAATCTGCATTATTTGATCCTGACAAGATCATAATCCTGCTGCAAAAATGTGTGGATTCAACCCCCTTCCTCTGTTTTGCTCTCTGTTCTCTAACTGTGAAACCGCATGAGTCATATCTGCTATAAATGGAGGACAAGATGGAGGAGAGACACAAGCAACGTAACTGTGAGGAAATCAAAGAATTCAAAGAGGGAAAAATAAGGATATGGAAAAACACATCTGAAATTTAATCAAGGGCTTCATAACAGTTTGCATTATACAAAACATTGGCTAGACAAGTCTACAGAAAAATGCAATCCAATCAAATCCTGCAGTGATGCGATAACAGCTAATTTGGATTTTACATACCTCTCCAAATCACTGTAGAGATAACAGGGATTACAGATGGAGGAAGAACTGCGGCAGACTCTGGAAGTGAGAATGTCCTTAATAACAGAAAATGAGGGAAAGCGGAGAGATGGAGGACACTGGAAGCAGGAGGGAGGAGAATGAGAGAAGAGAGGAGGAGAGATGGAATGTACCAACTGGTTCTCCGAAAGGGGGAGTTTATTCTTTGATTACATTCTGGGTCTTAAAGCCTGTTTTAAGCACTCTTAATCTAGTGAGTGTTAAATACAATTTTACAGATTATTTCAACAAGACAAGGCTTAGAATTCAATACCTTTACAAAAATATATTCATACTGTATATAAACACATTAAAATGATTAGAAATAAAATATATACCATGCTTTTTTGTTCTTGTTATTATACACATTTGATCAACTCCGCTTCATTTTGGAGAAAATTGGATTTTGTTCATAGAGGTGGCTCTCTGCTTAGTAACTATGACCTTTTTTAATGTGATGCCAAAGTCAGCTGACACAGAAGTAGAATGATGTGGCTTTAGATCCTGTACTTTATATCTGCTGATATCAGACTCCATAATTTGGCTTTACTGTTTGCCATGTGCTGCAGAGGAGAACCAACATGGTAGTAAAAAAAATACAGATTAGTCTACACAAATAAAAAAGATTATAAATAGCATAATGCATATTGAATATACTCACTGCATTTTTTATAGGAATTACATCTTCAATCCTAAATGTACTTGCTAATAAGATAACCCTTCTTTCTCTATTTATCCATACATTACTGTATAGTTTCCCTTACAGTGTGGAGCTGTGCAGAGCCTTGACCCTCCTTCCCACAAATGTCAGAAGGACATTACCACTAATTGACAAAATCAAATCAGAGAGCACTCAGTCTTTGAACTAAGAGAGGTCAAAATGCAGTACAAGGACAGGCCATTGTTATGAAATAGTAGGAGCAGAATTAAACTGGCATGATGGCACTTACGTTAGCGATATCACTCTCCCATTATTGTCTACCGCTGGTTCCCATTAGACACCCATTCACTGACTTTATGATGAGATGAGTCATGTTGTTTTCTTTTGTATCAAAACTGAGGTGTCCATTACGGTAGCCGAGAACCGCCACTGCTGCAAAAAAAAAAGAATGCAGAAAAAAGAAGTCACAACGGAAGTTACCGTTGCATAGAAAAGAAACTGAAGCCTGCTGCAAATAAAAGACGACACGGTGCAAATAAAAGACGACACAGTGCAGATTAAAAAAAAGCCACAACAGAAGTTAATGATGCAAAAAAAAAAAAAAGTGGCGATGGAGGATGCCCCAGTAGTGTTAGCTTCAGTTCAAATTCATATCAACTCAGGCGCTACATGGTCTAACCAAATGACACATTGAAAAGCACACGAAGCGAAATTAAACAATAACCCTTCCACTAACTTCTTTGCTCGTCTTCTCGTCGTCATCTTCTGTGCCTGGATAGTAAAATACTGGTGCATCATCATTATTGGTCCCAGGCAGCTCACATCCGTTGTGGCTCTTTATTTTTATTTTTTGCATCCTTTCATTTTCACAGTAAGTAACTTCTTTAACTTCTGTTGTGGATTTTTTGTTGTTGTTGTTATCTGCACCATTTCTTTTTTGATATGCTGCAGTGGGCTTCGGTTTCTTTTTTGTTGCATCAGTAACTTCTGTTGTGACTTTCTTTTTTAATTTGCAGCAGTGGCAGTTCTCGGCCACCATAGTCCATCCATTATGTTTTGGTCCCATTATAATGTTTGATTTTACAGATGTTAAATTGCATGTATATGAGGTTCATCTCTTTTCTCATTATATCATTTAAGTGAAAAGAAGATATTTTTTTCTTTTTGACTAATTGCATCATGTTGCACAGACACGTTAATTAGGCTACAGGCAAAGTTAATCTATTTTCAGACAGCAGATGTCTGCCAGTAACCCTGCACACTAAGGTCAGGTCAGCAAGCTGTGTGAAAGTGAGACGACCATGTGACCAAACCAGAACAAATGTTCTGCTGATGTTTTTATAAAGCATCTGAATTCATCTGTAAACATTTTTGGAATACCCTTTACCTGTTCTCCCGCATTTTTGACACATGACAACGCACGTATTCTTATGAGTTTGCCTTATGGCGTGACGTTGATCCACGCCCGGGATACGTCGACACAAAGAGGACAGTATTGAGTCAAGATAGTAACCGTGAGCACAACAGCGAGTTGTCAGGCAAGCAGAAAATTGACCAATGTGAAAATGCCAGAGTTTTACGTGAAATAGAGTCGAGATACAACCTCATTGTCTCTATGGACAAAATGTAGTAATCGATTATAGATTACTACATATAGATAGATTTTAAAAGCCATGGGTGTGCTTTTAAAGGCGTCACTTGATGTTTTCATTGTATTGCGCATGAGCAATTTGTTTCACAGAACAGTATAGAACATAGACTGTATGGTATAGAAGCATTGAGTGCGTTTTCACATTGGCTATGGTAATGTAAAGGGAGAATAACATAGTCTTCCATTTAGTGTAAACGAAATGTAACATCTTAGACGATAACAAGTAGGTTTGGAGGAAAGGCATGTATCCAAGCCTACTTTTTGTTTGAATCCTGCCTAAAATGAATGTTTATTTATCCCACAAACCAAGCTTTGCCTGCATCGCTGTTTCGTCGCTGTGGTAACGAACGTTCCTTCGGGTAAATACTACAGTGCGCTTGCGCAATGGTACGAGAGGCAATCAAATAGGCCTGGTCTGCACCAAATTATTTCTTTAAAAAAATGTAGCCCCAAACTAATTCTCGTCAAGAAAGAGCTCTTAAAATATAAAACTGAATAAACTCGACAGTCTCATTTTCTCTCCTTAGTGTCTCTCTGGGTGACTTCACATAGGGGAGTGGCAACCTCTTAAAAAACACTGCTCTCTTTGAATCTGCTGCCGATTCCTTGATATTCACAAACCACCAGTGGCGCCCTTTCTCCGCAGGATCTCCAAAGTGTCTGCAGTCTGCCATTTACAACAGCGAAACAGGTGTGCGTAAACAGAACGCTGTATGCTATTTACGCAACTAAACCCAGAAAGGAAGAGGCTGGTTTTTTTTAAACGTATTTTGTCAGAGAAATATCCAAGGGGATGGACCAACTTCTCGGGAAACGCTGCCTCCGTGTAGCTGCTATCCGTGCCGGGGCTCGGGAGTTGTCCCGCTGATGGCACACACACACAGGCTGCCGACGACAGCGTGTGAAACGGGGGGGACTCGTAAAAAAAAAAACAGAGGTACTGCTGCTCTATGAAGACTGAAATGATCACATCGAGCTCTGACGGAGGGATATGGAAATGACCCACTCTCACTGGACTGCTACAACCGACGACGTGTTGCGAATACGCCGAGAAACAAGCCGTTAGAAACAACCGGGGGTTTAAAAAAACGACCGTGTAATTGATTCCGCTCTTTGATGGCATGTAGGCTACGGTGTTCGCCTGACACCGGCAGATAAGAGGGAAAGCTCCAGTTATTCGATGTCTTCATTCATCCTCATGCGGTTGTAATGTCGTCTGTGAGGTTTTTGTGAACCTTTCGGCGATAGGTTTGTGAATTCATCCCCCCAAAACCCCTGAGCCGGTGCCGGGAAAGAGCGAGGCTGAGTCGGAAGGATATGGGAGAGCGAGCGGAACCGATGCAGTGGGTCTTGGCAAGGCATCGTCAAAATTCAGGTGAGCAGCATTATCCAGGTTATGGATATGTGACCGACTACCTGCTTTTACTAACACACGCAGGGACACTGAGACCCGGCTACACAGCTCGTGTTTTTGCTGCTTTTGAGACACATTAGTTAGGCCACATCCACATTAGCTAGGCCCCTAGGATGCCACCTTAAGCAGCTGTCCTGATTAAATGAGATTACACTACCGCCGCTGCTGCTAATCGACTTGTTGAAATCACACATTGAGATGCTGTTGCACAAACAACCAGCTAGAGCTGCAGCTAACTGCTGGTTGAATCACTGTATGGACTACATGTCAATTCTGTTTAAATCAAGTTTCTGCAATGTCAGAAATACTGAAATGTTAGTCATAAGTTGGAGGAACCCCAAAGTGATTTCACTGTTGCATTCCCACAAGTAGAAACAGTTTGTTTATACCTCAGTTTGCATCTTTGGTTATTGTCTTCTTTGGTGTCTTGAGGATTAAAATGACTTAAGTAACAAGGTTTAAAGTGTAACCTTTACATTATCCCGGCTCCGAGCTGCAATTGAGCTGTGAATTACAATCTTTCTCCCACTAAAGAGGGACCTGACACAGCCACAGTAAGGGGAATGTCACACCTATTTATCATTCACACTGAGAATATCTCACTGATAATTTGGGACCTCCTTTCTCACGACTTCCACTTAGACCGCTGTTTTTTTTCCACTCTATAGCTATAATGTTATCTGTGATCCAATGGCAAATGCCTTCCCAGGGACATTTTTCATTTCATACATAACAGAGAATAGTTGGAATAATTTATATCCATGTCATCTCAGCCAGGAAAAAGCTGCCTATGACAGGGCCCGAGGTGTCAGCTGGAAGAGGTGGAGCTGTACACAGAGTGTGTACTTGATGTGCTTTGAAAATATGGCAACTCATGCTTTACACGCAAACAAAACCAGAGGTGAAACCAGAGAGACAGATTGAAGAGAGAGGGGCAAATCGTAGTCATTTTACATGAAGTAGCACATACTAAAGTATGTCCCTATCAGTCTGCTGTTCCATGTTTGAGGACCAGGGGCACTCAGTGACTCGTGCACACAGATAAGAGCGGAATATTTCATGTTTTAGTATTTACATCTTTCTTGTTCAATAGGTACACCTACCTTTCAAGTAAAGACATGCATTCATATCAGATATCTAACCAAATACGCTTAAAAACAGTCATCCAAGTTGAGCCTTGCAAGGCTGTGTTACAGTGTTTACACTTGGTTTTCTAGTGTCCTTGTAGGCAGCAGCCTTTGTAAAAATCAAGCGCCTCCAGGGAGTCCTGGCAGATTGTTGTCTCTTTGTTTTCCAGAGCATTGTTTTTAACCTCTTCATGTGTTCAAAAGCAGCTCCTCTGCTTTATTGACAAATTACTTTATATCATTTGATCTCACCTGTAACCATCCAACATCAGCGCATTATTAGTGGAGTCACACTGGATAAGGATGATGCAGCATCATGTTATGCATTTGCATTTTGCAGTACTTGGATGTAGTGGCCCTGCAGGTAACCGCTGTAACTAATGTGGTCATTTGTGATTTTCCCATGTGCCTCTTGTAGGATTTTAAAATAAATCATGGCATACAGCTCTCATTTCTTAAAAACATACTATTTTATGGAAAAAATATAGGAAAAGGGTAATCCAGCAACATCTATGAACTCATTTGTTAAGCATTGAAATGCATGGTCATTGCTGATTACATTATAATAGAAAACTTCACTTCATATTGTACAAAATAACAGTTGATTTAATTTATTGGGGTCCATGTGGATATAAATCTTGAAAAGAGGAAACTAGCCAACATGGATTCATCAGCAGGATATTGAATATTGATAAACTTTGATTTGCGTTTCACCCTCTTCTTCACCATCACTCTAAGTGCATCATAGGACAAGTGCTCAGACTCAGTCATATAAGGAGTATAATAAAGAGCATTATGACACGAGGAGGCAGGATTCGTGGTTTGGCAGATGCTCTGCAGGCTACGTGTAATATGTGGGTCCCTTCTGGACAGACTCGTATGTATGGCAGAATCTCATTTGCTGCAGATTTGAAATAATGTGATCCTCCAGAGAAGCAACTAATGGACAGCTGCTTGACGCAAGTGTGAGAAAAAATGCTGATTTTGAAGCGCCGCAAATATTATTCTCCAGCACGCTGTCGAAACCTAAAGCTGCCAGCAGCAGCATGTTGCATGGACAAAACCGATGCAGATATTTCCAGTATTAGAAGAGAAACATGCCAAACAGACCTGTACGTGGATTGTGGCAACACGCCATAGACATATTGGCAAGGCACATATGTTACCACTCCAACACACACGAAAAACATCCATGTATACACAAACACACACATGAAATCTTCGGTGCACATACTATCACATCAAGTGAAAGAAGAGAAAATGGAGTGGGAAGAGGTGAAAGGGATTGAGTGGGTGGCAGTGGGAGAAAAAGATGGAGAAAGAGGCAGAGGGAGAGTAGGAGTGAGTGGCACATGGCTTTCAGTCTAAAAAAAGATGAGCAACACGAAACCAAAACCAGAATCTGGATTAGCTAGATAAGGAAGAGGAGGGGTGGGGGACAGGGGAAGGCAGGAGGAGAAAAATGTAGGTTTCCTCTGCACCGAAAATGGTGCAGATCCACACACTCGGTTTCATGCTCATAAATGTCCTCTAAAATATGAATACTGAATGAGTGTGTGGGTAGAAGGAGAAGAAGGGGAGAGCATGAGGATGGGAAGACAGAAGATGAGAAAAGCAGAGTGGTGAGATGGAGATTGAGATGGAGATGGGAGGAGAGGGTGAGATTCTTTAGGACAGACAGAATACTGTAGAAGTGTGTCAGAATAGGGAGAGAGGACCATTAGAGACAACAGGAGCAGAGCCAGAGGGATGTGACAAATGCTGGAGAGAATCATGATCCGAGTCGACTGTAACACTGACCCAGGCTGAAAAAGAGAGAGACTCGAACAGATGGATGTATGACAGAGAGACGGAGAGATTTGGGATTGTGCTGCAGTTGCGCCATCATGCCACCCTGGCACAACCTTCCTATTTCCTGCAGACACTCTCAGCTCATTACCATTGATTCTGACACACAAACAAGGTACCTGCAGGACAGGGAAGTGCATTCCTGTAAGTTTTTGTTATCTCACCAACTAATTGTTTAAAAACCGAAGAGTGCATGTCACCCCAGCATCATGTCTGAAGGAATGATGGCTGAAATTGTATGTATGAGTGTCCATGTTTACATATGATCTGTCCACTTTCTTATCAGCTTGTGTCAACTGAAAATGGGATTATTCCACTGTGCAGCAGAGTAAGTCTGTGGAGTGTTAGATGTGAGTAGAAACTCAAGTGGAAGCCCGAGTGTGCTCACCTGTGTTAAGTTGAACACACCTTTGTTTACTTACAGTTGTAACTGGCCTCTTCTGCTCCCTGAGTGAAAGCTGCCATTTTACATGTTGACATTTACTCACAGCGGATGAATAATGTCTCAAGAGAACCAGGGAAAGTGCAGAATCACAGCCCTACTGAGCAGTGCCCCAATTAAGTGCAATGTGGTTGTAATGCCACAGATGGAAACAACTGAGAAATGTAGCCTACCAATGTTTTCACACTTTTATGCTGGATTATTATTGTAATTCGAAGAGGTGACGCCACTCATGCATGGTTCGAGAGCAGAAAAATGCAGTCAGCAGACCGTGCTCAGTGCACAAGTGCAGAGTAACCCATATTTTGGACAGTCTTGCTCAGCAAACGCACAACTACAGAAGTTGCAGAACAGCATTCAGCAGTTCCAGCCACTTAAAGCACAAGGGGAACAAATGTTCACCTTTTGTTTAATGTGCTGCAATTAAAGTGCTGCAAAACACACACCAAATTGCTGCACAAGCACAGCTTTCCTGTTTCTTCGACAACTGGGCATCCTGTTCTCTCGGAGTCAGACTTTACCTGCCAAAAGAAGCACCTGCTGTTTGTCGTTGGCTGTACCTCGATTAATAAATTTGTTTAAACAAGGACATTTGACTGTCAGAACTCATTTCGCTGGAAGCCTTTTGGCTCGATATTAAATAACAGTCAACTTGAGATCATTGAACAGTACCTGTGTTTTTAAATCCTTATCTGTACTCAGAACTTCTGCACTTTGCAAGCGTGCACCTTTTGAATTGTTGTTTGTCGTTTAAATTCATTGATGCCCTGTCCGAATATAAGGCAAGCGCTAAATTGATTTTCGTAGATGTAGCCATCTTGTTTCAGGCCTCCGTTTTTGCTTTTTTTCCACTTGGTAACTGAAACGCTGATAACTCAGGTGTGACGTCATTTTCCGCTCCGACATCTGACTTCCGAGGTAACTCGAACGCAGCAGTATCTCATGGCCAGGTCACTTTTGGTCACTCTAGATCTCAATGGGTTATTTTCAGGTTGAATGAAGGTTAAATAAAAAAAAACACCAAGTTGTTGGTAGTGATGCTTTCCTTCAAAACTCATCATCAGATAGTGCCCCTCTGTTGGCCTGGAAAGTGCCTGTTAGTGGAAAGGGTTTCACTGGTGACTCATTCTTGGCTGTCGAGACTTTTCAACCCAACCTCGCAGACTTTTCCAAATCTTTGTATGGTATGTTTTAGTTTCACAATAATGTGGTTTTAAGGCTTTCAGTGCAGTAGCATCAAAACAATCTCTTTTTTTATGCCAGTTGTGGAGAGAGCTCTGTGATTTTTGATGTTTTTAAGAGGATATGAACATTTATATTTAACTGTCTCTCACAGAATAAACTTGACAGGAAAAAACTGGGTAAATGTGAAAGTGTTGGTTAGGCAAAGGAAATCATCTCATGGGGGTTTGGTTAAAGTGGTAATAGGGGTTTTGAGGGGAAGTATTAAGCTAGAAAAGGAAGCACTTGGCTTGATGCTGCAGCAGATTCACTGAGTAAGATGGAAGAGTGGGACTCTTCAACACCTGCTGCTAGTCATACCAGAGCAACCTGCTGTCGAGAAAACAGATGGGACTGTGGTTTGCAGTTTATGCTGACTTCAGATTGGGCATGTATATCTTCCTCAGAGTGATGTATGGAGTGATGCAGAGAGCTCTGAGTAAGTGGCTGAGCAGTATGAACAGATGGGGTTCGATTTTTGTTGGTAGTGGTGGCAAGTGGTTTGTAAGAGCCGGCAGAAGAGCTGGACATATAAAAGCCTGTATGTGTGTGTAAAAATAAGATTATTGTTCATTTTGCTCTGGTTATGCAGGGCTTTGTGCCTGTGCCCTGTTTGTTTCAAGTCCTTCTCAAAGACAAAGCCATAATGACGGACGGGGAGCCCTGTCATTGTTGTTACATCATTGTTGTTGAACCACGTGGGACTGGGCTCGAGCCTGGCACACAGTAACTCGCTTTACCGAGCACAAAAGCTTTGCTCACATGCAGGAATATGTCAGTCTTTTCCACAAAACACATGTCATTTAGACTCAGACGGAGTCACTACATCAGGACGAGAGTCAAGAGTTTGCATGAGTCATGAGTCATGCTGAACGCAGGAAGCACAGTTAGAGCAGAGCAGGGACAGCAGCTCAGCCTGGAGTGCGTTGTATGTGCATTAGAGATGCTCTCAAATTGCTTCCTAGAAATTCAGTTCTTTGTGGACCTGAGGTTGAAGCAGGGTGTGTGCCAGCTTTAGGTGCAGAAACTAAACTGAAGAAAAGTGGAAAAATTCAAACCTGTTAAATGACTCTGTTACTAGCACTGGTTTCCTCTTCCTCTTGTTAAGTTTTTTATCATAACTAAAAAAAATCTTAAAACACAGTACTTGAAATATACAAAAATAAAAGTGTAGACACAAACTAACACGTGTTCAACTGTTCCTGCTGCATACAGTGCAGAGATTTAGCTTGTTGACTGCATGAATATGCTGTCAAAATCTGAAGTGTAAACACATGCAACAACTTCTTAGGGATTAGCTACTTACCTTGAAAAGATCATAAGAACTAGTAGTGGAGGGAGAAAAAATCAATACAACATCGTATCATGATATTTTGTCTAGAGATATGTCGTATCGTCTCATTGACCAACTATCGGTTTTTCAAATTAATTGCCAATATAAAGTCAAATCTATGATAATGGAAAAGGTGATTCCAACCCTTAATAAGAACATAAAGTGTGTTGATGTGCTGCCTGTCAATATGAAGGCTCTGACCTTCAGCTGCTTAAAGAGTTTTGATTTTACACTGGTGAGAGAACACATTTCCATTCACAGCATTTATTAAAACAATAATCCAGTTTGTGTCAGAGCGGGAGTGGTATTTGTTTACATGCAGAAAAAGAGGAGCTTTAATTAAACTACTGGAGAAAGCTCCTGCTCTCACACTGAAAAACACCTGTGAGTTCGCATTTAGACTCCATAGACGGGCTATAAAAAGCTGATTGAGGTCGTGTGGTACCCAGATTTATCTTCAAAATAGGCAAAAGCATTGTCTTTTATTTATTCATTTTTTAACAATGCATCATCTTGAATTTTTACTGAAATCTAATATGCTGATATTTTTAAACTATTCCTGCCAAATACTGATGTTAATACCAATATGTCAACAAACCTTTATTTTTCATTGCGAAGAACAGGAAGTATTTCCTGTACTGGAGTTTAAATGTTACTCATATTGTGATTGAGGAAAAAGACAAACTTTAATTTATTCTTGTTCTAGACATTCAGTAATGTATCTACTGTCTGTTTATGACACCTCAAAAGGCACTACATTCAGTCATGTATGGACTATTCTAAATATACATGTTGGCACACGTACGCTGTCACTCTCACTCACATATTTTAGGAAAACCCTTATAATTATATCTGCTGATAGTTTATCAAAGAAAACACTGGTACTTTGCTGATAACACAGTGCATACCTGTTGGTTGGTTTTCTTGCCAGAGCCATGGTTCACATAGAGCTATGTGGCTTATAATTGAAACGATAAAAGTCTGCTGTATATTCTAAATGAACTGACATTTACTTTGGATTAAGTCACAGACATGATTCTGTTACAATTTCACACCTCCCCCTCTTTTCTTCAGCCTCTCGTCATGTTAATCGGATTTGCACTGGCGCCATCACAAAAAAAAGTGAAGGTTTAGCTCGAGCTTTGAATGCTGTGTCTAAGGTATTTAATAGCTGCTGTACGTCTGTTATAAAGTACGCATCTCTGCTGTGTTTGGTTTATGCAGTGATCACGTAGTTGTCATAATCTGTATGAGTCCAATTGTGGCTTTTTCTTTGTGATATTCTGAGCTGTGATTTGCAACATCTTATTCATCTTTCCAAAAAATCAACAGTATGATATTTCTTTTGTGTATTGGGTTTCTATTTTGCAATATTTTTGTGTATTAAATGTTAAATTTGTAAAAGTTCTATCATATATATACAGTAAAGGGCTGTAATTGTCAGAGGAACTTGCCAGTTCTCCTATTTTATTGAAACACAGCATGTTTTATACTCTACCTATCTGGTTTTTGGAGGTGGTTTTTGGTTCTTCTTACTGTAAACATGATGTTTATATTCAATGAAAACCACAGATGTGATGCTGTGACTCCCCTAGTGCACAGTCTCTTTGAGGATGTGAAATCTTTGAGCCTCCGCTGTAATCAGGATCAGATTGATCGAAAGATAAAATCCTGTGTGCAAATAATAAGTCAATTTTTCACCTCTCTTGTATCAGACAGACTCATGCCCTGTGAAGTACATCATGACTAAGATCAGTCAGCATTTCCACAGTGCAAAAAGCAGACTAAGTGCGTGTTCTAATGTCTGCAGTAGCAGCTAAACAGCAGCTCTAATAGGGTAACCTCCCCCTGGTGATGGATGTGAGAGTCCTTGACGAAGCAGATGCTATTAGTGTGGATGTCGGCTGGAGACATGTACTGATAGCCAGGCCATGTTCCATGAAATGAGGCCAAGAGAGCTGCTCTCCACAATGGTCAGTGCTGATTGCTTCTTTACAGATCTGTCAGAGAGTAAGAGGCGGTTATCCATGTTTGTCACTGTGCTGTTTGATAGATGACCTATACTAACATTATTTGGTTGGTTCACTCTCTATTATAAGGTACAAATAAAGCGAATTATGGCGAGAAGCTTGAAAAAGGACGATGTAATGCTGAGGATCAATCAAAGCTGTATTTAAGTGTTATCTTTTCAGCTGGATTAGATGGTACACAAATGGTTAAGAGGAGCTTCCTGTTCTGTTCTTAGCACATTGATCTCCCCAAAACCTCAGGAGTGATCAATCAGAAATATTGATTGACCCCAGATTCTGTGGTTACTGTTGTTGCCCGACTGAGGCTTGAATGGTGCAACCTAAATACAGATCAAATCAGAAAAAAGATAATATATACATTAGGGATGGGCGATACGGGCTTAAAAAATTATCACGATAAGATTTGCCATTCTGGTGATAACGATAAAAATCCTGTTAAAAATATGATAATTCCAATCCATATTTTTGACTCAGTTTGTCTTGCGAATACAGTTGGAATAGTCAAATAAGATACTTGACCACAAGTTTGAGTGGTAGGTGAAAAACAAGTCTCAAATGTGAAAACATTTTCAACATTTTATTGCACAGAGTGAACAGCAGCAGCAGAACCACTGTCTGCTGTCAGGCATACCTGATTGCACTCATCTAAACCCCAGTCTTGAAGGAAATCCCTCATGTGGAGCCTCGTTCAGTGATGAGCTGCTCAGAAACGTCTTCTTCATCACCTGCGACCATGTTTGTTTGTTATACTGCTCTATGTGGGCTATGGCTGCGAGTCCGTCGCTCGCCCTTACTTCACCAACTTGCATTCATCGTATTTATCATGAGATGGCGAATATTTATCATATAAGGATTTTTCTGATGATATACTGTGAACGATAGTTTATCACCCATCCCTAATATACATATACAAATCTATCAATATGTAGTTATGTGGTTGTGCGTGTAAATCCTACTTTGGGAAATTTATACATATCAGCTGAGTTTATCTCTGTGCAGGAGAGTGTCATGATTAGAGGTTTTGAGTAAATTACAAGCAACATTTCAGTGTGGCAAAAACATCATAAGTAAATTGTAAATCATCAGTGCCAGCTTCTACAGTCTTTATCTGCTGAGAGCCCAAACAGAACAAGCAGAAAAAGCAGAAGACAGATGGATTCATGGTGATACTGACGAGACTGGAGCTTCTTAATTAGATTTCTCTTTTTTTTTAGGTTACTCGGGAAATCTTTGCTGGGCAGATCTACATCTTGTATCATAACAAGGCCATGCTGTTTCTGCCATTTCACTTATGTCATGATGTTTTTCCACTGCTGAGGTCCCTGTGGGGAGTTTTTGTAACAACAAGCCTGCCGGGTCGTACTGATAAGGGTCCCTGGCGGCCTAGTGTGCATTTATGAGATCTGATTGATCTCTTTGGCCTGATTGTTTGTCTTAATGAGATTTTAGGGGGGGTTCAGATGTTCATTTCTTCTCTTTATCTCGCTTTTTTTCCCTCCTCTTTCTACTGTCCTCTTCAATTCTACTCTGATTGAGAAACTTTTACAAGTAGCAGTGAGAAATAATTAGTTCTTCAAAGCTTGTCCTTGTTTTTCTGCCACACACACAGATGAATACTAAGATCTTAGTTTTGTAGTGCTGAGTTGTGCCATGTCCAAAGTGGATTTCTTTAGTCCTGAGTCTTTTTTTAAGCTTTGGATGATATGAATAATCACAGCAGGTCTCCATGCTGTATCTTGGGTTATCCAGCCATTCGCTATGGAGGCCGAAGAGTAAACAGGTTCGTCTTCCAACCCAACTTGTCTGATTTCACCGCGTGGTCCGTCCTACTTGGTTGAAGGTCTGCCAATCAGAGGAACCACCTGCTGTGAAGCTTTGATTGGAAGGAAAGCTTCGTACTGTCACTCCACTGCTCAAAGTTTAACCTCTCTGCTTTTGAAACAGTTGGCTAATCGTGATCACCTGCCAACACAGCTCAGGCTAAGTTGCTGTGAAAACAATTTTTTGTGTCACTTAAATATTGAAGAAATTAGCCTTTTCTGGGCACAAATTGTCCTTGAATACTTGTGTGCCCACTCCGTGAAATCACAGTTTCTCAGTGTACTAGTTGACTGGTACTGTGAAGTATACAGAGAAATCAAAAAGTTACACATTAATCTTGAGCTTTGTTTGAAAGAGGCTCATTTGTAAAGCACAGGGGTCCTCCTGGCAACAGTACATGTCTTGGGTGAGTTGGGTCAGATCACTAGTGGACAGTTCAAAGTAGCATACTTCAGTTTACACTAGGTACTTAAAGGGATATCCCGGCGTCAAACACACCGTAACACCGAGTTAGACACCCCGTTGAGAGATGAATGTTGCCGACCGCTTGCTCCTCTAGTTATACCAACTTTTGTAACGACCGCACGATAGCAATACACAGCGGATCATTTCCATGAAGAAATAATTATCATAATAAACATTTTGCACTGCAGATGCGGTCGTTCTTCTGCCTTAGCGCGTCAGTCTGATTGCATTTCCGTGAAGTAATAATCATAAATGTTCTTCCTTGAGCTGCGAAACTCCACTGGTGATTGACTCGTCAGGGCTCGCCCACAAACAAGCAGCTGCTGGAGGAGAGTGGGTGAATTGTGTTGGTCTCTTTGCTAAAGAAATCAGGCAAAGCTAAAAAGACGTTTGGTGGCTTGTACTATGGCTAGCACCCTATATGTACTGTTGATGAAGTTAGGTGCTGTTCTGAGCATTATTTGTGGCTACGAGTGGCTTTTTGGTTGTGTGTATTAGTATCCTGCGGTCGTTACTAAAGTTGGTATGACTAGAGGAGCAAGCAGTCGGCAACATCTTGAGGCTAGCTCGGTGTTATAGTGTGTTTGACCATGACTTAAACTTATGCCGGAATATCCCTTTAAATCGGGTCCGTGCAAAACAACAGAACATGCATCTTGCAGTATTGTAAAAAAAAAGTATTGTCAAAAAACTCAAACTTTAGATAGTGAATGTGAGCCGTATCTCAGTTTCTCTATTTGCTGTTCTTTGTGTCTTACACTGAACCTGTATTTGCAACATGTCCCAAGCAGTTTTTGTTCACCACTAGATCAACACATATCGTTTAAAGCTAGATGATGGCCAGCATAACCTTTTCTGACTGCATCAAAATGGTGTGAAAGCATGATCACTCTGGCTTTGAACCAAAATCCAAGCGTACATAGCGAGGAAGAATTGCTTGTTGTTAACATCGACAACATCTGTTTGTCATTTGGAAAGAATTAGACTTAAATTGCAGAGTGTGTTTATCGGGGCACAATAACACAGGATATGTGCTGGTGGAGAAGTGATATGGTACAAGTTTTCAAACATACTGCCTTAAAGAAGGCTGTTTTGTGTGACACGTGGCACTGGGTGCAGCAGTCACACCTGAAATTTGAGTTGCCAACTTTTGACCAGTTAATTTGTGTAAACACAGCCATCCTTTTGTCTGTGGGGCCTTAAGTGTTTTGACTTCCCTTTCACTGAGTCATGTTATGTCAAAGGAACTAAAGGAATGTCTTCAGAGCAAAGTTTGTTTTTTTCTTTAAAAGAGCACAAACGTATTATTAACAGGGGTTGGTGATGAGTTATTTTCAACCACCATTGGAGAGTTGGACATTTGAAATAGTTTTATCCCAGAACTTGTGGACCTTGCTGCTTCTTAATGCATTCAGGCTTCACAGTCGGTGAATGATGGGCGTCAGCTCAATTAAGATCACTGACAAAGCAAAAACGAGTTCCACCAGTCGTTTCTTCCTTTTAATAGAACCGAGAAGTTAATTATGAGTCTGTCCTGTCAACCTATTGTATTTGATTCACCTTTAGCTTAGCTCTGTGCCTCTTATCGAGCCACCATACCCACTAGGCTCATAATTCATGTGAGTGCAGAAAGTCCATTGGTCATTTCCAGCTCAAGAATAGTGGAGCGAGGTAACACGAGAGATAAAGAAGAGTATTGCAGATCTGCTCTGACAACAAGGTCTCCAGTGTTTATATATGTGTATAATAGGAAAGAGAGGAGTATGTAAAAAGGGAAAAAAAAAGAAATGAAAAGAAAGAAAAGCTAACTCACCTCCAGATCTGCACAGAGGAAATGCCTGTGTTTTTCTGTAACACTCTACACATCCCTACCGAGAGCTATGTAGGTGGTAATGCAAATGCCTCAATGAATGTTTTTCTTCTTTGCCTGATTTCTTTTACTGGATGTAATTAGGTTCATTCTCGTTGAAATGTAAACCAGAAGCAGTTTATTCTCTGCACAGGAGCTGCTTGTGTTTATTTTCATTTCTGAAGTGGAGCATGGTTGGATTATGACTTATTGTCATCCTCTGATTAAAGGGATTCATCAGCCTTTTCCAAGTCATCACAGTCTATAAAACTTGCATATCCAATACATGCATAAGGCGGTTATAAAGCATTAAACATCATCTCTTGACTAGCCTACAAGGTTATGATCAGTGGTGCAAATGTCTTTTTATTCGATCAAACACACCCTCGTCTCACATACTTCTTGATTGTTCACAGTGATAAGGGCTCACTGCACAGGACTGTAATCTGCAGACAGATATGTTTTTTTTTCCCACATTAGCTGAGTTGTATTTTTATTGGCAGCTCGCACCATCACACGTTCTAAAGCTTGCGCTATCTTTCCTAAAAGTGTCACTGGCCATGCTTAGACTGGGAATGGAATGGCATGCATGTCCTCTTGGCACCACCCAACACAGTCAAGGGAAAAAAAGACCCACTATAAATTCCAGTCCACTTTATTTCATTGGATTGCTGCAAGCATTGCTACAGGAATAAAACATATATCATAAAACAAACTTGCTCTCCATAGAGCCAAGACTGTTGTATGAAATATGTCTGTGCAACCACAAGTAATTGTGTCATTACTTGCCTGTCTTGGACAAGCTGTATAGTGTTGCACATCTCTTTCTTTTTTAATGCATTTATGAGGAAGCTCACTTGCACAACTCCATTTTCCTCATTACAGTATCAGCAAATATTCTTTGTAGTAACATTCAAACAGAATCGCAGATTACTGCATCTTTGCTCCAGTATTCAACTATTTACATTTACTTTTATCTGAGAATGATGTAACCATCCCTTGTGCTGTTTTGTGGAGGCAGGATGCAAATTGAGTTTTTAGCTAATGTGATGGCTGTGATATTTAAGGGTGAAACAAGGAGGGTGTTGCCAGGTTCTCAAAAACTAAAAAAAAAAAAGTGGAAAAAAATGTTCTGAAACAAACTAAAAAAGCAGAGGAGTGCTGGAGAGTGACCAAGAAGAACTCTTGAAATGAAGTCGTGCTGCTATCTTGTTGCTAAGCTCATTTTTACTTCAAAGCTTGGTATTTTTTGTGCATTTATAGTCAGTCATTTTGGCATGATGGATGTCATGGTTTTTCTGTCTTTTAAGTTTTGAGTAAATTTGCAGGAGTGGCACCAGCTCAGGATAAAGGCTGCATCAGCCTGTATGGACATTGTAAGGCCTGCATCAGCCTCTCTGTGGCTCCTCTCTCTATGATTTCTTTCCTACCAGACCTTTTACAATTCACTCCAGCCCAGAGGCAACTTAAGTCAACACACAATGCTTCTCTGCAGTGAATGATCGGGGCCACATAAAGGAGGGTTTTTCACATATACGCGTTACCAGCATGGTGCCATCATATATCAAAGCTAGACCTCTCTCTTTTCTTCATTAAGTGGTGCATTTTCTCTGCACCCATTCACCAGCTTACGCTCATCTTAACCACTTTCCATTATGTTTTGCTCTCCTCCTCTGTGAAAATCTATTTCTGTTACAATCCCTGCAGCCCTCCCTCAGTTTATATATAGAGAGTTCCCGAAACAGGAAGTAAATCTCTTGCCCTATTCATCCTGAGGATGCCTGGTTTTGTGAGAGAGGAGACCTGTTGGGACATCCAGGCCGTTAAATGTTCTGTGTTTGTTCATCGTCAGTTCTAGAACTGTAATCCAACAAAGACATTCTTGGTCGACTAAAACACTGAAATGTTCGACCAAAAAAAATCAACTAATGGGGGGGTAGGGGGCACCCTTCTGTGGCGGGGGACGGCACGGCCCAACGGGGTAAAAATATACTGATATCAGCAGAAGAAGGCAACTTAACACAAATACTATATTTGGCAAACCACTGGACGCAATATTTTTTTGTAGGATGGTAGGAGGGAAGTCCTGTCTCCTTCGCCTCTGATTGAATTTTGGTCAACTTAGCATGTATCGACCAATAAGTCATCCAGTCGACTTGGACTTCACAGCCCCAGACTTAGTTAATCCTTCTTTCCCTTTTTTCAAGGCTTGTCATCATGTGATTCAGTATAACATCAGTAATGAATGACTGGCATTACTTTGAACCTGATAAAAGCTGTTTGTTGATGGATTAAAGTAATGAAAGACACAGTGTCGTTCCCAAAGTTGACCCTCCTTTTCCTCCCAACAGGGCAGTGATGCCTGGTATGGTGATGTTTCGGCGGCGCTGGTCAGTTGGCAGTGATGACCTGGTGCTGCCCGCCCTCTTCCTCTTTCTATTGCACTGCATATGGTGAGCAAGTTTCCTTTCACTGTGATAAATTGTTTTCATGTTCACTTGAATATTCTACCACATTTGTATCTCTGTGCATAGTCAGTTTTCATTATTAAAACCATATCCTCACACTCAGGTTGGTGGTCCTGTCTGTGGTTCTCTTCGGCCTCCCGTACGGTTCAGACCAGTCCTGTTCTATAACACTGGTGGACCATGGCCGAGGGTACCTGGGCATCCTGGTCAGCTGCCTTATCTGTGAGAGCGCCATCATGTGGCTGAGCATGAGAGGCAGCATTCTGTACACACAGCCCAGGGAAGCTGTGCAGTATGTCCTCTACATACGACTAGGTAAGACCCAGAACTGAGCTCTGATCAAACCAGGGTCGCCTCCAGGCGCTCAATAGAAATTTAGAAATGCAGGTTGAGATTCAAACTCTGTTAATGAGATGAATAGTGATCATTGTTCTCCTCTCCACTTCTCTCTGTTTAGCCATTCTGTTGGTGGAGCTGGTGTACGCAGTGGTAGGAATCGCCTGGCTCGTCCAGTATTATCAGCCCTGCTCTGATGTCACTGCCAAAAACCTGGCTCTGGGTGAGTCAAAGCAAATAGGCAGGAAAATAAGTCTGGACTCCTAATTGAAAAGAGGTTATTTATACTTGAATGTGACTCATGTTTCTTTATCCTCCTGCAGGAATCGTTGCATGCAACTGGCTCGTAATATTCAGCGTCTGTATTACGCTCATGTGCACCTTTGACCCGACTGGTCGAACTTTCGTCAAACTGAAAGCCACCCGTCGGCGTCAGCGCAACCTCACGACATACACACTCAGGTATTGACGGGCCTTTTCACCCCACGTATCGCGCCGACTCATGTACACCTGACCTGTTTTCATCATGAATTCAATCTTGACGATTTTTCTGTTGCCTTCCTCCAATCATTAGACACAGACTAGAGGAAGGCCAAGCCAGCAGCTGGAGCAGGAGGCTGAAGTTCTTCATGTGCTGTACGAGAGCCCAGGATACACAATCAGTGAGTCACAGCAGCGCACACTTGGTCATTTCCGCTCTGTGTTTAAAGTACAACTGAGAGGAATGTAACTGGAAGTATTTGAGTCGTTATACCCAGATACCCTGAAGTTTCTCAGTGACTTACTCACCATATCAAAGCTTCTGTGTAGAGTCTTAAACTGATTATAAACAGACCGATGAAGCAGTGATGCCTCTTCCATGGGCAACAAGACTGACAGTATTCTTAGACTGTAAGACTTAATGCCTGTAGCCAATATAAAAGAGGCAGTGTCAAACCAGACAATAGTCAGCACAATTTACGATTTCCTCTGCAAATATCCAAAGGTAGTGGTGCAGCTTACTGTTTAAAGAGAGCAGAATGAGACTTTTCACTCGTGGTACACTTCTTACATGGTGTATGTACAAGACAAGGTCAGCGTAGGAGGAATCCCTTTGTCCACAGAGGGGCATCAAATTTGAGATGAACAGAAAGTTCTTCACCTGAGCTTTAAGCAAATAGAAGAGTGAAATGATCAAATTCAGACATAATCTGTTTAAACCAGTTGTCCAAAAAAGAAGTGGTTTAGGCTCATTAACCATTGTTTGGACTATTAGCAAGACCCTTTGCTGCATGTCTTCCACACATATGTCTTCTTTCCATCCAATAAAAAGTAAAAATGCCTCCCAAAAAAACAAAACAAAACAAAAATACAGCAGCCGTCAGAGTGTTTCCAGTTTATTTTCACTAGACTTGTAAGCAGAACTAGACTCATGACCAAAAAATTCCAGAGTTTGCTGCCAGCTGCAGTAATTCCCCTCAAAACATGAGTGAAAGTAAACTTGAGCAAGACATTAGAGCAATTAGTTGGTCCAATTTCACTGAGCACGACTTCCCCACAGTTCTTAAAAATGTGAAGTTATTCATGTAGTTGTATCAGACTGCCCTTCGTTTTACAGTTCGAGATAAATGATGTGATTCTGAGTTGTTTGTACAAAATCAACAACTTAAGTTTTTGGCAGAAAAAACTGCAAATGAATGTAAGAGGTCAAGTTTCATTCCTCTTAGTTAAAGTCCAGATATCATGAAATCAAGATCTTAAATTTGCTCAGATTTATAAATCACTTAGATCGAGACAAACAGGATAGAAGTTGCACATGATGATGTCACCTATTTTAATGCAAACTTTGTGCATTTCCTCTTTTTTGTACTCTGTCAAAATGATCTGATATCTGCTGCTTTCATGTCCAGGATGCATATTCAGAAGTGGCCAGCCTTTTTGCAGAGTTCTTCAGAGACCTGGACATAGTGCCTAGTGATATCATTGCTGGCCTGGTACTCCTCCGCCAGAGACAAAGGTCTAAGAGATCTTCTATCCTAGACCAGGTAATACCTTCTGTAAAAGTTTTTGTACTTCTATGAGGATGTAGACCTGTGTCTTTATTCTAATCACTTCCCTTTGACTTTTTTTTTTCTCCTCACAGGCCAACAATGACATTATAGCCTTCTTATCAGGAATGCCTGTCACTCGTAATACCAGATACCTGGACCTTAAGAACTCGGTGAGTCACCAACTTGTGACTGTACAAGACTTGCAGACAAATTCACTTTGGCACTTAAGTGAACAAATAAGTACTGGATCACAAAAACAACATATTAAGTTATCAAACATGAACCAACTACTACAGACTACTGGTTCCTGACCTTTGTCCCCTCTGAGGCCGTCCTTCTTGAACCATGAAACAGATGTATTTCTTCCAAAAATACATCTGTTTCAACGAGGTTGCCAAAAGAACTGATGAAGCAGAGTATTGTTTACACAGTTTTACTCACGGGTTACACTATCTAAACTATTTGGCACACCTATCCTAATGATATGAGTTAATATTTGCTCATTTACAACCCAAGGACAGACAGTGCCTCCGCCCTCGAAGGCCTCTGCCCCCAAACACCAGGTTGAGAAGCACTGACTGAAAACAGTTTGGATTAGGACTTTGTTTTGTGCCATGTGAATGTATGGCTTTATGTATGTATTTGGCAATAGACAAAGAAACACCTGCAATTCCAGCGTCTCGGGATATCTGAATGTGTTCCAATTATGATTCCTTAGTTGTTCTGACCTTTGTGTTTTTGTCCTCCTGTGTGTGCCTCTCTCCCCCTCCTAGACTGAGATGGGCATGTACAAGGATGTGTGCTATTACATGCTCTTTGCCCTGGCTGCATACGGTTGGCCCATGTACCTAATGAGAAAGCCTGCCTGCGGGCTTTGCCGCCTCGTCAGCTCCTGCCCGTAAGCCCACAAACACAAACACACACCCGCACAGTTCTGATCTGTTTGGCTTCTGTGTCTCTTGAGCCTCTCTATTGCAGCTCATGTTTCACATGCGTCAACACTTGCCAAGTGGTGATCCACTGAGACAATACCGCTCTCGTTACACTCACTCACCCACAAAACAATGTTGAATTAATCACTCCTGTATCCATATTCCTCTCCTGGGATGCTAGGTAGTTTCTCTCTAATCTTACCTGTTTGCTCTGTTTTCTTCCTGTTTTTTTCCCACCTACATTCTCTTAAAATCACCCGTTAATCTATTTTTTTTCTCCATGTGTCTGCCTTTTTCTTTTTTCATCTACTTTTTCTAACCCAGATGTACGTCAGTGTCTGGCTCTCGGTTGTCTCAGTCTGTGACAGTGGAGGAGGACAATTGTTGCGGCTGTAATGTTCTGGCCATACGCAGACACTTCCTGGACAGGGACCTCAAGCAGGTTCACATTGTCTACACATCCTGCCACGATGCTGTGAGTAATAAGACAACCGGCTAATGAGCAGTCAGAGGTGTTTGAGCTCGACTTCCTGCATAAAACAAACAATCGGTGTGAAGAAGAGGAACCGTATCAGAAATGTTTTTCTTCCAGCCATCCTTATGTCTCGATGCGAGTCTGTTATTTGCAAAAAAAAAACACTAATTAAGAAAAAATATAGAATACTCTTTGCATAGAGCCATAAAACCCCTTTTTGAAATGTTATGCAGGCACACTGGACAGCAAAGATTGTTTAATACAGAGTTTTGGTGCAATGCTGCCAATCCACTGGCTAGGAACCAGGGTGGTTATCTAGTGGTTTATAATTTTGGCAATTATTAGTATCAGCTTTGATAACAACTTGCTAGAGCCAGTTGACTCTGTCCACATCCTCCAGTAGTTTAACTCCACCAAAACCATTTTTGATTTTGCGGGTGCTTTAAAGTAAAGTAAAAGGAGTGTCTGTTTACCTACATACATAAAATAGTGTTGTGTTTTAGGTATTTATACTAGATGTAGAAGTTAAATATAACTCTATTATTGTCAATAAGCACTGTTATTCCCTCTTAATCCTTCATACAGAGTTTTTCATACAGAGAGTATTTGAGCCTCATAACGTTGATGATTTGTAAAACAGAGAACTCCTGGGTGATGTGAACACTGAGTTTCCATCATAAATTTCTTTTATAAATGACTTGTAAGGTTTTGGGTTGTGCCAAGTGGAAAATGGTTTGACGACCAAGACCAAGGAAGTGCTGCTGAACTGTGGTGTGCAAGCATCCGTCACCTCCTCACTTTCTTCCTCTCTCTGTTCCTCTTCCTTGGGCGCTGCACTTTCTGTTCGCTTTGCATCTTCCTCACAGGTTTACGAGACTCCGTTTTTTGTGGCAGTGGATCATGCCAAAAAGAAGGTTGTCATCAGTATCAGAGGAACCCTTTCGCCAAAGGTGAATTGCAGCTTTTTTTTTGTCTTGTATTGCAGTAACAGTGTCCTCTATTAGCACTTTATTTTTGTTATTTACCAAAGAGGCTTGTAGCAGGTGTCATTCTCTTACATGGATTCATCAAGTCCCACGCCCATCACGTGTAGAGCAGAAACAGGACTGCCAACTTTTACAAACAACTCTCCAAATCCGTTTTTTCACACAAAGATTTAAACTTTTGTGAAAGTTCTCCAAGTGTTTTTAGCTTAGAGATTATCAGGGTGTTAGAAGGGTAAAAAAAAAAACAATCCATTTGATCTCTGAAGCTTTACTCCAGGCAGCCAAAACTGCAGTTTTTCATGAGAATGTACCTGCTGTACATGCAGATTGGGACATTTATAAAGATAAATAGTTGTTAGAACGACTGTTTTCTCTGAGCACAGTCTTTATGACTCTAAATACAGCCCTTAAGATTAGGGGTTTCCCAATACAACTTTTTTACTTTCGATATGATTCCGATATTGTAGCCTTCAGTATTGGCCGATACCCATATCGATCTGATATTGGCACAAACTTGCCCATGACAAGTTTTGCACTCAGCTGCAACATCTTTTTCAGAATTAGAGGAAAAATACTTCCACATGGCCGACAACACTCTGACTCTTTGCTACTCTGCTAGTACCTTAGTACACACTGTTGTTGTGTTATGTGAGATCTACGTACTAGATCTGGGTGCTGTTAGATAGAAGTGCTGGAGTGGAATCTGGAATGGTCTGCTTGTATCAGAGTGTTGGTATCGGAGATTTAAGATCCAGGTCGATATAATCAGATTTTCATTTTTTTGCTGATATCAGACCGATATCCGATATCAATATCGTGGGACATCCCGACTTCAGATACAGTTTACAAGATACAGTTCAATAAATTAATGTATGTTATCATAAATCTGTAAAAGTGGAAAAAAGTGATCAAATATCAAATTGGGATTATTAATTTTTGTTAATTACTTTGCCTTAGCCTTCCTGTTGCTAGTACAAAAATACGACATTTCCACCTTGTCTGCAAACTACTTTTTCTTTTGTTTTCTTCACTCACTTAATTCTATGCCATCTTTTTAATTTCTAAAAAAACTTGTCCTGTGTTTCTTCTTGTATCAGGATGCCTTGACTGATCTGACGGGGGATTCTGAGCGTCTGCCCGTAGAAGAGCAGCACGGGACCTGGCTCGGTCACAAGGTCCAAGATTACAGCTTTTTAATGACTTGAGTTTAATACACACGGTACAATCCGCTGTTCAGCCTTCAGCTCGGTTTCAACGAGTCACATTATCCTAGACCTCAAAGGTCACTACTGCGAATGTGAAGTAATTGCTCTGGTTATTTTAATGGGAGATTAATAGCACAGACTTCCTGTCTAGATTTCCTTCTGTCTCATCTTCCTCGCCTCGGCTGACTTCTCTTTTCTCCACTCGTAGGGAATGGTTTACTCAGCAGAATACATTAAGAAGAAACTGGAGCAGGAAATGATCTTGTCACAAGCTTTCGGAAGAGATTTGGTACTGGTTTACTTCACTACCAAGAATGCTCAACTCAAAAACTGACTTTTTCTGTGATAAGAAGTATGAATTTGTATCAACACAGCTGTTGTAGCTTTTCAAGGCTAAACTAGTCGTGCATCCGCAGCACAGCCCTCTGACTTGATTTAATACAGAGATTGCTACCAGTGGCAGTAAAAGCACTTTGTAAAATTCACTGTGGTTACCAAAGTGTTTGTGTTGTTAGCGTAATGACTTTGGCTGTCTCTCACAGAGCAAAGGCACCATGCATTACGGGCTGGTGATAGTTGGGCACTCCCTCGGTGCAGGCACTGCTGCTATCCTCTCCTTCCTGCTAAGGCCTCAGTACCCCAACCTTCACTGCTACTCTTACTCTCCACCTGGTGGCCTTCTCAGGTGAGTCACTCATCTATATAAAACTAAAGCGAGCATCAGTCAATCTGTGAGAGCACTTTCTGCAGGAAGTTCAATGTTTTCACTCGGGAGAGCAGGAGAGTGTCAAAAATAGTTCCTACAGTGTTTGCTTTTGAGATTAAACATGACAATGTGAGCAATGTGGTGCAGGGATTACTGCCATTTTATTTGACAGTATAAAGAGGAAGACAGGATAGAAGGAGGGGGGAGAAGCAGGACATGACCTTTAACAAAGAACCCCAGGTAGTGCTTTGTATTTATTCATTCAGCGTCATGTGGTTAAGCTTAAGCATTGTTTCCTATTTTATTAGGCCCTATTGGAAACCAAAAATCATGGATGAGAGATGTGTTTGCATTCACATAATTTAACAGTGACCTACCACGCACTATACAGATCTGTTAAGAAAAGACCAAACAGGCTCACCCATTCCTTCACTCTGAAACTAGAGTATACTTAAATTCTGGCGCACATTTGATTTGCTTCCTGTATGAACAAGATAGTGTAGTTGTGGTCGTGTGTTTCAGGGTTCATTAGCTGTTTGACTGTCTACACTCGAGTGCAGCTGGCTGCAGTGACAGCTGTTTTGCTATGCAAATCATACAGAGGAAGAGAGAGATTACTAATCGCTGCAGAGCACATTCTGTGTTTGACTGCAGTCAGGGAAGGGCAGTTTTGACATAAGATACAAGATGGATGAGAAATTTCAGAAAAGGCACATAGACGGATATTACCAAACAGCGCGGCTGAGGTCACAGTATGGTTACTATATAAAAAGGATGACATGTTATATGCCATGGCTATCAAGCCCACCACTTTGAATTAGGGGTGGAAGAACAAATCGGTACAGCACAGTATCACGATATTTTGTCCGGTAATATATCGTACCGTCTCATTTACCAAGTATCCATTTTTCGAGCAGGAAAGAGTTAGTACAACAAATATATATATATGAGGTTTGCAAGAAGTGCTACATGAAAATGAACTACTGTAAATTAGGCAAACATAAAGGAAAGACAAATGTTAAATTAGCTAAGCAGTTTTATATGAAATCACAGAATATAGTATAGCAATACTCACTATATTGCAAAATGTTAAAAACTGAAATAATATTGTATTGTGATAAATATAGTATCGTGGGGCCACTGGTGATTCCCACCCCTACTTTGAATGAAGGTATGAAACAGCTCTGTGATTTAACGTCGTCATCACCAAATGCTCGATGAGGGGATCCATTAAAAAAAAAAACTGTTTTCATGCCATCAGTGGAGTTTCAGTTGATATTTGCAAACATCTAACACCTCCTGAAGCTAACCTTCAGCATGTCTCTATGTGACAGTTGGTGCCCTATCAAAGGAAAATCCCACATTAACACCTCTTCATGTGGGGCTTCCTGTAATTGGCATTAAAGCTTGGTAAGCAGATATATGCTAAAGCTTAATCCTCTCGTTGAAAGCTTCAGTGTTTATCCCAAAGGTGTTGTTTGACCTGTTCAGTAATTGGTTCACGTGTGGATCAGTCGTGGAACTGAAGGTTTTACATACCCTCTTAAGGAAATAAGGAAGGAGGGGCCACCTTTTCAAAAAGGATAGGGTTGTTTCTCAGTGGACTCTGTTCTTATTTGCATCACTCTCTCTTGCTTATTTCTATCAATGTCCAGGTTTGTACCCTCTCTTGTTGAAACAGGCAGTGAGAAAATATCTCCTAAATATTTGATGTAGATTAATGTAGCGTCTGTTGTATATTAGTGTTGTTCCAGATGGCCTCTGGTTATTTTTGAGGACTTTGGATTAAAGCAAGTGTTTGAATTATGAGATGGAAATGTGTGCAGAGGACTTTTTACCCTCTCAGTTCAAACCTTCTCTCTGTTTACACCGTGTTACTGTTTTTATCTTTTATTTACCCAGTGAGGATGCCATGGAGTACTCCAAAGAGTTCGTCTCATCTGTGGTATTAGGAAAAGACCTGGTACCAAGGTAGCTTCTTTTTTCTTTTAACTCCATCTATTATACTCTGTTTAAGTCATTTCTCTGCAGTATTACAATAAACAAATCTGCTGCTGGTCTCACTTAGGCTCGGCCTGTCACAACTGGAGGGTTTCCGACGCCACCTTCTGGAAGTCTTACAGAAAAGTAACAAGCCAAAGGTGACTTCATCTCTTGATGCTGTTGAAAATAGCCAGAAACATACTTGTAGTTCCTAAAAGTCTATGTGGGGCATATGCTATCAACAAAGGGAGAGATTTAGGACACACGGAGTGTGCTATCAGACGGCCATGCCAAGAACACCGTGTACACTCTCATAATTTAGTAGGATGCTTTATGGACTGTAGGCTGAAAAAGCATGTCCCTTCTTCTGTTAAAATAACAATAGATGATGGAGTGTTAAACAGATTGGTATCTAACTCCATCACATAACCCTAGCAGCACTGCACATCTGCTGTATTTTGCACGCTCTACAGCAGCCGACTAGAGTGAACTGCAGGCTTCAACAGCCTCCAGCAACACTGCAGTAACAGTATCTCTGCTGTAATTAAAGCATCATTCAGTTAACCCCTGGCTCCTACAGGAAAACATACAACCTACAGAAGATAGAATTATATTCAAATGTTATGTTACGTAATGCTTTCCCTCCCCTCCCCTGCAACAGTGGAGGATCATTGCAGGAGGCACCAAATGCATCCCCAAATCAGAGCTTCCAGTAGAGGATGAGGATCCTCAGTCTCAGCAAGCAGCACCACCCAGTAGTCGCCTCTGGCTCCACCCCAGTGACCTCAGCATTGCCCTTTCAGCCTCCACACCCCTCTACCCCCCTGGCAGGATCATCCATGTGGTGCACAACCATCCTCCAGAGACATGGTGAGAGTGCTGATTGACAATCTGTCTCCAGATTATGTTGTGTGCTGTGTTTCTTTTACTCGTGATTTCCTTTTGAAGATAAGTCTTTGAGCAACCATACATCTTGACCAAACAACTCCAGCTCACAAATGGTTTCGTGGTTGCATAACTGATGCGTGGACACAGTTGCTTCAAAGAAAATCCAGCATTGTTTCACACCTGTGGCATTAATAGCTGGCAGCGAGGAAAGGTGTACACTTCATACTTGTGACGGTGTGGGTTTGCAGTGTGGCCCGCGGCACTCCTCTGTTCTTGTATCTGCACCTATGTCTGTCTGTATAATGCACATTAAAGGGGGTGTTTACACTCAGCAGGTGTAATATTATGACCCTCTGCTAATTGACGTGGTTATCATTGATTATCTTTTTGCACTAGCACCTGTCAGTGGGTGGAATTTGAGTAAGGTAGTGAAGTGGACATTTTGTCCTGGAAGTTGATGCGTCAGAATCAGGAAAGTGGAAATATGTGAGTGATGTTGATAAAGCCCAAATTATACTAAATACCTGGGATACATTTTTACGGAGCCTGGGACGTGACATTGACTAATTTTTTTTTTAATTCACATTTGCAGTTTAGTATCTCAAAGGTGTGTTTTATACGTATCACAAACATGCGTTTTAATTGTATCTTGTGTTTTTGTTAATAATCCTCTGCGCGCCTTATTTGTGAGAGAAGAAGGACAGTGTCATGGACAGAGAGCATATTATCAACATTTTCTTTCATTTAGGCATGACTCACAAAGAGACACTTTATAGCTTAGCCACATTTGGTATTGTTTTGAGTAGGGGACACCTCTTCAAGATCCTTAAAGCACAGCGACTTTGCCATTGGCGATACTCAGGCTTGCAGGAAGTGATTTTGTTTATTAACGAACAGTTAAACCCCACCTGTGCGAAATACTAAATCGCATGTGCAAATTAAAAAAAAAAAAGTTAATGTCACCTCCCGGGCTCCGTACATTTCACATATTATATCCCACTGAGCTATAGATGGCTTTTAGACATCTAGATTATTTTTTTTAGACCTAATTTCAACCGTCTAGATTCTGTATATTTTTAGACAGAATTTAGACATTGCACTTTAACCCATTATTCGATAACTATTTATTTCAAAAAGCAACTGTGAGTTGCATAACTGATCTCCAAGTACTTAACCAAAATAATTATGATAGCCATTGAGCAATATACAGTGTAGTATAGATTCAGTCCAGATTTAGATTTAGTTTAAACTTGGTCTAAATTTAGACATCTAAGAAACTTTCATTTTTAGACCTGTGGTAGCCTGATTTTAGACCAGTCATCTAGGCTACATTTAGACATCTATTAGACCTCTTTTGGACCAAAGAAATGCTCAGTGGGAATATTTGGCTGATTGGTGTAACTCTATCAGAAATGCAAATTGTCAGTCTATCAGACGCTTTAATATGAAAGTCAAAATGTTAAACAAAAAAAAAGTGTTTATTTTTAGTTTTACATGCCAAAATGAGAGAATAAGAGAGTCTTGTGATCAATGCTTATCTTTAGAAACACCACCTAAGGATAAGCTGTTGTGGAATGTGGATTAGATCACCTTTACTGCATTGCTCATGTGTTATTTTTTCTTCTCTTTTCTCTTTCTTTTGCAGCTGTGGCCAGGAGGACCCCACTTATTCTGCTCTATGGGGGGACAACAAGGCCTTCAATGAGGTCATCATATCACCGGCCATGCTAAACGAGCACATGCCCCACATGGTGATGGAGGGCCTAAACAAGGTCTGTTCAATTTGTGTGCTTGCAGATGGATGTGGTAATTGGGGTTGCAGCGGTTAATTGGCTCTAAATTCTGGTTCTGGTTTTTCGACACTGAAACGGTGGATGATGGTTATGTATTGATTGCATTGAACCATAAGAAACGTATGCATTTTCAAATACTAATAACAAGTGCGCATAAAGGGGGATACCACTTTAAAAGGAATACATCACTGATTACAGCACATGAGTCAATCAACATTTTTATCTGAAGAGAATTGAAGTCTTCTCTAGAAATGATGTTTTGTATTTCCAGTGACCCTTTTTTAGTGGTATGCCCCTTCAGCATTATATTATAATTCATTATGCGGAGATTTGGAAGATTGTGGCTTTTTACTGAATATTCAGAGTACTTTCAATTTATGCATGCATGTCATCGTTCATGACAATCTACCTCACCTTTTATTTTCTTCACATTACTCCAGTTTCAAGCATGGGAACTGTTCACTCCTGGTTGGTTTCATGGTGTTCTTTGGTGTTTATGAATGTATGATTTACAAGCACTGGACATGTCTTCTGCATGTGATGGCTCCTCATTAGGGACTGCACTGTCTCGTGAGTTCAAGTTTCTCTTCCTCTCTGTGTTTGGGTTTTCACTCGATTATTTTTGTGAATTTTAAGTGGATGGAGGGTTTAAAGATAAGTACGAGTGTGAAGAGAACGAATGAGTGCGTGTTTTTGTCTGTCGTGCTTTTTTCTGTAGTGTGATTCCTCTAATGTTTCTGCAGGTGCTGGAACCATTTTGTCCCATGTCTGAGCAGGAAAACATGGAACCAGAGGAACTGGAAGGCAGTCATCCTCCCTGCAGTATCTCTGTGATAACTTCACAAACTGAACTAAACTCTAACTTCCTACCCTCCGATCTCTCCTCCCCCGCCCACAAAGACCCACCTTCTCCCGCCTCCCTCGCTCAGACAAAGCCTGCACATGCCCCTCTGACTGTGGTTGCTTCCTCTTTTCTTTCAGATCCTGAGCCTGTTCTTCCTCCTCCTCCTCCTTCTCCTTCTCTGTTAAACTTTTCTTCTGCCCTTGAGCCGTGCTCAGTGTTTGTCCCTTCACTTTCTAACAATCCTTCAGACCCTCAGGCAGCACTTTCAGCCACAGATGATTCATGCATTCCTCCGCTAACCCTGTCAGACCCACCCAACTCCTGCACTTTTGCAGATGTGATTGCTGCTCCTTTTCCTGAAATCCCAACTGATGAGTGTCATTCTGCTCAGACAGACAGTGCTCCTGAAAAGATAGAAACATCTCATGGCTCTTCACAAAAAGATGAAGTTTGTGTTTTACAAGTGCCAAGTAGTTTGTCTGACTCAGTTGCGTAGTTTTTCACTCAGTATTACAGATTTTGCCTTGAAGAGCCGCTGATCTGTCAGATCTCAATAGTCGTGGTTGTAAAAGGATGGAAAACCATTTTTCAACCTGTCATTATCTCTGTTGATACTGTGACCTAACTTCCACACTCGGATAATGTGGTGTTTTTCCCTATGAAGTTCAGTTTTGTCTGATGTAAATCTCAGGATTCTGCATCAGACTTCATGAAAGAGTGGAAACAACTCTAACAAGTCTTAGAGAGTCCACCTTTTCCTCCAATAAAGGACCATAAATGAGGTACAGGGTTTAAGGCAGCTCAACTGGTAAAGCAGCTGAGGAGCAGTGAAAAACCCCTTTCTTTTTAGCAGTATTTCTCTTTCCACTTGCACATGAACCAGTGGCAAGATGCAGCAAGTCTAGACAAGTCAAGTGTACGCTTTCAAAAGAGGAAAAAAAACAAATGGAAAGTTTGAAGAATTTGAGGTGTTCAGTAGACAAGTGAAGGCAACAGATGTTTGTGAAATAGAGCTTAAATATGTAGTCTTAATCATCTTTAAGTCGACTCCTAGATGATATTAGCAGTCAACAGTGTAAATAATTGTGCAGTAATATCATATCTCTTTAAAACCAAAGTGTAAAAATAGCCTTTCACAGCTCTGCATGATGAGTCCAAACCCACCTGCTTTCTGTCTTTTTTAGTTATGTTTACCATGCAGCTTCCCTCACATCAACCCTTCATTCTTCATCATCCCTATTGCAGCTTACGGTACATTTGGTCAAGTGCTGTGGCATGAACTTGCTAACCCCGTTCCTCGAGCTAACAAGTTTTCTTTGTGTTCCCAAAGTTTCCATGGTAACTTAATTTCTGCCACATTAACTGCTCTTTCTTCCTCCTTGGCTCGGGTTTTTCAGTCGCTGCAGCTCTTCAGTCTGGATATCATCTCTCTCTTTTTTTTTTTCTTCCTTTTTTGAGAGCACATATTCAGCTCTTCTTCAATCATAGTCCCTTCAAGGAACTGTCAGTTACTCATCAGGAGCAGATGGAGCAGCAAGGGGGGGGGGACCAAATATGTAAATATGGAGTACTCTGCTGAAAGATTGCTGCTCACACAGTCCAAAAGATGTTTTATTTCCTCTTATTACTGACAGTGGGCCTGAGCTATTTTTATGTTTGCCACTGTCCACATCACAATGCTATGTTATGATGTACTTTTATAAATTATATATGATTTGAATCTATGGCTGTAGGGATTTCAGAACATTGTTAAATAATTCAGAACTTGATCTCTACGTATCAGTTTTGCTCTTGGTACAACGGCTGCAGTCTTGTGCTTGGTTTTTATGTTGTTGTGGTCATTTGTTTGTTGCTGTGCCTCCAAATGAAAAAAAAGAAAAATGAGTTTGATCATGCCAGTGCCAATTTTTGCTGTAGATTAATTTTTAAATGACAGTAATTTTGATCTCATGTATCACAGGCCACACTCACTCATGTAACACCTTCATTTTTCCATTTATGTGCCATGGCCACCCCTATAACCAAAGCATACTAAACATGTTTAATCTCATATTTAACTCCAGATTCTCAGTCATTGTTTACACTAATATCTATTGATTTTATGTTTCATTACCCGTGATTTTCGTACATGTTTTTGTCTTTCATGTTGTCTTAAAACCTTACTGTGTTTTAACTCCATTAAAGTTGACCAAATCTGTGTAACTGTGTGTCGATGTGATTTGCTGTAAGTGATTTCTTGAGCTCACATGTTTAATAATTAACACAACCGAGTTAACATGTAGTGGGAGAGGGTTGTCTTGAATGTTTAAAAGTTTGCGTACTCTCATGATTTACCAACCCTTCACCATCACACTGCAGGTCTGCTGTAGCTCTCACTCGGGCATCATGACTCCATAGTGGGTGTTTAATGTCAGATAGAGTGGGTGCAAGCTCACCTCTAAATTGCTCTTACATTTATCTGAACCACACTTGGCTTTTAAACTCTATAATAATAGATGTATTCGTACGTGTGGGTTGAATATAAATGTGGTGGTTTTCTTGGATAATGTCATTATACACTCGCCAAAGGTGATCCAGCTACCTGATGATCTTGTATTTAGAGATTTAGAGTGTCAATGGAGGATAAATTAAGTGTGGTTTCAATCCTTATGACATGAAATGAAAAGGGGCAAGATTATGCAGATGTTTACAGCTGTTTTGAGGATGGAGAAAAATATACCCAAACTAAGTTAGTCATTGGGGTTAATTTGTTTAATCTAGTAATAAAACAAACCTTTTATTATAGTGCTTGATATTTAAACTCTAAAACAACATCATTTGTCTTCACCACTTTTGTATGCATCTTATCTTGTTATGAATTATCCCGTTCATGTTTTTACTCGACTTCAAGACCCATCATCCCTGCTCCTCTGCTCTCTGTGACTCTCAAGTCATGTGTCTGTGTATACCTCTGTGCTTCTAACAGGTGCTGGAGAACTACAACAAAGGGAAAACTGCTTTGCTGTCAGCAGCCAAGATCATGGTGAGCCCCACAGAAGTGGACTTGAACCCGGAGACCATTTTCATGGACGCATCCGCAAATTCCCAGCAACCGACACCTACAACCCACCACCGCAGGAACAGTAGTGTTCGGTTAGTACAGCGAGCACCGTTTGTGGGTGTTTTAGATCATAAAAGAATATACTCAGCAGCTAGTTGATCCTCTCTGTAGTCGGTTTATCCTCTGACTAAACTGTAGCGCTAATCATCATGGGGACATGTCTCATCTTAATTCAACTTGAATCTAGCCAGCACTAAACATTACTACTGCTACTAACTGCTACTTTATTGTTTTCTCAAAATCGTCGTTTCTGTCTGTTCCATTTGGTTTTAAAAAACAAGACAAAAACCATTGTTACGGTAAGCAAAGCATGCTAATACTAATTTTGCATAATGTGCTCCCTTCTCTCAATGCACGCATGCACGCTGTCTGACCACAGACCACTTCCAACGTATGGTAGTATTCAGTTCCCACCTCGCCCCCTCTGGTTTAGCCCCTGTCCAAAGTCAGTGTGAACTTCCTGCTAGTGATGGAAAGGCTAAAACAGAAGTGTATTTTCACTAGGATGTAGTCCTGAACTCCTAGTTTCTCCTTTTTTTCTTCTTTGTACTGTTTTTCTGGTCTTAACCTTCAATGTTTAGACTCTAGAGTTGCTTTCAGTACTAACACCTTCCTGTATTTCCCTGTTTTGACCCTTTGTAAGTCGTTATGACCCTTTTTCATGTCTTGTCCTGTGTTTTGATCCCCTCTCCTTTCCTTTCCCTTTCACTACTCTCCAACCCGTTCTTCTACTCTCCTCTAGTTCATGTGCCCAGTCTGAAATATCTCTGGATGGTTTCTCTGAGTGCCCTCCTCCCCCAGTGCCTGTTGTGCTGCGTGGAGCTCGAGAGCGCCTAGCAGTGGAGCTTAGGGACCGCAAAGCACCACTGGCAGTGATGGAGAGTCTTTCAGATGCTGAATCCCTCTATAGCCTGGATTCCCGTCGCTCCTCAGCTGCGCTAAGGGGCTCACCAATGCTGAGTAGCCTCCCGTTCCCTTTGGATGCCCCGATCCCCGAGGAGAACCCTTCGCTCAGCTCTCGCACTGAACTCTTAGCTGCTGACTGCCTCTGCCAGGCAACGCCGGAGCACCTGGGTGAGGTCGGGCCTTTCTTCACCCCACTGGAATCCACCCCAGATTACTCCATGCGGCTTTCACCTGCTACCCCACGCTACAGTGGTCACCATTCCCCAGCTCTGCTAGACCAGAGCGTCTCAGCTCAGCCTTTAAAGCCAGATAGTAATGCCAATCCAAAAATGCTTCCTGATGGAGATCACCAAGAGATGCCTGGGGTCTACAGCCCAGGGAGCACCCCGAATGCTCCCCTCAGCCCGCAGATTAGCCTGAAACAAACAGATCGAGAAAAAGAAGATTGGGAAATGGACAAAGCCGAGACACAGTTTGGTGTAGAGACAGAACCAGCGGCGTCAACTCCTCCTCCCCCACTATCAAATGGAAACCCCAGCCAGGCGGTGTTGGAGTTTGCCCAGTACTTGGACTCTCTTTTCAGATTGGACGGCAGCAGCTCTCCGCCTCTGGACCTGTCTGACGGGGAATCAGAGTCAGGCCGGGGCTCTTTCGGGCAGGGGGAGTGTCTGGGGGATGGACAGCAGCTGGATGACAAACAACTACTTGCCAGAGCAACACTGGAGCCTAACCTCGTCCCCAAGCCCCCACGCACTTTTGCTGGATCTGCTGACCCTTCCTCGGGTATCTCCTTGTCTCCCTCCTTCCCTCTCTCATCGTCTGAGGAGCTCAACGACCTCTCGCCAGGCGAGGGTACCCTGCCAGCCATACATTCCCTACGAACATCTACCCCTTGCCATTGCCCTGAAGAAAACACACTATCCTCGATGGTGTAGTGTGCTCTCAGGACCCCAGTGTCCTTTGCTCTGGATTGAGAGTTGCAGTCATCCAAATTTAAAAACATATCACAGTATATGCATGCGGTGGAATGCAGTCACTCATCAGAGATCCGATGACAGAACTCAGCTGACCAACTCACAAACTATTTCCCATCTTCAGGTCTCTCTCCTTTGAACGCTGTTGATAGCATTTTCACACTATTGCAATGACTAAAAAAAAAGAAAAAGATACCTCTCTCTGCATGCCAGGGGGCTGTACTGCTTATGGGTGAATATACATAACTGTAGCTCCACGATGCCATTCCAAAACTATGTCGTCTCACCGGTATTGAGACACATCAGCAGCATTATATCAATTCCCTGATATCACAAAATCAAGGGGGAGAATAGTTACATGAGCAGGGATTTAAAACACTCATGAAGAGGTTAGCATAGGCACATCATCTGGGTTGATGTACTGTAAAACTTTCCGCACCCTTAGAAGCTCCAGCTTTTATTTGAGTTCATATTTTTTCAATCAGGAATGTGAAGATCGACATACTCGTCGTCAATCATAAGAATGATAAGATAAACTGAAATGTTCCTCAGGTCTCTAAAGGATTGACTTTGAGAGAGAGAGTAAGTGTGTTACATTGGTGAGAGTTCATGTGTCTTAAAAAAATGTAGTGATTGTGACAAAGTTATTACAGACGCCTATGGATGTTTTTGAGTCTTTTGGTTACTCTTTATAGTGCATGAAGTTTTTTTTTCCCTTTATTTTTAAAGAGAAGCCACTTAGATTGACATTTGGATACTCTTGCACACATCATTTTGCTCAGTTAACCCCCCCCTTTGCCAAAAAAAAATACATTGTATTGCCAAATGTATTTATGAGATGTAATTTTGTATATGTATATGGATATTGCTTTATATAAATACAAGCTACGTTCATTATTTCCTTCCCTAGCAATCTGTTGGTTCCCACATAGACTGTTACACAGCAGCACTACAGAAAAGATGCCATCCTGACCTTAAAACACTGCCATGGCTTTCATTATCACACACACAACCTCTGGACCTTGGGTTTAAACCAATAATGCACTTGCTAATAGTTGTTCTAGTCTCATAACTACTGTATTTTTCTCTTTAGGGAGCTCTTAGCAATGTGCCCGGGTCAGGGTCTGCATGCTTTATGCATTTCAGAGTAGCATGACCAGTATAGATCAAGTTTTGCCATGACATCACAGTAAATAAGCTCTTAACTCATCCAGAATTGGAAATACGTGTGAACTTTTGAGAGGCTCGCTAAGGGCCCGTGTCTGCAGATAGGACCAATCAGCATCCCGGTTTATCATTTCTCTTGTTCTCAAGGTGCTCTCAGTCATCATGGACGTCAAGATGTTTGCTTCCCTTTAATGTGGTTCATCTCAGATATATCACTGAGGTTGAACTGAATGAATAAATGGACTGGAACATCATGTATGCCAATTCTTAAACCTAATATGTGGCAAAACAATCTTCCATATCACTCTGGGTGTAACAGGTGGCTCACAATTTGCATTATTTATTACTGTCAATGTTGTTATCACTTTTATTGCTATATTTGATGGTATAATTATCCTTATGATCTTGCAACAGATTGGTTTGATGTCAGTGGTTTTTTATCTGAGTTTTAGGGACAGTGTGGAGAACTTTTTAGACTTTCCCAAAATGTAAGGAGTTCTATATTTCAGCTTTTTTTTCTGTCTGAGTGGCACAAGTTATTTGACATTCTTCCATGGCATGGTGACAATATGTTCTTTTTACAAATGTGTCATATTGGTGAGACAGGCTGCAGAGTGACAGACTGCTCACAGCAACCTTTGGTGCAATGCCATCATCGATCCTGGAGTCACCATAGTGATCTGCATGGTCTCTGTATTTGGAGTAAGTTTTGCTGTGGTTACTCACAGCAGACCATTCCAGCCAGTTTACAGTCTGACACTACTCAACTCATGCTGCCAGTCCGAGCAGACTCTCACTAAGGTTGGGCCAGCAATTTTCTATGTTTCCAGTAGCTTTGCTTGCAGCAGGTCATCCACTAAAAACTGCAGAGTAATACTTTCCACCATACTGTGTACAGCACCATCTTCTATGTGTAATTATTTATGCAGATGTCAAAAAAGGTGAATTCCAATAGAGTCATGTAGAGCTATATAATAATAATAAGGAGATAACGACTTTAATAAAAGATATCAGTATTGCCATATAGAGAAAAAAATCCTGGAACTTATTTATTCAGACTATTGGCAGATTTATAAATTGGTCTATATTGACAGAGGAATAATTCAACGATGTCTTGTCCATGTTTACCTGGTTTGCTCCCCTTCCTCTCCTGCCCCAGAACGCGAATGTATTTAATCCCTCTCCCACACTGCCCTGCCTGTAATTAAATAAACTGCAAACTTCAAAAGTAACTCTAACATTCCTGGCTTATTTCTTTCAGCTTGTGTTGCTAACAGCCTTTTGATGTGTCTCTACGTCGGAGCCAAAATTGTTGTTGATGTTCCAAGATTTTTTTGGTTCTACTTGTTTTCTTCACAGTAATAAAACTGTTCAGCCCAAGTCCAGCTTGACATGTAGAAAAAATTGTATAATTAGAATAAAATCTATCTTTATATCTCATTAAATATAAAGGTTTTAATGACTCAGATTACCATACATGGTTATTTGTGAAAACAAATTATTTCAAATCAAACCTTTACCACCACAAATTTGAGAAGATTTTACAAAACAAATCTGCCTTGAATAGCTTTGGGCTTTATATATGATATAAAGAATGTGTCATCATTTCTACAACTGGTGAGTGCTGAAGAAGTGAGAGTAAAGATGGTATGAGTAGTTCTGAGCTAAATTTAACCCTGAGTGTAGGTGCAGTGTACTACAAGTGTGCAGTAGGTCTGGCAAGAGATGAATATCTACTGTGAAGCGCTGCGAAGGTATCATGGGTCAAATGGTATCGTGTGGATCAGAAGCGCCTGTTTGAGAACGTTAATGATGCACGGTGGACCCGTATCACGATGTAGAGTGACTTACATTGTAAGTTCACTGCTCAGAGAGAAAACTTAGTGAAAGTGGAGCATTGCATAAGTTACTCTACACTAGGGCTGGGCGATAACGATATATATATTGAAAATTAATTTCCCGCAATATCAATATAAAACATGGTCAATATCCTTTTCAATAGTAAGCATTCTGCCATGTTTTGGTAGACTATACAAATAGCCAATGAAAAGGGGAGTTGCTCCAGGTTACAAACCCCGAGTGGAGCAAGGGGCCCATGGCGCCTGTGCAGTCGAAACAGCTGACCATTCAGTCTGCTCTCTCCAGCACAACGCCTTACGATAAAACATGGAAGAGACACAAAGAACTCACAGATGCAGAAGCTTATTGTATTGCAAAAGACATGCTATCAATAAGCACTGCTAAATTTCCTTTTTTATATCGTGATATATAAACTTTTATTAGGTTAATTGGCCACTTTCAAATTGCCCGTAGGTGTGAATGTGAGCGTGGAAGGTTGTTCGTCTCAAAATGTCAACCCTGCGATGAACTGGCGACTTGTCCAGGGTGTCACCTGCCTTCGCCCGAAGATGCTGGGATAGGCTCCAAACCCCCTCCCCCGTGACCCCTAATGGGAATAAGCGGTAGAAAATGGATGGATGGATGGATGGTTACCCAAATCACCCAGCCCTACTAGACACCAATCATTTAGATAGATAGATAGATAGATAGATAGATAGATAGATAGATAGATAGATAGATAGATAGATAGATAGAAACAGGAACGTACAGTGTCTGCACATTTGCATTGACAAGTTTTTACAGGTAAAACATATGAGTACGTGTACCTCCACTGCCACCAGAGGGCAGCAATGCACCTCTGCCACATGACGACACAAGCCGGAAGCTGAGCATAATGTCTTCCGAGTATCCCTGATGGTTTCTGGGAGTGCTAATATTAGCTCGGTGCTAGGCTGCTGTATTTAGAGGTGTAGCTCTGCTTTCAAGCCGCTGCCATGAATTAAACTTCAACAGTTGAACCCCAATCCGCTAAACGTCTCGGTAAGTAACTAAAACACCCATCTAAAATTCAACATACTGGTGTTATTTTATTATAATAACGGTTTTCTAACGTGTAGTGTCAGCGGACCTGAATGAACATAATAACATCGCTGCTCTATTTACACAGCTGCTCTGGCTAACTGCTCCGTTAGCTTAGCTGTTAGACAAGTTAGCTTTCACATCATTTGAAGGAAATTAGCTCCTCTTATAGCTGTGATGTTATTGTGTATTGAACATTTGCCTTCACACAGACTATTCCTGTCACCTGTATCACATTGTTGACTGTTCTGTTATTTCAGGGTGTTTGACTTTGGCTAAGTGGCTATCTATTTTGGTTTGGAAACTAGGAAGTCAACATGCTAACCGTACTTATTTATTCATTCAGCAGTCTAACAGACTTACCAAAGTGCTAGGTAAAATGATATATGTTCTACATTGTAGGGCTGAAAACACTGACAACTTGATGAGAATATATAGGGGAGAGTGGGGTAAGTTGAGCCACCCCCTGTTGCTTGGAAATGGTAAAAGAAATTGATCATGTGACCAAATATTTAGGAGCTGGGCATCAATTAATGGAGTCTGTGAAGGTTAGAAGCACATGGGTGAAGAGGTTAGACATTTATAAAAAAAAAAAAAACATTTTCACTCATGAAAGTGAATTCAGTCTGTCATAAGTTTTATTAGAATTGTGTTCAGACCAAAAAAGATCATTTAAAATTTGTTTTATCATCAATTGTGGTATCTATGAACTACAACATGAGGTCTAACACCAAAAAAGTCCACCGTTTTAGCTTAGAGGACTAATAAAGTCATAATAGTCATTTGTGGGTAAGTTGAGCCAGTGACTAAACTGAGAAAGTAAAGGAGTCTGATGAGAGGATCAGAGTTTCAGTTCAGATTGTTGAAATGTTTTACTTTTTCTTGTCATAAATACAGCTGTGAATGCTCTGAATCACTTAAAGTATGGCTCAACTTACCCCGCTCCTATGGTCAACTTACCCTAGGAGATCACTTTTTTTTTTGGCATGCTATATTATCAAGACAGTTATGTTTACACTCATTCTGTTGGTTTGCAGGGATGAACAACATCTTGAAATATATGCAGATACACTAGTTAGAGACAAAACTATGATTGCCTTAATGTGGTGATCCAGAATATGAAAAATGGCTCATCTTACCCCACTCTCTCCTATAGACAGAAATCAGATTATCACTGTTTATGCACTTCTTTCCTGACATTGAATATTCAAGCATCTGTTGTTGGCCTGTGATTTTGAATTCACCATATTTACCTTACCTCACAGGGTTTCTAATATGTGTCATTGAAACAGAAGCAGACTGTCATTGAATAATAACTGTGTTTGCAGTGGCTGGCTGTAGAGAGAGAGAGGTATCAGAGATGTATGCCTCTGGGAAATACAGCTCGCGGGGGCCCGCTCTTATCCCCCGGATGAAAACCAAGCACCGCATCTACTACATCACCCTCTTCTCTGTGGTTCTGCTCGGACTTATTGCCACCGGGATGTTCCAGTTCTGGCCCCACTCCATTGAATCTGCAGCCGACTGGACCCTTGATAAACGCAGCGTTCATGACGCTCCTCTTGTCCACCTGCCTGTCTCCAGCCCCATTCCTGAGAGGGGTGACCTCAGCTGTCGTATGCACACCTGTTTTGATGTGTACAGGTGTGGCTACAATCCCAAAAACAGAATCAAGGTAACTACTACAACCCTGCTATCACCGTGCTTCCCTTTAATTTTCTTCTGTGCCTCTTGTTGAAATCAGATCTTCTGTTTCTACAGGTCTACATTTACCCTCTGCAGAAGTTTGTGGATGAATTAGGGGTTCCCATAAGCAGCACTGGACTGTCTCGGGAATACAATGATCTGCTCAGCGCCATTTCTGACAGCGACTTTTACACTGATGATGTCACCAGGGCTTGTCTTTTCATCCCTTCAATTGATGTGCTCAATCAGAACTCACTGCGAATCAGAGAAACTGCACAGGCTCTAGCAATGCTGCCCAGGTAACATTTACACTAGACATAGTTGGTGATGAAATTATTTTCAGTTTAATCAATCAATCAATCAGCCAATAGTAGTAGTCAGACTTTTTTTTTAAAGTACTTTTCAGACATTGAATGAATCACAAAGTGCTGTCCATTCAAGCAGGATATTAAAAACAATGAAATAAAATAAATACAAATACAAATACCAAACCCCACCCACTCTCCCAACCCCCGTTCAACACACACAGCACTCACACGCTCACACACACAGATGCACACACAAAGGACCAGGCGAGGACTCTTTAACTTGCCACAGATGACTGTTTAATTGTTGTTTGTTTTGCCCTGATGACATTGTTAAAATTTCTCTTCCATCTGTCTTTTTCTCATTATTGTAGAAGCTAAAATGTGACATTTTCATGACCAAAAGACTCCTCAGACTATTATATACCAGTAAACTCTGCATGGTGGAAACTAGAAAGTATTTTTTCGCCAAATAGTAGTTCTTTAGTACCTTAACATACCATAACATAACAAAGGAGGGTAATGATATTTTATAATGAATAATCTAATTGAAAGAGTTTTTACTTTTACTCATAAAATGATCTCTTATCACTCAAGTACAAACCTTGTGTTTCTTTTGGATAGATGGGACAAAGGAATGAATCACCTCCTTTTTAACATGTTACCTGGAGGCCCTCCGGACTACAACACTGCCTTGGATGTTCCTCGAGACAGGTAACTACAGTACATGTCAAAGTTAGTACTACAATATAAGAATGCATGCATTCATGTTTTAGTCATGGTGATATGTTAAATTCCCGATGAAAGTTCATTACATAGTGAACTTACACAGTGAAGTTACTCACGTTTCTGGTTCCTTGTAACTTGCAGTATTAGAAGTAGCAGCATTGAACTTTTTACTCAGGTTAAAAAAAACAAACAAACAAAAAAAGAAAATCTGTCTCATGGTTCCTGGAAAGAGAATTATTATTTTTCAAGCTATACGAGATTATGCAATTCTTGGTAGTATTTTTCATAACTGCAGCCACGTGCGTAAGGAGTACGAAATACAGCGAAAAAGAAACAAATGTTTACTGCCAACTGAGAGATAAGATATTCCTCTGGAGATATTTCATATCTGTTTCTGTGTACCAGCAAGGGGTCTTTGTGTCTTCATATGTTCTTTAAGCTCTCTTGATGAATGAGGAAGGAAGAGGTTAGTTTTATGAACATTAAGCAGCCTTGAGACAATGAACACTATCTTTTAGCTGCAAGGAATTTCCTGGGCTCATCCAGCTGGAGTTCATTTTATATGGATCCTTATCAAAACCAGGTGTGTGTGACTGTCAGTGTGTTTCCTCTCTGGCAAAAAATAGAAATAGGTCTTGCTTTGTGTTACTTCATGTCCCACATTAGCATCGTCCGTAGAAGAAGTGTACAAAGGTAGCAAAAGACTATGTATATATATATATATTTTTTCGCTTAAGTTTGCTCTTGTAGCTTGTGTTTTTCAAAATCCCTCGTGTTTTCAAGCATTGTTACAGCCAAGTCTATTCGTTTCAGAGCACTGCTGGCTGGAGGCGGTTTCTCTACATGGACCTACAGACAAGGTTATGATGTCAGCATCCCGGTGTACAGCCCCCTCTCTGCAGATGTTGAGCTGCCTGAGCGACAGCCTGGGTGAGCATGTCCTTTCATTATCTTGTTTGAATACCAGATTGTGACCAAATTATACCACTATTTTAGTCAACAACACCTCTGCGCTTAATCTTTAAATCAAGATAATGATGCATGCTGATTATTATGAAGCTCAAATTAAGTAATTACAGATTAAATACAGTATAAAGTGTAACTAGATAATCATCTGTTACTTTTCTCTGTTTACTCAGACCAAGACGCTTCTTCATCCTGTCTTCTCAAACCGCCATCCATCGAGAGTACCGTGCCGAACTTGAACGTTTGAAGGAAGAAAATGGAGAGGCACTGCTCCTTTTGGACAAGTGTAGCAACCTCTCCCAGGGTGCAGCCTCAGCACGAAAACGCTGCTATAAAGGACAGGTGTATGACTACCCTCAGATCCTGCAGGTGGGCAGAACAAATGCAAAAAAAGATTATTTATGAATTTCTTATTTATGGAAAAGTGAGCTGGACATGTCTGCTATCACACCATTGAACGTTTGCTCCTTACTGTCATTTTAGGAGTCTTCATTCTGTGTGGTTCTGCGGGGGGCACGTTTGGGTCAGGCTGCACTTAGCGATGTGCTGCAGGCTGGCTGTGTCCCTGTTGTCCTTGCTGACTCTTACATTCTGCCATTTTCTGAAGTCTTGGACTGGAAAAGGTCTGCCTGTCACTACACAGCTGAAAAAACATGTCAGTATTTTGACCGGTTTGCCATTTCAGGTCACTTACCCAATGTTTCTGTTTCTGCATAGGGCATCTGTGGTTATTCCAGAAGAGAAGCTATCAGAGATGTACACCATCCTCAAGAGTATTCCTCACAGACAAGTGGAAGAGATGCAGAGACAGGTAAAGTCATGATGCGTAGCTGTGGAGAAATAATCTGTTGGAGCAACTTACTCAGCTTTCTTTTTATTTAGAAAGTGTATAAAGATGAATGCATGTGCAGCATAGTTTGGTTTTTATTTAAAAACTCAATCCACAGTTGATCAGAGATGCTGTCAGTGAGGTTCAAGACTTGGATTTCATATCTTGGATGTACTTGTGCCATAGCCAACCAATCAACAAACTATTAGAGTCGTAAAAAAGCCAAGACAAATTTCAAATGTGGTGCCACAGACAGAGACTTGGATACCGCTCACACTTCTTGTAAGTTAGAGTTTCCTTTCTTGCTTAGTTTGGGTTTTAAAAGCTTTCCAATGACTCAAGTGTGTTGATTTTAGCTTCAGTGAAATGCAGGGGAGACAGCTTTCTCTCTCTTTCCATGTGATATCTACATTGAGCCACAATAAACAAAGGTGAAAGCATCTAAGAGGGAAGCACACCAGCTCAGCTGCTACTCATTCCCTTGTATCAACTCTAGTCCATTTACTAATTATACTAGCCAAACACACTGTTTTGGCCAAGGGCTTAGAGAAAGACTCGGGGTTGGATTTCAACAGACCAGCTCAAAAAAAAAAAAAACATGGCTTCAGGTATGGGTAGGTGGTTGTATTTTCCTCTGAATAGCTCCAGTTAACTTGGTCGCATAGATTTTGAAGTATTTATGCTGGTCACGGTACTCTTCTTCTTCTGCCCGCTCGTATGGTTTGAATTGCTGAAAGCAGAGTCATGTTTAAATCCTATCTTTAAAGGAGTACGTTTATCATAAATTCAGTCAAACTCTGGTGTACACTGAGAGCAGTTTTTCCTGCTGTGGGCCTCAGGTCACTGTTGATATTGAGGTCACTCTAAAGCATCAAAGTGTTCTTACCTGTAATTTAATTCACTATCACAAGTTGAAATTCTGTGACAGGAGTTTGTTTTCTGTTCATAACATTCAGCTCTTTTGCTCTGTCACAATTATCATTTAGGTTGACTAGAAAAATCAGAGTCCATACAGATGCAATTTGAAAACTAATTGTTTTTATGCTATTGTAGGAAGAATTGTATGGTATCATACTGAAACAGTCTTGTTCAGTAGTTTTAGCCTTACTATGAATTTAATTTCTGAAGGTACTGGCTTATCCCAAACCTTTTACACTTGTGGTATTTGAAAGAAGCCAAGTACACGTATCCAGCTGTTTGTACTTGAAGTCAAATGAAATTCACATGAGCACACCAAAAACACATTTGATTGATTAGCAGCATAATACCATTCAGGAATGAGAAAATCCGGGATTAGATGCTGCACAAATAGAATAGTCAACCTTTCTGTTCCCTAAGAAGACTGGAGAAAAAAATTGGGAGCAGCGGTATTTTCAGAAACAACTCAAATCTATTGAGTTATTAAAGAGAAATAACATCGCCTTACTTCGAAGGGTCTCTTTCTGATACAATTTTTAGTAATTTATGTTGTGTCTTTAGTATTATATTGTGCTTCCCAGGAGTATAAGAAAAGGTCTTTTTAATGCGAGTCTTCATGAGAAAAACTTTTCTTTGGAGCTCAGATCCTAGTGACTGAGAGAGGACGTTCAAAGTTTGCCTGATAAACTTTCACCAGCAGAGGGCTCAGCAGCCTTTACTTTCACACTTTGTTTGTCTCCTCCTGTGCTGTTTACCACCACATGCCTTGACTGAAAGGCGACAAATGTTAAAGACAATGCGTATTAATCCCTCCGGAAACTCCATGTAATTAAAAACTCATGTAATACTTGAGTGTGTTTCAACATGAGCAACAGTTAGTCTTTCCAAGAATCAAAGGCCTGATGCCAACATGAAAAATAACCCAGTCAAAGAAACATCGCTCACTTCTTATTGGGGCAGATCACCATGGTAACTTATATTGGTGGGGGTTCAGGTTGGGCACAGTTATTTAGTGTGCTGTCCTGGTATCATACGTAAAAGCAGAGCCTTGAAGCTGTCTTATTTATTAGATATGAAATTACATATGCTTCTAACTTGGAATTATGTTTCATATTGACTTTTATTATTTCCATAGCTGCGGCTGAAATAGTCCAACTATAACTGTTAACATGCCGCAAGAATAAATCAAGGCAAAAATCTGTTTGAGGGACGAAACAGGAGTTATTACAGACAGATCGATTTTGCACAGATGATGGGAATAGAGATGAATTAAGTTGAACTGGAGCTTTTTTTTTCTTAACCGTCAGTTCATTCATTTCACAAATGCAGTTGGGTTAATTTTAGTCCAAATAACGTGTGAAGTTGATAAGTTGATAACCAGCTTTGTGGCACCACTTAGCCTAACCTCTTGTTTTAGATTCAGTGAAGACACACAACCAAAAGATTTGCGGGTTATATTGAGCCTGCTTCATAGTGTAGGCCTCAGGTCAAATTGATATTACTGTTTAGCCTTCATCAGTCGACTGCAAACTTGCTTCAGACAGCACAACTCATTTTTCAATTTGTTATTATGTAATGGCATTTAGGTCACATTTTAAAAGGCTTAATACTAAACAGCTGCTCAAGTGAGACCACTTAGCCCATGTTTGTGAACCGGCATCCACAAGCCTCATTTGGGCTGCTATGCACTAAAATGCCCTACAGAGATATATTACATTATCTCAGCAGGTGAAGTTATATTTTTTAAAATTAGAATATATAAGATAGGAGGAGGGATTTGAGTCTCCCCTGCTGTCGCCTTTGTATTGAGAGCGTTTGTGCGTTTTATCTTTGAAACTCTTTTTGTTGCCGTGACTTCAGTTTAGTCTCTGCTCCTGCCTCGGCTGTTTCCTTCTTTTCAGCCCAGTCTTACTTTCACTTGCAGCCCCTCATCTGGGACTAAACAGCCAGGTTAATGAAAGTAACTTGTGTCAGTAACTTTTTGTGTTTTAGTGTGAGTCAATAATGTGTGACAGCCCTTTAAGTTTTACAAACTATAGTTTCACATTTTGATCTCCTTATGCTGTTAATGTAGGTTTCCTTACTTTTACAAATACAGGAGTATACTAACCCAGGGTTTAAAACAGGGGTGTCCCGATACCATATCGATATTGGTTCAATATCAGCAAAACAACAAATATCAGATTATATCGGCCTGCATCTAAAATCTCCAACATCAGCACTCTGATACAAGCAGTCCATTCAAGACTCAGCTTCAGCACCTCTATCTAGCAGCGCCCATATCCACATGATCACAACGTCAGTGTGTACTAAGGTACTAACAAAGTACCAAGGAGTAGGAGTGATGTCGGCCCTGTGGCAGTATTTTTCATTAAAGTCCAAAAAAGACTTTGCAGCTGAGTGCAAAACTTGTCATGCACAAGTTTGTGCTAATAAGGATCAATATCGGTATCGGACTATACTGAAAGCTACAATATCGGTATATTATTGGAGTTAAAAAAGTTGTTAAAAATTTGGACACCCCTAGTTAAAAATAAGATTTTGAAATGTGAAGGTTGAACAAGAAAAAAGTTCAGTTTCATGGTGTGTCTTCAATTTACTATTACAATATTACAATTTAACGTGTACAAGCAATAACTGTCCCTCAAAATCCCTAAATCCTCCTCACCAGACTATTGAGAACTAATTTACATTTAAGGGAGCAGGTAATTACTCCAAGCAAGTTATGTATTATATATCTTTTATAGACGTGTTTTGATCACAGTTCAAAGTAAAGTGCTAATAAGTCCGAAACAAAAGAACAATCCCAGTGAGCAGCTCACAGACTGAAACAAACTCAGTTTCACTGCTGTTTTTGATTATGTCAGAAACTCTAATGATCGCCCGGTTCTGTCCGCAGTTCACTGACTGCCAATTCTGCTCCATAGGTTAAATCATCTGTCAGACACTTGACAACTTCCACTGAGTTAAACTAAGTGATGTAGACCGCTGTTTTTGATCAGCGTGTAATTTAAAGTAATTAAAACAAAAGGAGAGTGAAGGCTGGTAGGGGGAGCTCACTGGAAGGAAATGAGAAGATTCTTTTTTTTGTGCTCGTCAGTCAGAAACAAAGTGTGGACTTTACCCAAGCTGATGCAAATTGAAGATGGAGTAAGGGTTTTCTCTTCCTGCTCATAAAAATTCCTACAGGCGCTGGGTGGGGGCAGCGGAGGGTGGGACGAGCCCTCGGGCCAGCACAGTTTGCTTTCTGCCTCCTCCCGTTCAGAAAAGAAACTTTCATCGCCAGCTGATTTATGGGCCATTTGGATTCCCCCTTGAGATTTGAGAGTCCTTTTGGATTCTCCTCATCCCCTCAATAAAAATAAAGGCTGTTTTTGTGCTGTTGCACATTGCCCGTGTCTTACTCAGTTCTGAGAAAAATGGGCAGTTTGGCAATTGTTAGAATCACGTGCCACTAAGACTGTCTATTTTTCAAGCAGAAGACTATGTTGCAATACAAGGACAGATGAAATGTAGCGCAGTGATTCATACATGAACACTAAATATTCCCATTTCTTCTATCCAGTCCTTCCTTCGGGTCACTGAGGAGGATCCAGCAGACTGGAGCTGGGTCAGAGTAACAGTGCCTCTAAGGTTTAGAGATGATGTTGTTTTAAGCTTCATTAACTCTTGTCGAGTACTCTTGCCTCTGGACTAACCTTTGAAGTTGCTTTAATAGAATTGGAGCCTACAGTAAGCAAGGAGACAAAGCCATTGCTACTTTAGATTGATCTTTTTTTTGGTATAAAAAGTAAAAGATAAAATGTTAAACTTACAATAACATCAGTAATACACGCCCTGCTTGAGTATTCTGTTTTATCTTTGCTGTATTCCCTGATAACAAAGCCCAAACTGAAACTGTGAATGAAGATGGTTTAAGTTAATATCCCAGCAGCCAGCGTGATAACATGAGGACACGGGTTAAAAGTTCACGTAACAATAAAGTCTGCTTTTCACATGTGAGATCTGTTGAGGTTGAACAGGCATAGTCAGAAGAGATTTTAAAGAGCTTCAGGAGAGATGATGTTGAAGGTCAAGAGGCTTCAGAGGGATGTGAGAACTTTCTCTAAAGGCTTTGACTGAAGGAGAAGATGTGGATTTTATAGTTATGACTGCACAAAGGTGTTAAATTTTGTCATGTAATGCTGCATATTTTCTTTTTTTTAATCTAACCTCTGCACATTTTTATGTCTGCATCATTATGTTTTTCAGTTTTTGTGTGTTTGATTAAAAAAACATTGTGCCAAATGTGCAAAGCAATGTTGATCCTTTAGGCTTTCTTTCTTTTTTTTGCCCTGTATTGTAATTTTTTGATGCATTTTAAGAAGTCTGTTTTAATTTGTCCACAGGCGCGATGGTTCTGGGAGGCCTACTTCAGCTCCATGAAGGCTATCGGCTTGACAACACTTCAGATCATCAATGATCGCATCTACCCGTATGCTGCACGCACCTATGAACAATGGAACAACCCGCCTATCGTGGTATGTAGCTGTCCTTTTCACCATTTGGAGAGGTTATTTTTTTATTTATTGTGTCTTTTCTCCCTTTAAGTTTTACAAATACTCAAGTACATAAATAGTTACATAATCTGTACAGTCTGTTTTCTTTTCTTTGTAAGCTGCTTTGTAGGGCTGGGCGATAAATCGAAGTTTTATCAGACAGGTGAGGAGATGGAGGACGGTTCAAAAGTTGTAGCGGCAGCTAAAGTAGACAAAGTTAATGTGGGAGGGGGTGAGCAGCTTATGGAGTAGTTATCATTATGGAGTAGTTATCATCCATTTATCGTTATCGAGGTGAACTGCTCAATATATCGTGATATTGATTTGAGGACATACCGCCCAGCCCTAGTCCTTACCATACATTCTTCTGTTGGAGCTTTCTCTAACTTTTACATATAGTCAGGAGTACATAAATAGACGTACATAATCTATACAGTCTGTTTTCTTTTCTTTGTAAGCCTCTTAGTTGTATTTCTTAAAGTCTTTATATTGAGGAAACCTGAGTTGGACCTAACAGATGCTCCCTCTGCCACATTAGCCTCCACACCCTCCTGTCTCTTGTAAATCAAAGCCTCTGTGGCAGAGTGACAGTAGTTGCCATTAAGTCTTTCTTTCTGAAGCCCCACACATGCCGCCACTTTACAGATTAGTTTACACCCAGCCAGCTCGGAGGCCGCCAGTTTGTGTCAGCAGTTCTGCACGAGGAGGATGCCTCCGCTGTGGTGAAAATAAAGTTCCTGCATGTCTGAGTCATTGTGTTTGTAGTTAGTGCGCTGGATGTGAAGGATGGTGTGTGTGTTTTAGCATCCCTGCGGTTGTGGGAGTTTGTGGCTGCAGACAGTTTGGCTGTGCGATCATCTCTCAGGAGCTGTTAATCAGACAGATCTGATCTAGATTCTTCTCCCTCCTCGGTCTGTGGGCCGCAGCCGTGTGTATGTGAACATGTGTATGAATACATGAGTCGGCTCGCATCTGTCTAATGTCCACATACATGCCAGTAAAAGTAGTTTAAAGAGGTGACGGCCACAATCAGTTGACAACGGTGTAAACAAGTGGAATTCAGTGCAGTGATTTCTGATGTGTATAAATTTGATTGCTCTCTAATCTTTACAGCCAGTCACAGGATTTATAAGTCGATCCGCACTTACACTTGACATTGCCAACTTGCGTCATAATGTTTTGCCTGAGTATCTGCCCCTCTCAGTGCGTTCAATCAGGATCACTCAGGTCTGAAGGTTTGTCCAGGGTCAGAGGTTAATCATATCAGGGTAAAGGTTTTTGGCCATTCGTGCCTGAGATGGGAGATGAAGTGTTTTCTCGATGGATTCAGTGAATGGATAGTGAGAAGAACTCGCACAAAGCACTAAATAAATCAGACAGACATTTTTACCCCTCCCCTCTCGTTGCCTTTTGGCTGGTAATTGAAAGCACATTTCCCAGGATTGCTGAGGATTTCAGAATATGGGACAGGCTGCTTTTTGTTTGGGACCTATAGGTATTGGGCAAATGTTTATACGCATCTCCACCATCACATTTAAGTTTAAAAAACTGTTTCTGTGGTTTTTGGTACATGGGCACTTTATTTAGCTTACAAGTTACAGAACAAGTGCAAAGTACTTGAATGATTTTCTTCACATGACATGAGGAAAAGAGGCTTGAAGCGCTGACTTTCAGATTCATTATGAAGGTGTTTGACTTTTATGGAGTATTTATGTTTTGTATCTTTCAGCAGCAGCTAATAGTAGGTTGTTTTTAAATTCTGTGCCCCAAGATAAATTTATCCTTGTGATACTTGAATGTTCGGCTGAAATTCAATGAAAACATGTACAAATTGTACAGATGTATTAATGGATAGCTCGTTTTCAAGGGGGTCCAATATGAATCATGCAATACAATACAACATTATACGATACAACACAGTCACAAACACATAGTTGCAAACAACATACATTGGCTCTTAGTTAGCACCCAACCCCACATCATTTTCACAAGCCCACATCACCCACACAAAGCACATAGTATAGCACTAAACCATTACTACACCATCCATGGAACAGCGAAAGCACTAATGTACGATAAAACATAATAATCTGTAAACAGTAAAACTAATAAAGCAACTACAATAGATACAGAAATACTTGCAACATAGCATCCATTACAAGCATGTCAAATTTTACATGTGTGAATGCATCTTAAACACCTAGCTCATCTTCACCTATCATCCGAAAAATCATTTTACCTTTGTCTAAGATGAACAGTAAAGAAGAGGCTTAGGGCCACTGGAGTAAAAGAAAAAAGGTCTAATATATTTTTTTAAAATTATTATTCTGAGATTAAAGTCAGGATTCTGACTTTTTTTTCTCAGAATAATAATTAAAATCTTTAAATTTTAAATTGACATCAGACCTTTTTTGTATTTTCAGTGGCCCTAATCCTCTTCCGTAGAATAGGCACTACTCAAGCAATGCAAATAAAAACAACTATAAGATCTTTTACAGTGTCAATACAATTACAAAAACTCATTAACGTCTTTCAGATCTGTCGGTGACACATTAAGTCGCGGCTTTCTTTTCATCTAATTTATTTAGCTTGACAAATGACTTAAGTGGTGTCTGTCTACCTCTTCTCTGTTTTAATGCAGCTCCTCTGCTGCTGCGTAAATGTGTGACTTTAATTATTTCCCCCTCCACTTGTTTGACAATGTGAGAATGACCACAAGGAAGTTTCCGCTTGCTTATAAAGTGACTTTATTAGTGGAACAGTGACTGATGTTGAGTAAAAAGCAGCGGCTGTGTGTCTGTTGACAGACATGTGACGATGCTGTAGAAGGAGCCGCATAATCACTGTGTGGCCACCTTAGCCGAGGAAGAAACAGGGTTAATATGTGCTTCAAGAGGCCCACAGATTTACTGTGTTAGATATGCTCTCTTTGCCAGTTTCAGCTTGTTTGTCACTGTAAACAGGGTGGAGCATTTTTGGACCCTTTGATGAAGTTAATCAGAGTGAGTTTACTTGTGTTTTGGTACACATGCTTCAAAATGAAAGATATGGTTCATCTTTTCATGGTATTTTGAGTACAACAACCAAGTTATTGTCTGTATCTATCAACACCAGCCTTCATATGTGTCTTAATAATGTTTTAAAGTTTATTGCACACTGAAATCAGATGACCCTCCCGTGTCTTCCTTTTACTTCATAATGTCACCTAAACTGAGAAGAGTCAACAGGACGGTCCAGATTCACAAGTCGTTTTCAGGAAAACCAATGACAGAAAAACCCCAGAGGATCTGTCATCACAGGAGCAGTAGACGCAGGAGGGTAGCCAACCTGTCTAGTTTGCAAACCCCCCACTGGTCCTTCTCGCGCTCCTTCTCTTCTGCTTGTGTCGGGCGTACTTGGCTTCTGACTGGAAGCTTTTGGCGTCCTTCGCCTCACTTAGCCCCTGAGAGACGATTTTTGGATGGTTCTCTCTCCATAATAAAAACCATCATCTGGAAGTTACTGCAGGTGACCTCACTGTCCATTGTAGCGCTGTTATGGTGTATTAAATCATGGAAAACGACAGTGTGGACACTGAAGACTTTAAGCTTGCTCTTCATTGGCTCTACATAGAAAAGTAAAAGACTGATGGAGAAGTTAAGAAAAATGTGAAACCTAAACAGTATTTTTAAAATCTCATTTGTATGTCTTGTTTTGTGTTGTCTTCCGCAGAAGTGGTCCAGTGTGAACAGTCCCCTCTTCTTGCCACTCATCCCACCAAGAGCACCAGGGTTCACTGCTGTGGTTCTGACCTACGATCGTGTCGAAAGCCTTTTCCGCGTTATCACAGAAATCTCTAAGGTGCCTAGCTTGGCTAAGCTCCTGGTTGTGTGGAATAACCAGAACAAGAGTCCTCCAGAGGGTGAGTACAGAAAGTTCTTTAAAAAACTACAAAGTCATTCACATGGAAACCATTGTCCTCCGACATTACATTGAGATTTTTAAAAGGTTTATTTGGTCACAACAGCTAATGACTACAGAAGACAAGAACAGCCATGGAGTTTTTGTTTTCTTGTGATAAGGACTTTCTATCTCATTCTCTCGGCCCAACAAAGATTGTTTTCTCGTGATGTTGACAACATGGCAAAAAAGTTGCCATTTTAGGTCAGCTTAAATGCCATTTCCATTATCACGAGAAAACGATCTTTGTTTTGTCAAGATAATGAAAAAAACAAATTTCGTTATCATGAGAAAACAAACCTATATCGAGACAATAACATAAGTCGTTATCACAAGATAACAGTGTATAAAAAAAAGAAAAATCCATGACCGTTGGGTTATTATTAGGTTTTTTTATCTAATTTTATTATTTCAAAACTTAAATATGAAATAAGCGCCCAACCTTGAGTTGATGTCCAAGATCTTCAGCCAACATGAAGTGATGGTTAATGATGACTTTTAAAACTGTGCGCTCTCTACAGCGTGTCAGTGAATTTATGATACAAAGAACTCTCTGCTTAACTTAGATTTTGTTATAAAACCTCTCAGTCCTTGTGTATTTCCTTGTTTTTCATTACTATTGTAGTAATAGTAATAAAAAACAAGGAAAAACTGTCAATAGCAGATGTTGCGCATCAGAGACGTGTCATAGTAAATTTTTTAGTTTGTATTTATCGCATCTGAGATGAAGTGCTGATCCATCCTCATTCTTTGATAGCTTACGTCAGACCCAGACTGCTCTAAACCAGGAGTTAAATCGGTCCTACTGCTGCTGTAAGAGTTAACCAGTGTAATGAAGTAATGAGGAGACTTTGAAGTGCTCCCTCATAGCTGCGAGTTGCTGTTTCATTAGAGGCATCAGCGGCGCCTTGCTGCAGCTTTGTGACCCTATTTGAGTTAACAGGAGGCCACTGACAGGTCACACAGAGCTCAGTCCAATATGGAGGCAGCTTTTTTTCCCATTCACACCGACTCTTAGATTAACGATGTGTTTACAGGCTCCCAGTTTGGCTCCTTTCCTCCTGTATTTTTAAGAGGATGCTTCGCAAATGGTGTGTCTTTAAGATTGTGTATTTTACAACCTGAAATAACACTGTCTTCATCAGAATGTCTTGACATGCTTTCGTCTTTTTATCTGTGGTTTTATTCACACTAAATGCACAAGGCTCTCACTCCTACTTTCTCCTTTGAGCCTTGTCACAAAAATGAGAAATGACAGCAGCAACATTGAGTGAAAGAAAAGAAAAAAACTCTTCACATTTAACTCCACAGTTTTCCTGACAATAGCTTTTGACAGGAGACTACAGACGTGGCTGAGGACCAGGAGCTCCTCTTAAAGCCTGCCAGGCGTCAGTTACCCCATTAATGAGCGGACACATTGTGTGTGATCTTTCTGTGCCATGGTCCGTGCCATGGACACTGCCCAAGATCTTTGAAATGCATCCCTGACAAAACACTTTGTTGATGTGCCTCATGAAGAATCGCCGTGTGGTTAAATTTGCACGTGCTTGAGGTTAGCTAACGACACCAGTCCGATCTTGAAGTTAAACTCCCAGAGAACTTTTTTTTCCGCTGCCAGGACAGACTTCAAATATCTCTGTAAGTAATAAATGACATCATGGTCCCTCACCCATCGTTAGACATTGATGCTTGCCATATTTATAATTTGGGAAGGGGGAGCACATTGTGGTGTTACATACTATTATACACATTTGAAGTCTCTATGCAGGACTACAGCTTTTTCCTTCTGATGAAGTTTATGGTTAATCTACGATTGTAAATTTATGATTGTAAATTTAAATAAAAGTCCAATTGAGGTGAACCCAGTTACCAAAAAGTTAAATACAGTTTTTGTTTATTGCTGCAAATTTCTAACCAGAATATTTGAAGTATCATTGGGTGTAAAACTGTAAATGTGATCTTTATCATCGTATTGTTTTTCTCCTCGCAGAGTCACTTTGGCCAAAGATCGGCGTCCCTCTCAAAGTCGTGCGAACGAAGGAGAACAAACTGAGTAACCGCTTCTTTCCTTACGATGAGATTGAGACGGAGGCAGTGCTCGCAATCGATGATGATATCATCATGCTGACGTCTGATGAACTTCAGTTCGGCTATGAGGTGAGAAAAAAAAAAGGACTACCTCTGACTGCCTTCTTCAGCATCCTTCGCTTTTCCAATGCAGGAAACCATTTCAGGTTGATCCCAGAGTTTAAAGTCATTTAGGGAGATTACGGTCTCATTCCCCTCCAGTTGAGGAGACTTGACGGCCCGCTGAATGTGTTTGATGTGTGAAAAATGTTGACAGGTCTAGAGCTGATGCTTTCCATGTCTACATACCTGCTGGCCCAACTGAGCGTAGCACACTCACCTGAATCCATTTAGAAGCTATTTGATAAAATTGTGCTCAGTTTAGGGATAATAACACGGAATTACAGGCAGGATAGCAGAGCCTGTCTGTTTGACAGAATGACTTCTTGCTTGCAGTCGAAGGATTGAACGAGCTGCTTGTGTCAAGGTCTAGATATTCAGCCAGTTATAAAGCCACTTCCATCTGAGAGCATTTTAACTTGATTCTCAGCCGTGATTTAAAAATTTCGACATCATTTCCCTTTTCTAAAATCATCTTTTTGAAGTTCTCTTTATCATCTATCAATTGTTCACTTCATTAAAAATGTCTGTCATCTGATCCAGGTGTGGAGGGAATTCCCAGACAGGCTGGTAGGCTACCCAGGCCGGTTGCACCTCTGGGACCATGAAATGGGAAAGTGGAAGTACGAGTCTGAGTGGACCAACGAGGTCTCCATGGTCCTAACTGGAGCTGCCTTCTACCACAAGGTGAGCAGAGAAAGTTGGGTTGAAATGAAGCCATTTGGGTGTTTTTTGAGCTCTGACTCTGTCATGCTGCTCTGAAGGAAGGATCAGGTCATTTCTGGAAGAGCGTGTTTTGGCGTATTTGTAACACTGATGGCAAGAGGGTTACAGTGATTGACAAGCAGGGTTATCTTGTCTCTCTAAAACTCATACGCTCACTAAAGTTCAAAGTCATTTCTACTGGGTTCCTCATATTTTCTTGTGAGGGACCCAATGTCTGTCATATTGTAAATATTGAGAGCGCTGTTCATCAAGATGACAAGTTGTAATATGTTTTGTTATTCTGTTTCTTTTCCAGTATTTCAACTATTTGTACACATATAAGATGCCAGGAGACATCAAGAACTGGGTGGACGCGCACATGAACTGTGAGGACATTGCCATGAATTTCCTGGTGGCAAACATCACAGGAAAAGCCCCCATAAAGGTACTTATAAATGCTCTGGCTGCTTTAAGCTTGCAGGGAGAGGTTGAAGCCTGACAGAGTGGTCCACCATCTCTGGGTTTGATCAGCTCTCACCCTTCAGCTTCCCTGCCTCCCCCCACCTCTCCCCTTCACATTGACTGTGCCCAGGCTTAAAGCCCTGCCTTAACCTTCCTTATCTGGGTGACACTCACTTGTAGTCCCCCCTCGCGGTATGTTTTCTTAAGCAAACTGGGGCTCACACACACCCTGCCATCACATCATAAGCTGCACACTCCCCTGCCCTCACACCACCACATCTTCAAGTTGTTTTTTTACCCCAAAAAACTCTTTCAGAGCCCCGAGTGCCGGCATGTGTCAGCAGTGCAGATGTGATGGAGATTAGACAGAGTGGAGCAACACATTGTCTTTCTTACCAGATCCTTCACTGAGTTTTCAGAAACTTTCCTCTATGGTGTGTGTGACAGAAGTCACACCGAACGCTATTAGCATCTATCGGGGATGCCAAGTTTTAACATACAATTGAGAGAGCCGATTTCACCAATGTGACTTTTTTCTTCTCCTATCCAGGTGACCCCAAGGAAAAAGTTCAAGTGCCCTGAGTGTACCGCCATAGATGGACTGTCGCTAGATCAGACACACATGGTGGAGAGGTATGGCAATTTGTGTTCAAAACAGTGTCTTTGCTTTTGTTGCTTGTGCGTGTGAGGACAAATGGCTAGAGGTGGGTGTCGATGCATCGCAATGCTTCACGTGACGATTCGGATGATAATTAATAAATAATAACGTAATAATTTTAATAATGTCGATGCTTCGCCACAAGGCTGGAACAGTAAAACACGTAACTGGAACCTTAACGCGCACTCTGCCCGGACTGTTTAGTGAGTGGGACCACATCAAACAGAGCGTGTTAGTGTCTATGCAAAATGGCAACAGCTTCAGCAGCCTCCAAAGAGCGGCTGATTCCCTCACCACCGGGGCTGACTGCAACTGTGTGGAGGTACTTTGGATTTTATGAGAGAGTAAACAAGATGACTGACGAGGCCTACGTGATTTGCAAGATTTGCAAAGCAAAAATAAAGTACCTCAGCAACGCCACAAACATGAGGCAGCACCTTGTACGCTCCGGTCGTGCCCGCTACACAGAGGACCATCCTGGAGACTGTCTCCTAACTTCCCAGTTTAAGTTAAGTCAGTCAAAGTGCAAATGTTTACATAACAGTCATACAGGTATAAATTAAAATATTTTGTCTTTGAAAAATACAAGTCAAATGTCCAAAAAACCTTATTATTTACTTATTGAGTGTAGTTTTAGAGGTACTGAGTTAATTGATTGGCTATTTATTTAGAAATGAAGCCTCAGATGAAGACATAATCAATCTTGTATGGAAAAAAAGTGTTAAAAATGGCAATAATCGAAGAATCGTGGCACCAATGATCAAATCAAATTAACAATCATTATAATTCATAGACTCGAAGTTTCCATATTCGTAATTGCGTTGAATCGTGAAGTACCCTTGTTGGAACACCCCAACAAATGGCTACAGACTTTTTCAAGTGTGTGTGAATGAAGGGCTTTCTCATGCATGCTTTTCAACCGCAACATTTACTATTTTTACATAAAAAAAGGGGAAAAGACGTGAGAAATACACAATCTCGGCTTGCTTTGAAATTAAATAGTCACGTTTTTGTCCTTTAGGTCTGAGTGCATCAACAAGTTTGCCTCCGTTTTCGGTACCATGCCACTGAAGGTGGTGGAACACCGTGCCGACCCTGTGCTCTATAAAGACGACTTCCCAGAGAAGCTCAAGAGCTTCCCCAACATTGGTAGCCTCTGACCAGCTGGTAACAGATGTTGGCACCTCAAGGCAGCCTCAACACTCGATCATTTGTTACGACCATTGTCTTCTTAAAATGGCATCAACTTTCAGGCATAAGTACGTCGTGTTAATGTCTTCATTCACAGCGAACGTTGAATTCTTGGGAAGTTGATAAGTGGAATGAAAGTAGTTTGTTAATTAAAGTATAAGATATATCAGATATTTATACTAATGTATAGTGTAATGTTACATAGATTTCTATAGGAGGTTACCCTGAGTGTGATGTTTGGCAGACATGCCGACTATGATTTTCTTTTTCCCGACTATTTCCCTCTAAAATTAGACATGGACCTTTCCTTTTTTTATCTAATTTAACATGTTTAATTTACATGATACATCGTAAATGATCCAATGACATACCGTGGTATGTAGGATCAATCTTCTAGTTAACTGATTGTGACAGCACACAGCATGGTGGCTCACAGATGATGTACAGTTCATGTTTCACATATGTTTTCTTTTACACAATCAGATCGGGCAGTTCGACAAAGCTGGTACTACAAATCTAATATATTTAGAGTGAGTAACTGCTGATTTTGAAACGTTGATGCTGAGCTACTGGAACATCTTGAATTGTAATTTTATACTGCCTGAGCAATCCTCTTATTATATTTATAGATGATATCAAATTGTGTAGTGACGAACAGACACTACCCAAACCCACACATTTCCAAACAGGTGTGTATAAACTGTTGATTCAATGCCTTTTTTTAAATTATGTTTTCCAGTATAACTGTTGTGTTTATTTCCTCGTTCTTTTACATGGTGTCTTGTCTCAGCCCAAACATTTCGGCTACACTCTGAAAGCGGTGCGGTCTTTTTGAATTTTTTGTGCTTTTTTTTTTTTTTATTTGCCTTTTTTATTATGATTGTTTCTATGAGGTCATCAAAATTGTTTTAAATTTTTGGACTGAGTAAATGTATGAGTGTATATATGACTTTGATAAGTAAAGACCACATTAATGTGTACTCGAGTGTTAATGTTCTGTGTTTTTTTGTGTTTGTGAAAGAAGTAGGAAGAAGAAAGAAGACATTTTCCCCCTTTAGTGTCTGTTTTTACGACGTGACCGTCCGCTGCAGAGACTCTGTGACACAGATGATCCGCTGTTCTCTCCAGCCCATCACCTGTTGTTAATATACGCCGCCTAATCCACCCTGTTCAATGTCAGCAGTTCAAAAGGGCGCAGTTCATATTTTTGTCAACTTCAATTAGCGTGATACTCTTGTGTGCTGTGCGATCTCATTTCAGCGCTCCGGTTCCTTCAAAGGGATTCAAATACATGGGGATTTAAGAATGTGACAACAACAACGACACAATGAAAAGATGCTGCGAATTTGTTGTTGTTTTTTTTGAAGGACAGTAAACAATAAAAGCTGTCCTTCAAAATTTACAGCAAAAACAACAGGTGCAAAGTTGCTGTGATGTTCATCTGTATCATGTGGCAAAAGTCTTAAGGAAGCTGCAAGATAAACCTTTCATAACAGATTACATAACAAATACTAATTCTGAATGGAATTGCAATAACTTACTGTACTTTAATCACACACAAAAAAACATAAGCATGATCAAATCCATACACTCAATTTTAGAGACAGCTTAAAGCCACAAAAAAAAAACATTTGAAACTTGTATGTATTAACATAAGACAAAAAAAAAGTTCAAACACATCTCTTGAAATACAATCTTGACACAAAATCAATAATCATACGTTCAAAATAAAACATAACATCTAATTAGTAACATTTCCAGGAGTCTGTCAACACTTCAGTCCATTTTGCATGCCTGAAAATGTACATGCTCACAACAGCACACGTTGTCTATCATATATTTACTCCTGTACTGAGTGCTTGACTTCAGTAGTATTAGAAAACGAGAAAAGTGGATGTTGACATCATCATCACTCAGGGATGAAGTTAGGCAGCGAACAGGAGGAAGAGGCCTGTAGTTGAAGCTCAGTCCTTTAATGATTGTTCAAATTAAGAAACTTCTGCTGAACACAGTGAAAGGAGACATCGCTGGAGATGTTTTTTACCCAATAAAATGGCACTGAAAAACATGGAAGAGTGAAAACATAGAGATGAGGAGTGTAAACCTGAGCTACAGGATGCCAGCATGTCTGTGCACACTGTGCAAAGGAATAGACTGGATGTAACTAACCAGAGGACAGACGGGCCTGTCCGTCTTGACACACAATACTGCTGTCCACAGCCCCCAAATGGCTCTATAGTGTTAATTAAAAAGCCTTCCTGGGCTGGCCGCACGGCTGTGCCTCAGACCCTGCCTGGACATAGTGGAAGTGAACAGAGGGGAGGCTCAGTGCAGTGTGTATGTGTGCGGAGAGAGGTGGGCTATGAGAGGAAGGAGGGGTTGAATCTTTGAAAGCAGAGCCATGACAGCTGAGGGAGAAGCATGTGTGAGGCATGTTTGTTTTGCATTTACCCCCTGAGTGCAGCTGTGTGCACTGTCCTTTTCCCAGAACACCGGAACACAGCAGACGCCCTAACGGCTCGCCCTCTGTCCAACCCTTCGGCTACAGCACAGGGGGGCCCCAGTCCACATTAGCAAGACAACCCTCTTAGTTTTTAGATATGTACTTGACAATCAGAACCACACACAGGCCTAGAGTAAAACTATGTCGTTTGTGGACTGGGGCGATCTGCTTTGCTTACAGGTTATATAGCCTGGACCCTGCTTCTCTGCCCAGAAGGACAGTAAATGTGGTTCAGGTTAGAGAATTAGAAATGGTTACCCTGCCTGGGGGTTCACCGCAAGTATTAGGTTTTCTTTACAAAATCATGAAAGCTTTCGTTATGCTTAGCGCCTAAATCAGATCTTTCAAAACAAAAAGATGAAGATACATAACCTCAGCGCAAAATCACATGTGCTATTTGAGAGGAGGCAGCTGCCTCTGCAAAAAAAAAAAAGTTAGCGTACTATTTGAATATTTGATTTAAGGCCATGGATATTGGCTTATTTCTGGCTTGTTTCAAGCTAATTTAACCCTTCATAAGACTCTAAAAATAGGTTTTATTTCACACTATTAATAAAGTTAACAATGGGGAGGTAACACTACTGCTAACTACAGTATCCCTTCATCCTTACTCCTCACCTGCTTACTGAAACTTTGGGATAGTGCTGGCACTTAGTAGTTTGGTATTTGACGTTGTATTTCAAACTATGGAAAGCTTGGCATGTAACTATATACTGGTGGAGCCAGCAATGTCGACATTAGACCAGAGCCATAGTGCACTTTGATTGGTTGGTGCAAATCTGATTGGATGTTTAGGACAGTACAAAGTCATCACCATCAGTTTCAATATAAGGAGCGGATGTGTGAAATCTTGCGTGTTTCGTGTGGAAAGGAGGGGACTTCATGAGATCAGCGACACACACAGCTAAATTAAAAAAAGCAGGGTGCTAGCTCGGCCAAAGGTGGAGGCTAGGGTGAATTCTGTATGAATTTTACAATACAGTAAAGAGGATGGAGATGTGTGGCTACAAGTGAGGAATAATAAGGCAATGAAGTTTGGATTTGCATTAACAGTGATTTTTTGTTTGTGTTAGCCTAGTTTCTGTATTCATAACATGCTGAATTGATTATGGAAGCTTTGTACAACCACTAACATGGATGTCATGCCTTAAGTTGGAGGTAAATTGATCTTGTCAGTCATTATATTAGTTTTGTAAACATCAAAAATCATTTGCTCAAGCTGTAAAAAAAAAATCTGCCCCTTGATGGCTCTTTCATTATCTACTACAACTGCATAAGGCAACTTCACACGATTACATAACACTGCTTTACCAAGTCAATACTGCACACCAGAGGTGTAAATTCACAAACAAATTGGAAAGTAATTACTCAATGAGGAAATTACTGTAAATTTGGGAGTAAAGAGCCCTGGGTCAGCTGCCCACTGGTTGTCATTGATAATGAGGCCGTGCTGATTCCTTCATCATTTGCATAGACACCCTCTTGACTTTTCTCGTTCCCTCACAAATTGAAACCTGATGTTGTCATGCGTCATCACTAAGGTAAGTATGTTTGAAGTAAATAAGAGAAGATATGTTTGTGAGGCACTTAGAATTTTTTCAAGAACTTCTTTCTTTCAGGTCCAACTGACCTGGTTAAAAATGTTTGACATGACTCTGCTTTCAGGTATGTCATCTTGTTTTTGGCAGAAATATTGAGAGAAAGAGAAAAAGAAATGTGATCATGCTTACACTAGTGCAGCCTAACATCCAGAAAAGGCTGCTGAACACTGACATCCTTTCAGTGTCTCAGAGTGTCAACACTCACTGTGTAATCTCCACCAGCCCCTTTGTTTCATTGGTGGCTGCTGCTGCTTTTGGTGTTATTCCTGGCAGAATGACTGACTAGTAGGCACTTCTCCCTGAAACCCCCGAGACTGGAAATGGTACGGGGCACAGTCATGTCCACTTGGACTCAGTCCTCTCTGAAACAGAGCTGGCTCTGTTATGAGGCTGGCGCTCCCAGGCTCTTCAGCCCTTAAAGCAGCAGGCCTGCTGCGCCCCTCTCGTACTCCCACACACCACTTCCTCCTCCATCCCTTCCTCTCTCTCAGGCCGTCAGCAGGCTGAGTCAGTGTGGCAGGTGGATTTCTTGCCCAAACCACACTTAAACAAACCGCATTTCATCTATCTGACTTGTAAATGTTAGAAGGTTGGACCACTTCAAACTTTTTCAGTTACTGATATGTTTTCGTTGAATTTTGAGAGGCTTCATAATGTGACAGATATCAGATATGCCCGATGCTGACAGGTTTTTGTGACATAATAACACTGTAACTGAAATTACACACTGATAACAGGTGCCACAGAGTAATATGTACATAAGGCACCGATTTTTGAACCGTAAATTATAGTAAGGATGTTTGCTGCTCTGCTTATCATTTTGAAACCAGTTATTAAAAATACTGTTGGGGGGTAGAAAGAAACACTCAAAATTAAATAATAAAATATGAACAAACAGCACCTGAACAGAGAATTCAATGATACTGGAAGCACTGTACAAACAGAATATCCTGTTTTTTTTTTTTCAACAAATAAGTGCATGGATATTTTTTGCAATTATTAAAAATGTTCATTTGCTTAACTACAGTGCTACACTGCAACTCATGTTATACAGTACAGCATCAACTCCCATCATGCTTTGCACAAAGCTCACCCTACCTCTGCAGCCATAGCCACGTCTTAACCAAATCAATGTTGTCTCCTCACCTATCCATATGTTTGCATAATTAGTTTATTGCAACATTTATGAAGGTAGTCACTGTTGCTTAAAGAGTTTTTTTTTTTATCATTTATATACTGTAGTGCCCCCTCACTCCCTCACTCACTCACCCTAAACTGGGTTTATATCGACATCTTAGGGGACAACGCTCCCCTATCCAGCAGGTGTCAACACATCATGTGGCCCAAGATATAGCTGCACTGTGCTCTTTGGCCTTCATGCGCAAAGCGGCAATACTAGAGGACTTGCGGTCAGGGTCCATGTTAAGATCATATGCATTGATGCTGGTCGCCATACCAGGGGATCCTCCAAACAGGCTGCCCATGTGAGCCTGTCCCATGTGACCTCCAGGGCTCGGCACGCCAAGAAAATCGGACACCCCGCTGGCAGAGTGGGGATGAGGCGTCATACAGGGAGTAACAGTGTCACAGGGCACAACGCAGCCCGGCACAGGAGAGGCTGCACTGCTGCCACCGATCCAAGAGGGGTTCTGTATCTGAAATAGTGATTGGAAATGAACATTGGTAAAGACCGGCACGGTTGTTTTATGGTTAAGGCTTTGTTGGATTGTATGTAGAAAAAACGGATCAGGGTAAATAGGCCTCTTAAAGGGATATTCCGGCATAGGATGAATTTAGGGTCAAACACACGGTAACACCGAGTTAAACAACCCGAATAAATGTTGGATGTTGAAAGAGATGTATGTTGCCGACCGCTTGCTTCTCTAGTTATGCCAACTTCAGTAACGACTGCAGGATAGCAATACACAGCGGTCTGAAGAGCCGTAAACAAACCTCAACCAAAACGCCACTCTATAGACACAAATAATGTTCAGAACAGCACCTAACTTCATCAACAGTACATATAGGGTCCCAGCCATAGCGCTAGCCACCAAACATCTTTCAACTTCGACTAATTTCTTTGTAGCGAGACATCTTGGTGAGTCCATCGAGGCACCATATTAATCATTTTGCACTGCAGACACAGTAGTTCTTCTGCCTTAGCGTCTCGGTCTGATTGCATTTCCATGAAGAAATGATCATAAATGTTGTTCCTTGAGCTGCGTCACCCCGCAGCAGTTAATGGACTCACCCGGGGGTCTCCTAGCACATGGCTCTCTGTATTGCTATCGTGCGGTTGTTACTAAAGTTGGTATAACCAGAGAAGCAATAGGTCGGCAAAATTCATCTCTCAAGGGGGTGTCTAACTCGGTGTTATGGTGTGTTTGACCCTGACTTAATTTTACTCCGGAATATCCCTTTAATGTCAAACCTGTATCAAAGTGCTCATTCTGTACCTGCGCGTAATTTTCAGGCCGTGTCAGAAGAGGCAGCTCATAAGCCGTGGAGAAATGTGTTCGGACCTGTTGCATCTGACCAAATCGTTCTCGTTTCCTCCACTTTGCTCGTCGGTTCTGGAACCAAACCTGAAGAAAGAAAACGCTTGAATGTCACAAAACCAGCAGGAGTTTTTCGTCTCTCAAAAGAGACGGGTTTTACTTTTTACCAAACTACCCAGTGCTGATCCAGGACCCAGGAGGAATGTGTACACCTAAACCCTTTAACAGGAAATACTTTGCTGCAATCAACATCCTTTTAGAGCTTTCCTTTAAGATGATCTTAGGCAGTGCTGTCAAAAAGCTTCCAGCGAATGAACAGACCCATATCTGTAGTATATTGAGGACTGTGTAAGTGTAAGTACAAACACAACTAAGACCCAGTGGAAGTAAACTGTTGACAACAACCTTCACTTTTTTATACACAAACCTTCAAAGTTCTGGTGCCCCTTACCTTTGCTTATTTGTTTCTGACAAAGGCAGAGTGTTTTTCCCGTCACTGTAATCCTCTCTGACATCTTGATCTAACTGACCTGTTGTTGAAGGCGTTATTGTGTTTGAATTTCCCGTCACAGTTTGTAATGTCGTTTACATCCATTCGTCTCTGATGGATCTCAGACCTAACATGCTTTTTGTCAAACTCAATGTACAGGTTCATGAGTTTGTGTTTAAATCTCCGTTCTGTCTAATTGGGGAGGATTACCTCACAACATTTGCTGCAGACTCTTTTTCCTTTCAGACATGATTCCTCATATTTCATTTGGGACTTTTTTTCTCATACAGCTTACGGAGACAAAATGGGAATCTGAAAAGTGAGATAGGATTGTAACTTGAGTTTGTTTACATTTTCCTTTTTAATTTCCTGAGGCTATAGCTTCTGGCTTTAGGACGCTGTCCCTCTCAAAGTTAAAGAAGCACACAGAGCAGAGGGGGTAATCCGTCTCTCATGATATGTTCATAAACATCTTCCATTACTCTGTCTCACTCCTGGTCTATGACTCAATACAGGACTCTGCTCCTCTAAAATAATGTTTCTTTATGATAACCAAACTTGTTTGAGACGATTGAAATCCAGCGTCTCTCACCAGCAGCTCTGCATCACGTTCAGTGCTCAGTCTGTTGGCTATTATACAGGGGGGACATATTTTTGTGTTCCACGTACGGCATTGTGACAGTAATTGGTAAAGACCATGACAGCTTAAGTAGCTGGTGGACTTTCAATGAGGCTTTATTTATGTTGCAGCCCCAGAGAGAGCAGAGAAATGCCAAACTGGCCGCAGCAGGAGAGCCGTCCAGGGCTGAAGTGAACACTTTGAAGTGAGAGTCTAGCGCAGAGGATTGATAACCCGCCTCTGCTGTCACTCATGTCAGCCTCAAATCCAGAGTCCAAAGAAATCCCGGGCTGAGCCTGGCTTCAGTTTTCCAACACCCTCCAAACTCTCCTCTAATATGATGGAAACATCCTGACCAATTATGATGTTTGTTAAGTGAACGTTTGTTCTCTTTGCCCTGAATTTGTTACCCCATTATTTTTTATTTACTGAAGTCACCTTAAGCTGAGTTTAGAAGAAGAGTTCAGAAATATGAAGATGCACATGATGCTTTTCACGACCATTAGTTTGGTGCATTGAAGTTTCTGAGGAAATATGGATCTAATAACTGCAAGTTTTAAAAGCTCATATAATTTTGTACTAACATACATAAAACTTTTAACCCGAGGGGGGACTCAACTAATGGTTCATTTATAAATTGATTAAACTGATTAAATTAGATATTAAGTTTGTAAAATGTCCAAAAGTGATGTTTAATTTATGTCTTCAGCTAAGATTTGTACACAACAGATGTTCCTCAGCAAATCACTTTAAATATTAAACTCAAACCAGGGGCACTGTTCAGTACAGGCTGACTGATGCTGGTTTTTCTATTATACAGATAATAATTATTAGTAGTTCTTGAGACTGATTACTGATACTTAAAACTAATATGTATTTACAGCAGAAAGGACAATCTGTCAAAGTTAAGGTCTTGAAATTCCATCCTGGATCAATAAAATATAACACTGGTTGTAAAATAATCATCCACCCAAACTACTCAGCATCAACTTAAACAAGTAACCGATCATCAGCTGATGGATTCATCCACTATACTTTGATTTAAATGAAATAAATTTGGGATCCAGACGTATAATTGTAATATATTATTTAAATTTCTATCTAAAATTTACTTTCTTTTTAAAATTTGTTTATTTGACGGGGACAGTAAATCAGACATTATTGCATCTAATTAGAGCAATCGATTTTATGTATGCAGGACTTCTAGCTGTGGCTAATTTGCAGTCCTTGTCCCTGGTTAGACAGCTGGAAATACAGAGCACATAATACATACTTTACTGAATAATAACTAACATTATAGCAGGTGTAAATAAGCGATCGTATATTTGCATAAAAACCAACGTCAAAGCAGACAAAACAAGCAGTTACTTCTACGCACAAACAAAACAAAAACACAACTGAAGAACCAAACAATTCTTTCTCACTCTCATCAGATGTTTTTTTAATTATTTCCAGACCGACACCGCCTCATTGATCAGTCTCATGTTGTTCCGCTCTTTTCTTCATTAATTCGTTGGATCTATGAGCTTGTAGACACCTGTGTTTGTCTGCTGGACTCCACATGTCTGAGACTTCTCAGCTCCCTGAGCTCCAGCAGAATGGTAAATCTGAGAAATGTGATGTTGTTGAAACCCCGACCCTTGACCTTTGACCTTCCCATGTATCTGTAGTGCATATGACTTGGATCTGAACTTACTCTCTCCCTTTGAAAGCCTGAGCCTGAAAAAGCAAACAACGGCAGGCCTGAAGGTTTTCTTGACTGGAAGGTCCCTTTGTTTTCTTTAGTGTGAGCACCATCAGATGATGAGGTGTAATATCCCAGCCCTCAGAGTTTTATTCTTTAAGTCAAAGAAATGGGATTTTTAGTTTATCGGCAGTAGTAAATTTCTCCTGACTCAGAATTTTCATGAGCTGCGAGTCTGTTTGCGTGTGAAAGGCCTGAGGAGAGTAGAGAGCCCTGCCTTCTGCCCGACTCGGCATCTTGTGTCTTTTATCTTTTTAACTTGAGTGTTTAAGAGGGCCGCTGGGGGAGCTGAGGGCTGTAAAGCTGCGTCCATCTGAAGCTGGCAGGTCTGTGATAGTGTGAGGAGCAGAGCGTCTCACCCTCAGAGCCTCAGGGCTGAGTTATAACCCTGCGGCTGCACAGACTTCCTGTGTTTCACTGCAGCAGAGCTTTTCAGATGACTGCTCCAGCTTGTCATGTAAAAGCTTGGTTTTAATCTCGCTCTTATCTTCAAATATTTACGGCACTGTCGCTCCACAAAAATGAAGCACAGATATCATAACTTTGCCTTCATTTTGACAAAAACTCGAGAGGTCACAACCTGAAAAATGCTCATATGCTCGGTGCTCATATGGCTTCAAATATCATATTGCTTAGTTGCTCAAAGCTCCTGGGAAGAGTTTCACACCTCTCCTGTATGCCACAGCAGGGACACATTCTTGTCTGAACAGGATGTTAATGAAAGAAAAACACAGAAAAGCCAGGGGCTTTGGTCGTCTATGGTGCTCACACACACACTCACACACGCTCAAACACATGTAGAGAAATTGTTGGAGGTCTTTTTCTCTGTTCACTTGTGTTGGAATGCGTTACAGCAGTCCTGAGCAGATTGTATGTAAATCAGGTCAAAAGGTCACCTGAGGGGTAATGATTCCGCCTCAGGCTCCACTAATACCATCAAACCTGAACTCACAAATTCAGGAAACCTAAAAACTCAGGTACCACCGACACATCCCGAAGACACACAGCCGAGCAAAACGTCTCTTTGTATGTGGATGAAAGTCTGCTCGCTTACAATCTGCACATATGAGGCCCAGGCAGCTAAGAAACCTCAGCCCCGTGGGCCCCCTGGCCTCTGTGAGCTCCCACTCCCCCACTCTCTCTCCCCTTAACTCCCACATCACCAGATAAATCATGTTGTTCTGTGAGTGACGTTATCTCTGCAGAGCTGCAGATGTTGACGGATCCATGAGGTTGTGTTGTTTTAACATTGTCTTCTGCAGTGACAAATGCTGTTATTCACTTCCTGATAAGACAGGCATGTTGTTGTTGCATGAATTCTCTGAGTTATATAATATGACCTCAGTCTGTTATATCTTTGTCTCCTCGTTTATGTCATATCAGCTGATTTCTGTTTACTTAGCTGTGGACACAGTTGTAAGGAGTACCTGCACACGAGCTTCTGTCAGGTCGGTCCTCAGTGCCAGCTGCTCCCGAGCGTACACGTCAGGATAGTGCGTCTTCTGGAAAACCTTCTCCAGCTCCTCCAGTTGATAGCTGGTGAAAGTCGTGCGGTTGCGTCTCTTCTTGCCCTTGTTACTTTCGCTGCCATCGCTCTTGTCCAGAGGGCTGGACAGGTCTGTGCCTGGTGGTCTGTCAGAGGCGGCTTTTACGCCCTGATCCTTCACAGACAGGTAGCTGGGATCCATTCCAGGTGGGTCAGAGTCCGGGGCCAAGTCAGAGTCTGTTAGACCTGAGCTGTCTTTACCTGCAGAAACAGGAGGCAGATGGAAACAGTCGGGAGGTTTAGGTTTTTTAACTTGATCTGGATGTAAAGATTGGAATCAGGTAACCCCCTAACTAAAGATGACCGCAAAGACATGGTCACATGACTGCTCTTTGACTCGGTCAGTGTACAGGGCTGATTTCAGGGGTTAGGGGAGCACTTTTCTTTCTCTACATCTAAGGGCCACGCTACTCTGCAAATAAGAAGGAAACTCACACCCTTGTAAATCACGTCTTGGGCTTATCAAAATTGGTCACCCGAAAATAAATAACAGGGTGAGGGGTCACGGGACATGGTACGTATGTTAACAGAGATGCTGGCAGCTTGTTTTTTTTATAGGCTGACTGACCAAACAGAGGTTTTGTGAAGACCTGGGCTGTAAATGAGGTTTTGTGTTCAGTCCAGGAGGACTCACCGGTCCTGAAGTTTTGAGTCTTTTCTGTTGTCGTCTTTCGCTCAGATGATCATGTCCTGTTTTTTTTCTGTTGGAATTTTGTGATTGAATTTGATAGGGTGTTGTGACAAAGGATGGACTGATAATAAAGGTTTGGTTTTAAAAATCAAAAACTCAAGGGTGTAAAAAATACAATGATGCATCAAGTCTAGATGGAAAAGGGGATCCACCCGCACCCCCGGCTTTTTTATGCCACCTGTTTTTTGTTTTTTTTTAATCCTTGAATAGTGTTTTTTCAGAATATACCGGGTACCAAACTGAATTAATGTTTGACAGGCTTCATTTTTAACCCGAACTCAAAAAATCGAAATAGGAGTAGAATAACTTTTGATGTAAACAACTTACGGAGACAAATTAACACATTTCCCATACAATCTTGACAAAAGTAATTCAACTAAATATTTATTTTTAATATTTGACAACAGCTTGATTCTGTTTTCATTTATTAACGGCCAAAAATGCTCATTTGGCAACTACGTTTCATACCACTATCTACTAGTCTAGATGGAAAAGAGGCCTTTTTTATGCCACCTGTTTTTTTTATCCTTGAAGTGTGTGTTTTCAGAATATGCCAGGTGTCAAGTTGAATTAATGTTCGAAAGGTTGCATTATTATTCTTTGAAATCTCAATGAGGTGTAAATTCTTCACAGGAGCGAGATGTGAAAGCACAAAGCTGAAAAAGCTGCTAAGACAAAGATTTCTCAGATTCCCTGCTGTCTGATTTTGGAGTCTCCTTCAAAATTATTGGCAACAATCTTTTCCACATGCCAGTAAAAATCTTAAGAGAAACGCTACAAAAGATATAAATCCACATTGAGTTGGTACAGCGGTGCTTAGAGAGGATTTATGATTAAAGTAGAAGATATTCTCTCTTTTTTTTGTCTACTTTTAGAAAGCAAAGATCCAAAACATGTTTATCAAGCCTCCATTCAACTTAACTTTATTATTAAGTCACTACTTCAGCTATAAATCCTGAACTTGAAGGAGGAGAATAATTTATTAGCTCTGATAGGGTGGAACAAAGTCATTTCTTGCCCTTTGTGAGGAAAAGTTGTGAAATCCCTTGGTGTGTGGTGTTGAATATGTGTCAATTTGTTTGTCTATCTGCCAGTGTAATATACGGCCCATCACTGCTACTCACATGATCCAGTTGTAGTTCATACTGTAGATCATTCGACAATGTGCTGGGAAACTCAAACTCTGGCAATCATTTGAAATCTGGCAGGAAGTTGCAGTTATTTTACTGCACATTACACCCTCCTCCTTCGCTGTTTATCACTCTTTAATGTGGTTAAATCTATCATGTGGCTGCAAAGTCACCTGGCAGCAAGACTGCCACAATTATTCCACAGGGGAGTCATTTCTAGACAGACACATCTTTTACTCTCTCTTTCACCCTCTGTCACACATGCACAGACACACACACACACACACACACTCGTTTCTGAACTGTGAAACCTCAGACAGCTCTCTCATAAATCACAAATCTCCACCGTGTCTCTGCCAGTGATCGCATCTAAGCTGGCAACTCTGTCTGCCCCTCACTGAAAAGTCCAGTTTATTTACATATCATCGGGCGAATACACACTCGCATTGTTGAGGATGTAATAGCCATAAACTTTGGGTCTCAGGCAGCTTAACGAGGCCTGTAAATCTCCCATCTCTGGCTCAGTCTAGTGGTGACTCCCAGCACTGCACCCTCCTGCTCCTCAAGCACCATCTGAGGTGAAGTTATTTTCATCTGCGCATCCAACCATTTGTCAAGTTTGAACCAGGAGGTGTGTGTACATCTGAGCCCTGTGACAATTCTCAGTACTCAGTCAGCACAGAAGATCTCACACAAACACACACTCGGTGACCCGTAGCTCATAGCCATGTTAGGAAGTGCGCTGCAAGGTGAGGTGGACAGACAGCTCCTCTATATAGATGACTTCACCGTCTCTCTGGGAGACACATGCACTAAGTGTTGATTTTTACAGTTTTGCAGATACTGTGACAGTTTTTAATCCTACTGCTGATAAAAATATGTGGACATTTATAGAGTCAGAATCCTGTGACGCTCATATTTTGATTGACTTTTTAGTCATTATGTGACCAGGGATGGTGTCGATGTGCAGTGACTCTATGTTTTATAAAATTAGTGTAGTAATATCATCACATTCAGTGCAGGTTTTAGGCTCCGACTTTCATTTTTTATAGTAAAAATTCCAAATTTTTAACAAGACATGCTATCTACAATTTCTAAATTGTGCTTAATTGCGCATAAAATGCCTCAAGGGTAGGGCTGGGCGATAAAATAAACTAAAATATGCATCTTAGTTTTGTTACTCTGACAACCCCAAGACCCTTTGATTTAAGTTTATCGGAAATTAAATACTTTTTCTGGTTTATTCTGCTCAAGTGAGCCAGATTGAATCTTCAATGTGACTCACAATTACAGTGAAGCTGAGACTCAACCAAAATAGCTGAATGGATGGGAATGTAGCGGGAAAGAAATAGCTGTACTTTCTTTGAAGACACTCAGAGCTAGGGCTGGTCGATAAACGGGAAATTTACCGATACCGAAATTTACGACAATAACTAGCGTCATTTTGCCCATATCGGTTTATTCTGTGTCAAAAAAATTAATAAATAAAAGCTGGTTTTGAATGTTTGTAGGTAGGCTATGGCTTCCATTGGAGACGTGACTCCACCACATCCAGTCCGTAACAAAGAGGGAAAGACAGGTGAGGAGATGGAGGACGGTTCAAAAGTTGCAGCAGCTAAAGTGGACAAAGTTAATGTGGGAGGGGGTGAGCAGCTTGTGGAGTCGTCCATCGTTATCGGAGGTGAACTGCTCAATATATTGTGATATTGATTTGAGGCCATATCGCCCAACTCTACTCTAGTGGCAGAAAAATCAGATAACAGTATTTTGAACTAAAATGCATTGTTACATTATTTTACGATATAAAATTTCTCTCTGAACATGAAAAAATGTCAAATTTAATCTTTTAAAAATTCAATTTAAATTCAAGGCTTTATGTCCAGGTATAGAAGTTACCCCTGGGCTTACTTCAGCTGGAGAAATGTTAAACAGAGTTGTGGATGATGAAGCCTATTGCCTACAAAAGTTGCTGCAATCTGACTACAATCTAAGATAGTAAAACTTGTCTTAAAGGGAATTCTGGGTTGGTTATAGACTCAAGCTGAGGAGCCATGTTTTAGTGATATTATCACTGGTAACGTAGCGCCCACAGCATCACCCCACTGTCCCTGACAAAGATGTACATTAAAGTTTGATCGGAGGAATTTGATTTAATCTCAGCGTAAACACTCTCTGTATACCTCATCACCGTTCCTTGGCGTGCGCCCGCAGTCCCCACCGGGCGAGGGTTGTCAGGCCGTTTGAAACCATGAGGCCTCTCCCTGATCAAAGGCTGTTGTTTAGATCACATGTCACTAATGTTTTTTTGGAACAAGGGCCGGGATATTGTGACAATCTCCTGTATCTGTACTGTCTCTACTGAAGCTGCCCAAGGTGAACAGCAGTGAGCTCTCCTGCAGGGTGCCATGTGTATGAGGGGGAAAAAAAGTCCTTCACCCTCTTGTCAGTTATTGTCATAAATAAGACCAGTTTTGCATACGCCCACATTTTTTTACAACAGTAACACTGCTAAAATAGATCATGTCCCAACAAAATCACTTCTAAGAGTTCTCTTTTTCATCCCAGATAAAAACACCATGCAAAATGTTTTTGTTTTTTTCTTCATGGCAACCGCAAAATGTTCTATTTTCATTGCTGTGGATCCAGGAGTAAGCATCTGTTCCTGTTTCTGTGCACACTGTGAGTGTTGCAGTCACGGAGAAAGTTCTTCACAGTGCTTCACAACAAGCTGAGCAGTCATTTACACTTGTGCTCCTGCGGATATTTTCCCCTCATCTTCTGCTGAAAAACACACAAGTTTGCACAAAAATCTACATTTTCACACGCTAGCAACAAAAGTTTATAACTCTTTTTACAGTGCAGTATGTCACTGCTGGCATTGACATCAAAATGAAAATAATGAGTGATTCAAGGCCCTCCACCACGCCTTGCTTTTGATTTATTGAGGCTCTTCCCATGTGGAAATAAGCGCCAAAATGACGTTGGTGAAGGTCAGAGATTCAGCATGGACAGCTATTAGTTCACAGTTGAAAACGAGGGGGCGACTTCAAAGTGTAATTTAACTGGCTGTAAAGCGACAGGGCACCTTCCCTGCTTCTTTATTGACTGGGAGGACAGGGGTCAGCTCACGGTGTTAAGGGGAAACACTATAAATTACACTCCACATGGTAACTCGGGAGATTAACAACATGTTGCACAAACTGCAACAGAAATATCGGAAACAAACAGCAGGGAAAGATTGTTAAAGAAAAGAGAAAGCGTACTTCGCGAAGTATTTATTGAGACAAAAAGTTTAGGGGATTGTTTTGACGGCCCTCAAAATACAGATTTGGATGAAAAACAAAGATTTGGACAGTTGATAAGTCTTCGGTGTGATTTAGCTGAGAGCACAGAGACAGGCTGAATCAAACGTACAGCTGATATGATTTATGTTATAAAAAGTTGTTTATGATGGGAAATAAATCGCCAGCTGAAGACCTGTGTTAGCGAGTAATTAATTACATCTACCATAACAAAGACACAAAGGATAGTTTGGCACAGTGTTTACTTCTGTTTTCTGTATTTTTATACGACTTTAAATTTCCTCAAATGAAAATATTTCTCTAAAGTATCGACAGCTGTACTTACTGTTAAAATGCATGTGATGAATTAATTCAAGCTGATTATTTCTTATATAAATAAAACTGGCCTGTCAAGAAGTTAAAGGTAGCTTTCTCTTACCTCCTTCTCCATTACCATACACCTTCATAATTTGGCCGATGAAGTAAAACACATAGTGACATGCAGGGTCCATTATGCCAAATAAGTATAGTGCTTAAACTTTTGGTACTTTCAATACATTTTCTGTACGACACAGCTTCGATTATATTTTCAGCAAACACATAAGTAATTCAGTTGCACATAATTTCGTTTGTCACATTGCCTCTTTAGTTGAACCTCCTTTAATGTTGGGATTGTTGATATTTTTTTGCCATTTGGGATGGTTCAAGCAGATGTTTAAGTAACATAGCGCAGTGATTATATTGCTTTTGGTGACCCCTGTGGACAAGGTGAAAGACTTCTCTCTGCACATGAATGTGTTTGTTGACGAAGATTTTATTCTTCTTTATTGACTGTGTCTGATGTGAATCTCGCAATGATCTCGGCATGAAGACCCTTTGATTTCAGCCGTGTGCTTGAAAACGCCTCACCTAACTTTTAGTGGCCACCCTTCAGCATTTAAAATATTTAATTATGTATAAAATCATAAAGCCATAAAACATTTTTACATTAAAATAGTTGTCCTTGTTGGTGACGGCTTTGTTTTCTTGTGTAGCTCAGAGACAGTGTCGATTTTAGTTTGTTTTATAACCAGATAAATACACCTCGTAGGAGCTTTAAGGGGCACCCGACCTGTCTATTTGGAGTCTTCATGACATTCAATTGTCTCTCTTTTTTCACCGAGCAGCAACCTTCGGTCTTGAGAAGTGAAGCCAGTGCAGAAACGCTAAAAGTGCAGATCCTAGAGCGCAAACTGAACCCCCAAAAGCCGTTTTTTAGAGCAGAAATAAACGCGTTTGCAGCCTGGTTCGTAAAGACTTCCACGACACCATCAGTACGGGGGAGTGAGTTTTTTTTTAAAAAGCTATTCAGATTACAAAATGAGCAAAACAGAAACACAGCTGAGTTGGCTGGCAGGTGGGCACGCTGTATCCATTCGTAGGTCGGCTAAAAGCCCGCCTCTGGTAGGTTGACTGCATGTTAGGTTGACTCAGTATTTCCAAAATGGTGACCCCACTGATTGGCGTCACAATTGGATGTAGACGTCACTGACACTACATCCAGTAATTATACAGTCTACGGTTTTAACTCTGTTTTTGGTCACCACCAACTCGCCCACCGAGCAGTTTTTTTCTGTCTGCTTTGAGGTGCCGAGCGTGTGGTGTGATGGCGTTACGAGAACTGCAGTAGTGAAGCAAAACAGAAAAGTTTCAGGGTGAAAATCATTTCGCTGAAACTCATTATGAAGTCCTATAAACTGAGGAGAACGACAGATTATGTTACAAAATTAGCCCTGTTTAATCTGTTACATTCAACTCACTGTTGTAAGGAAAAATAGACTTTACTGCCACCTGAAATGAAGAACTTAGATACTTTTTCGCCGCTGATGAAGATGTAGTTTCTCTGACTCTATTCTTGAAAATTTAACCTCAGGTGTTTTCACCACCATATTTTGAGACAATACACACATTATCTACACACACTCATAATACTCATAGTGCATGTCAAGTCACTGCTGTGCTGCTGTGATTTGGAGACAGCTTATCCATCTCACAGATCAGCACATTCAATTTTTTCCTACATATAATGTGTTTTCGTGACCACGTGATAGGTAGCCGTTTGACTTTGAAATTCTACTCTGCTGACTGAGCAGAGCGAAGAACCATCGCAGCAGGCAGGACAAAATTCACAGACTGTGAAAAGAAAGAATCCATAAAGTCTGTGACTGATAAATCACCTCTCACACACTCTGTCTCCCCCTCTGCGACTCTCTGCCTCCCTCCAGCTCTCCTCCAAATGTTCCCCTCACATGTTACAGAAAAACACAGCATGCGTTATCTTACACTCCACACTGCTGGACTTAAACATCGAAACATTACATTTGGATAGGAACACTAGCTGCGGCTCTTTTTATTTACATGTGTATAAAATGATCGTGACTTCGCTGATAAATTCAACCGTCACAGGAGGCGAGAAATCAGAGTTTTGGAAACAAAAAATTCTTATAAATGTCCCCAAAAACCCTGTCGTGAGAATGCAGTCCATACTTATCGTTATCCTCATCCGTCAGATTCATATGATGCAGAATGAATTACTGACAGGGCAAATACAACCGTAGATTCACCTGCATGTTAGTTTGAAATGGTTATTATCTTCGAATTATTTTCCCACTTATAAAATATAGCAGGTATGAACTCTAAAGATATTGAGGCAAACAACCCTGGTGAATTACAACTCATTTAAGTAATCTGACCCGTGCATCATTGCCCGATTAGCTGATCAGCAAACTGCAGGCAGGAGCAAAGATAACTGTCTGCAAACGGTGCAAAAAACAAAAGAGTTGGCAAAAGGATTAAAAAATATGGTAACACTTTACTTGATGCCTATCTCTATAACGCGTTATAAATGTATGTATAATGTGTTATAATCACATTATAACACTGTATAACTATAGTTATAAACACTCATTAATGATCATAATGTTTTATAGCAATAATCATAACACATTATAAAGGATTTTATCATAGCTTACAAGGTCAGGTATTATAATGTGTTATGCTTATTGATATAAAGCCTTATGATAATTAATGAGTTTATAAGCAAATGATAACACATCATGAATATATGTATAATGCATTATCTATGTGGGCATTGTCAGTGAGTTGTTAACAGTTATAACACATTATAATACCTGACCTTGTAAGTCATGATAAAATCCTTTATAATGTGTTATGATTATTGCTATAAATCATTATGATCATTTATGAGTGTTTATTACTATAGTTATACAGTGCTATAACGTGATTATAACGCATTATACATATGTTTTTAATGTGTTATATAGATAGGCGTCAAGTAAAGTGTTACCAAAAATACCTTAGGAGAGCGTACACTTACACAGAGACACATTTTTGATAAATTGTGTCTTGAAATTTGCTAAATTAATGTGGCAGACTTGGGCGTGTCCACAAAAAACTATAGCCTAGCTTATGTATCGGTTCTCTCTGCAGTTTTTCTTTAAAGGGGGTGAGTTGACCAGCATCCATTGTCGCTGGTACACTTAATAATGTCATGTAATAAATATTTAAATCTCTTTAAATTAGATATTACATAATCTTGTTAGTATCCTGGGCATTATAATACAAATACAAAATTAAGACACAATAATTGCTGTGAAACTCTGACTGTTTTACATTTCAAAACATGTTCAAACTAAACAAATGTCTCATTAAGATTAAAAAAGATGTGGAGTAATGACCGGTTCTTCTTTGACACCAAAGTGTTTTTATTTTGCAATGAGAGAAATTAGTGTAGAAATTGAAATCAAACTGACATTAAGTGAGGTTAGAAAAGCGAGAATCAAGCTGGAAAGAATCTGGATTTCTCTGCCGTCCTGCAGCTGTCCCACACGCTTGTTTCTTTATTCAGTTTACATGACGCGGTGACAAAAAGACCAAAGTCGAGTCCTGGGCTGTCTGAGCCTGTTTGCCCTACTGCTCTCACTCCACCATGCAAACTGAGCCTAATGTAAATTGCTCCGCCAAACTTGAAGCTAAAAGGTAAAATGATCCCGAGTCCTTGTCACCTTCACTCATGTCACTGAGGGGCTGAAGTGTACCTCGCTTGTCTGGGTTTGTGTGGCTGGTTCCCATTACTCCCTGCTCCAACCAATCAGTACAGAAGACCATTATAAGAGGCTGAAATGGCTGTGCTGGTTTAGAGACAAAACGGCAGTAGATGGCAGTGACAAAACTCATAAACTGGTGATCTCCCACTGAATTTGTCAGGGGTAACTCTCTTAAAATGCCTCTGCAGGGTACGAAAGATTCACACATGCAGAGCTGCAGAGCCAAAAGATAAATTATGGTTTGGATTGGCCCTAAGTACAGCTTTTAAAGTGTTCAAATTACACCAGCAGTCTTACTTTTACAAACTTTTATTACTCTATAAAACCATCTGCTGTTCAAGACAAAAAGAAAAAGCGTCAAAAGGCAAAATCCCACCATAATTAGGCCTACGATTTAACAAGAGAACCAGCTTTTGTCTCAGTGTCCGTCGGATGTTTACCGTGTAAAACTGGATCCCAAATGTTGCACAGTGCTCTGCTTTGACATGAGTTTTAAATAGGGGGTTTCCAATGGATTTTCTCTGCTGTGTGCATGCGGGGAGGCTCGGCCTGCTCTCCAAACAGACAAGGGCAGGAAGCCGAGCTAAAGGTCAGCACCCCTCAGACACAGAGAGAAGACACGGACACATCAAACGAGAAAGAGAGGGGGGGAGGTCTCTGGAGGATCACAAAGACCAGGAGGGACTGATGTAGACATCCCCATGGGCCCTGATCATTTTATCGAGAATACCATTGACAGTTTGATAAGGAAGGTTATATTTAAGACTGACTTTTAGGTAAATTACTGTAAATTTTCATTGAGTTTTCGAATGTTATACTTGTGCAACTTGAACAAATACTCTATTCTTCAATTACCTGATTCCTGAGCTGAAAGTTCTCCATGTTTTTAGAGTTAACTGCTTTTATTCAGATGATAACTTGAGAGGCATCTCTAAATAGTTTCACTTGCATTGAAGTGATTTTTTTTATTCAACTCTACCTCAGTTGTAGTTGGCAGCTATATGAGCAGTCATCGCTTCGCTTTAGACTGACTGCATCAAACCACAAAGTTGTTCTCTGATTATTCAAGATAATCCGTGTGGAATACAGGTTCAAAGAGGAGGTGAGGCAGGAAGTAAAATACAGCAAAGACTCTAAAAAAACACACATGAGGAATCATTTACCATATTTCTGCTCAGCTGGTGAGTTCAGCATACTTACTGCAGAAGTACAAAGATGGTGAACTTTAACATGCCAAAAGTCAAAACCATAAAGAAAGAAAAACGGCCCCCAGCCTCCAGGAATTTCCATTTCATTATCAAAGTTTTCAAACAGCTTAACTCTGTATCCTCAAGAATAAGGTGGTATTTTTCTTTATAAACAGAGTCCCTCTCTCTCTGCTGTTGGAGGTGAATGTCTCAGATAGCAGAGTGACTCTGAGTGGGGGGAATAAAGGCCAACAGAGAGGCTGACATCTGAGTCAGATTAATGCAGAGCTGCTCTTGTCTAAACGCAGAGATGTTTTTTCCTGCCTCTTCACCATGAATCCGGTCACAATCCTCAAGGCTCTTTGTTGTCATGGTTATCCTGACAACCGGACTTTATTCTGAAAGTCCTGTATCATGACATTTTTGGCACTTCTGGATTTTCCAATATTCTTCTCCAAGTGGAGCGTAAATTTAGAGCTAAAAATTCTAGTTTTGGTGTAAGCTGAAAAGAGGGATTTTGGATTGTTTTATTCGTTTGGGTTTCTCGTGTGATTATTTGATAAATCGTAACATAAAAATAAACTCTGATTTACAGGATCTCCTTCAGGGATGGTGGCTCATAAAAACTTAACAACCAGATTTTCTTTTAATATTATTTTTTGTCTTCTTGGTTTTTTGGAGGCCAGAACGTTTTTATTCCTGCAAACCGATTATCTAAAACTGTAAAAGTGTTTCCGAAAAACATTTCAGCGTAAATCTGAGAGAGACAAGCACAGACAGATGCGTCAAGGCTTCGTGCGTAAAAGCCTGGAGACGTTTAACGTTTCTCCCATTTCAATTAAATACTTATTACTATTTACATCAACACTTTTGTACTCCCATTGCCCAAAAATCGATCAAAATCATTTATTTTTCTCTTTTAATTTGATTAAATCGATCAAACGTTTTCTCCTGGATTGTTTATGGGACCCGGAATGAGTTTTAAACTCATTGGCTGTAAAAACGAGGGAGAAATAGAGGGATAGAAAGAAGGAAAAAAATGCCTTATAGGCTTTGTGACTTCATTCAAACCCGGGATGAGTCTATCTTGCAGATAACTTAAGGGAAATATTTGTGCAAAGCAAATTTCCAAATCTTCATAATTAAAAAGAGGAATATTTTTTTATTTGTTTTGCTAAATGAATTAAATTTAAGATCAGTATTTTTTCCTCCTCATGACAGAAACTAAAACACCAAAAACACTCTAAAACCGTGTTATTGTTTCTTCATTGTTCTAATGAGGGTCTCTGTCTGTGTAATTGTCCTTTTTAGCTTTGGCCCTGAGTTGAACATCAGGTCTAAATTTGAACGTAGAGAAATTAAGACATCCGTGTGTTTCCTGCGCGCAGTTAAAGACACTTCAGTTCAGTTTGTTTGTGTTTTAATTCACTAAAAGCATCTCTCACCTCTGATTCTCCTCTTTCTGTCGCAGCTCTGTGAGTGTTGAGTTTGGAGGTAAACGTTTTAAAACCCCCTTTAAAGTGGCCACCTGCCCGACCAGGGTCAAAGTTTTATTTCCCCCCTCATCATTCCCTCATTACAGCGCTGCCCTACGCAATTGAAACTAATTGGAGCCAATCAGGGAGCGCAATGAAATGAAAATATATCAGTTTGGAGCTTACTGTATGCACCATCTGAAAACCTGCTAATTCAATTGTCCGACTCAGCTCCGATATTAAGGATTGTAATGCAGATTATCGCATTAAATGTAGCCTAATTTAATTTTGATGGCCAAAGGGACAATTTGATAGTCGAGAAGATTATGGCTCTTCCTAACCACGTTACGCACATCACTGCGGCTTCACGTCGGTACGAGCTAGGGTGACCTGGGAAGACTAAGCGTTTTAGACTCCGAGGGAGCGAGAGAAAAAAGATAAAAGTGAAAAAAAAAAAAACATTTCAATGAGACTTTGAATCTCTGGGTTCGGTTTTGGTGCGTCAACGTCGCCAAAGTGGCAATTTTACGCATCTTTACTGATCAGAATTTCCCAACCACTTGGCCTCCATCAGCGGATTTTATGGAATCAAGCGGTGAGTTCATGACTGACTGAAATGTAAGAAGTTAGAGCAGCGCTGGTATCTCCGTGGAAACTTCTCCACTTTGATAAAAAGTCAAACAAACCAAATCTCGGACTCTTCCTCAGTCATATTTCTCTCAAAAGTTGTTTTCTCTACTCACCATAGCACGAGATGAGCGCTCCTTGGTGCAGTTTGCTGTCCTCGGGGGGTGTTTTGCAAGAAGACCTCTGCATGAAGAGGTGGTATTTACTGAAAGTGCCTTGCCCAGCTGCGGCGGCATCCAATGACTGGCACTCCTGCTGCTGCTGCTGTTGCTGCTGCTGCTGCTGCTGGAAGGGGCTCCGGGGCTTTTCTCCGTACGCCTGACCTTTGTTGGGCAGGAAGGCAGTGGGGCTGTATTTGGTGTCAGAGGCTGGGAATGTCCTAAAGTGGTCCGTGTGGTGGTGATGATCCCTACCTGGCGCTGCAGAGGAGCTATAATATGAATCCATGGATGTCATATCGCTGTATGAAACGCACGACTCGGCGTTCATGCCTCAAAAACGAGTCAAGGGGAGAAAAAGAGCGAGTTTTTTTTCCTGCTTTCTCTCTCCCTGTCTTGGTGAGGGAAGCGCAGACACCCCCTCCTCTCCTCTTCCTCTACCTAATACACATGAACACGCACACACACATACAAACACACACATACACACACAGGCAGACACCAGGGCGCAGCTGGGTTTGGTTATAAAACGATTCAGATCTTTTCCAGGAACCACTGTCGTTGACCAAACAGTCCAAACTCCCCCTCAGGTTGGAGCAGAGTTACACAAACGCGTCTCTCCTCGGAGCAGGGGGACGCAGAGTTGCTGGCTCTCACAGGACCTCTCCCAAGTGACTCCGCTGATGACAAAGAGGGTCGGGGCGCCTATTAGATGGAAAGAAATAGAAAAAAAAAGTTAGTAAAACAGAGGCGGGGGGCTTAACACATGACATTAATGTAATTTGGATATGAATGCAGCCTGTGAGTGATGGCACTGGGGCGGAGAGGGCACGATTTTCTGCTTCATTCGCGCTGGTTCATCAGGGACAAATCATCCATACTCAGCCGATTGTGCTCTGACGACTAATTCTGGGGTTTCTGCGTAAAACTGTGAAAGTTTGTGAGAGATATTTAATGCTTTAATCATCAGTGGAAACGAATTTTTTACACATTTTCATTCTAATTATTATTTTCATGTATTACAGCAATTTGATCGGTCGTGGTGCGTTTTTTAATCCGAAAAGAAGACGTCGTTTTGAGTGAAATCTTCGGATTTTCAGATTGGAAAAACAATATAATATAGATGGATTCAATATGTATAACTTTAAACAAAATTTTACGCAGAAATATCCCAGATTTTATTTCAATAATCGTTTTCTGCGCGTATCTAAAACGTTTTAAAATCAGTTTTCAAACATTTCCTTTACGCACGTGTTATCTTGGTGAAATTTCTATATTATTACTGGCACAGTCAGGTGTGTTTTAAGTGCAAAATCTCGTGATGCATTTCAGTCTGATCGTTGCACTAACTTGTGCACACAAAGATAAAAAAAAAGCTCCCTGCAACGAAAAATTAACGTCAATATTTTAAGCCACTGCGTAAAAGTCTGTAAAATAAACACCAATCCTTTCGATAATAATAATACTTTCCACACACAGAGAGGCCATATGTGTCGTAATATAACAGCCACTACATTTAACTCCAGATTTAAACACGAATAGAATCAGAATTAGTGCGTCTGGTTTTGTCATTTTTCTCAGTGTCCTCCCTATAGATTAATCGAACTTCTACATTTGATCATTTAAGTTACTCATTTGTAATTTTCCATCTCATTACAGTCAGAAAAGTTCTTGAAAACCTCTGCGTAATACATATTTAAAAGCAGAATAACACGCACAGGTTCCGTTTGACTTTAAAACACTGAAATGATAGTTATTTCTCTGCTTTATTGCTCTCTGAAATTATAAAAAAACGACAAATTCCTGCAAGAAAACGACAAAGTGGTCATGGTCAAAGTGTCCCCAAAAGTCACCTTTTTGGAGCAATTATACTTTTTTAAATTTCATTTTTAATTTCAAATATCTAAGTCCCTGCAACATTATTTTTAAATAAGGTGTATCATACAGTGTAATAATATTTCTGAACCACTCACCCAATCATGCAAATTAAAATATGTAACATTCAGTGTTTCTTTTAGCTCAAACTGATGTTTTGAAACTGGTTGTTGGTTTTACAAAGAGAAGATTCATGCTTTCACAGTTATATCACTTGTCAAGTGAATCATGATCTATTGTGGGAACAAAATGTAAAACAGCTAAAACAAAAAACTTCTTTTAAAAAACATTTTATATATTTCATTGACCTGAGTTTTGGATCGACCAAACTGCATCCACAGACCCACTCAGGGCTAATGAGAAAATGATCCAGATAACTAAAGGCTCCACAGTCTGCACATCTATGCTCACACTTCCACTCAAAAACATCCATGCACACATGGTGGACACATGCATGCACACTTACAAGAACACGTGTGTGAGAAAGAAAGAGAAAGAGAGAGAGAGCAGTTTGTAAGTGAGAGGAGAAGAGGAGTCGAAATCCTTTCATTTTTATGTGATTAGATTTCAAATGAAGTCCATCAGGCTGAAAGGTGTCCATACTCATATGTCTGACGCAACGTTCACGCTCCGAACAAACTGGCTCACACTGTGATATAAACTGTCCTGGGGGAGAAGATAAAATGGCTTTACAACAGTTTATGTTTCATGTAACTCAGTCAAACAAATATCTCATCTGCTCCATATGTCAACAGCTTGATTTATGGCAGAGAACCAGACTTAATGATGACGAACCCGCTTTTAAATCTGCTGGAGAAAGTATACTGGGATGTCTGTGCTATTCTTAGCAGGGAGTCAGTGTTAGGTAATAATCTGCTCAAGTGATGATGCTTTTGACATCCATTTACCTGCAGGGTTAGGGTGAGTTTGCATCCTTTTTCTTTTTAGCACAGTAACCTGCACATATGTAGGAGTGTGTTGTCCAAAAACAGAGGAGTCATTAATTAATGGTTTTAAGTTTCCAAAACAAAGGCACTTATTTAAACTATATATGTTTCTGAATCTGTCAAATTTAACCCCGGGAAGTCTGCAAACCGCTTAGAGTAAAGACAGAATATCTTATAGTTGCATTGGCATACTCACAGGGTGGTGCATGCTTTGAGCCACAAGCAAAGAGAGAGAGGTGTCTTTTATATTTACTAGCTGTGATTACAGTGCTCAGCATGAATGAGTACATCCCTTAAGAAATGTCAGAAAACCTTTCGTTTCCTTTCAAAATCAACATTTTCTATGTCAGACTGTACAACAAAACACTCCCCCAAATGTAGGCCACTGATTGAAAACAAGATTTTTTAAGTTGCATAAAAAAAATCATTCTTTTCAATTTAAAATTAGGATGAAAAAAATGAGTACACCCCAATCAAAGTTCTTTTAGTTACCATATCACTCTTATTTTCATCTCATGGTAAATAAAATGTTATGTTAAACTCAGCTTTGTCAAAACTTTGGAAATTCCACTTTTGCTCATCTACATATTGAGTAATACAGTACTTTTAATACTGTAATACTGTACTGACTTATGCTGGGCACTGTACTGTAGTATAAGGACCAGTGCAGGATGGTTAAAGTGAGAGAGAGTGAAGGATTGAGCTGCTCAGCCATTTAAAAAAATATATATATTTACGTGTCAGTTTTCTGGCACAGCCAATAAAAGCTTCCCTTTAACAGTAGGAACACCTGCAGTGAATAAGAGAGCTTTTACACACACACACACACACACACACACACACACACACACACACACACACACACACACACTCAAACACAGCGCCTTCATGTGTGCATAACCTCCAATGAGAAGTCACTGTCATCATCATATTTTACTCCTAAGAAATTAAACCAGATTCTCTTGGAAAGCGCTCACCGATGACAGACGTTACATATCTTGCATATCTAAGTCTAACGTTTGATTTGACTCCTTTTACTCTCTCCTGTGGTCCAAATCTATTGGCATGTGATAAGGACAGTTCCCAGGTAATGAAACAGCTCTAAAAAATTAATCTGTCTTCAATATTGAAAAAAAAAACAAAAACACTCTGTAAGGTAACATTTTAAGGATTTCAGCTCAGCTAACATTTCAGCTCCTGAGTTTAACAGTGGAGTAATTCACTTAAGACAAGAAACTCCATTGTTAAAAAATCTGTCCCTGTCGTTTTGTTACACACTTAACCAAAACCTCCTGAAAACTGCACAACAGATGGAGTTAACAAGTTTGTCAGGAAGACAAAATGTCAGCAGACAGCCGTCATCTTCTTGGTATATATTCTTCTTTTTTTTGCCGGGAAACTTCCAAACCAAGAGTCCATTGACTCGCAGCCGTGACTAATTTTTTAGGAAGCAGTGCGTAATTATGTTTTATTTTCTGAAATTTCCTTTCTAAGCAAATACATACACACATTGTCCGAGCGGCACAATGGGTGAGACTGTAGTCGGAGTCAGTGACCTTACAGTGGCCCTTTTAGTGTGAGCTGTTTTCAGATGTATTTCCTCTAATGGGTTCTTGTGAGATATTTGTGAGTGTTGGGGTTAAAAGAAAACATGAGGACATGGCGGAGACACGAGCCCACATCCTTGCTGCTCTGACAACATTAAACTTTAGCCTCAGTAGTTTGCTTTCGCCTCTGGCAAAGCGACTTGATTGAGGCCTTTGATGGGCATTAATACAGCGTGGAGAGACGGCTTTGTTCGGGGATGGAAATGAACATAAAACGGAAAAGGAAGGAGGGAGGCCCACGAGCTGATCTTATTTAATTTCACATAAAAGAGACATTCCATCTTCTCAGAGCCTGTTTAGGCATCTCAGTGTATGAAAACCCCAAGTTTTTCAAAACAGGGGTCACATGTGGTGTGTATGTGTGCACTGCAGAGATTTTTCCTTTTTTTTTTTTTGAGCTTCCATGAGATCCAAACGTCAAAGTCTGGTACATCAGATTTCGAAGCAGACTTTGAAATGGCAGTCGTGGCTCTGTGTGAGTAAAATCAGCATCCAGGAACATTTTGTGCTGCTACCTGGCTGAATGATGGTGGCCCTGCCCACTAGCAAAACATCTGTAATTAGTCTGGAGCGCATACTCTCTGTGTTTTTTTTTTTTTTGTACAGTGTAAAGAATGACCTAAGCTCTGTTTGTTCTTCGTGACATGTAGATATCTGCAGTGCATCTGACTGAATCACAGATTGCTCTCCTGTCATATCCTATTACAGTGTTTTCAGTGTGTAATAACAGCGCCGCAGCAGCAGCACTGTGTTGGACTCTGAGAACTTCTTGACTCAAACCAGTTTGTTCATTTTTTCATTTTGAGACTTGAGAGTGAACTTTGACTATATCAGATTATCACTGTTTGTTTTTTAAAACCCCAATTTGACATTCATAAGAGTGGATTATTAAATAGACGTATTTTTGTTTTAAACT